CTAGTTAAACGTACAGACTTTAAAGAACTTTATTAAAAAAATTTGGGGAAATAATTGGACATTTTAATTATGTAATACAATTTTGAAATACGTAAATTGTTAAAGAACTCTATTTCCTAGTCCACTATTAAATCTCTCCTTCACAAATTGATGAATTCGTAAAGTTCAAAATTGTGAATGGTCCCCATTCAAAATTGGACATTTTAATGAAAATGTATTCTTTCTGTATTGGCGTACTTTTATCATAGAAAAAAAGTTACTGGTTATTTAGAGTTGCCATTTTTTTTTTTTTTTTTTGGCCCACTACGAGGTGAGTGGTTATTTTCAGGTCTTGATGACATTCTTGTGAGAACCTCATGTATGTTTTACAAACAAACTATTAAGCCTATTCAAAATATGATTTTAGAGGTATTATTCTAATATAGGTCAATGGAATATTAGACTAGGGCAGTCTGAAGAAGATTGAGTCGGTTATCAAACAGTAAACCACTGACAATAGCTAAAACGGCGCTCGTAAACATTAGGCACCGCATAGATATAGATTAATTAATGCCTCCACACGGTTCTTTGAAGGTAGTCCAATCAGACCACTTCGAAAGTAAGTTACATAGTGAAAGAACCATTTAATATGAAATCTATGTTTTAAAATTTGTTTAATTTATGAATATGATTGGCTCGTTTTATTTACTTGAAAACCACTACAGATTCTATTCTCAAATATATATGATAAATTTCTCTCAAGTACTTTTTAAATAGAATTTGGGTTCATGCGCACAAGTGGTTCAGTTTTGAAATAATCTGCGTGGAAGCTTTCTGATATAGGAGGTGGTGACTAAATACGACACTCAGGTCGTCACGTGGATGCTAATTAAACACGGTGTACACATTGGTTCTCAACTCAGCAATTTCTTTCGAAACTTGAGAAGGATACAGTTATCCATTAGAATAATGTTATCCAATTCGAACGAAATTATACAAGATATAGTAGCGAGCCAAGATGGCTCAGGGGATAGAGCGTTCACCGCCCAATGTGGTGAACCATCACCTCCTACATCAGAAAGTCTCCACGCGGTTTCTTATAAGTAGTCTGCGCAGATTATTTAAAAAGCGAACCACTTGTGCGCATGAACCCAAATTCTATTTTAAAAGTTCTTGAAAGAAATTTATCATATATATTTGAGAATTGAATCTGTAGTGGTTGACAAGCAAATAAACAAACCAATTATAATCATAAATGAAACAAATTTTTAGACATATATTTGCTACCACTTTCTAATTTTTAATAGATTTTATATTAAATAGTTCTTTCACTAATTGGTTTACCTTCATAGTGGTCTGATAGAACTACCTACAAAAAAACGTGTGGAGGCTTTGCATTAACTGAAGTCCTAGTCCTAGTGTTTTGATTCTATTGGGCACCTGGGCCGCTAAGCGGCCCCTATCCCATTCATCTGGAATTTTAGAACAGTTTTGGTTGAGCAATGAGGTAAGCAGGCAATGGAGTTGCTTTTATGAATGTTTCAAGTTCTTTGCTTGAAAGGAATCAAAAATAAATAGAGCAGCTTGCTCTAAACTGTGTTTGTTTGATTTTGGAGTTGTTCAGAATTGTATCAGCATGAGTAAACGTTATTTTCAGAAAGGTTGATGCATTAACTGAAGTAGTGGTTACTAAACATTAAACTGTAAAAATTTTAACCGAAAGAGTGGTAGATAATTAATGGTGCAAAGAGGAACCTCCGAGTACAAAGTGTTAAAATAAGCTTAAAATAGATTTTTTTCCTTACGTTAATTAACATAAAAATTCCTTTCTTCATCGTATATATATATATATATATATATATTCAACAAAATAAATAAATACAAGAAAACACGAAGAAAGTTAAAAAAAACAATAAGTTTCATTTATTGCGNTATATAATATATATATATATAGTTTCTTGCTAACGCGTAAGTTATATTATAGTCTAGATTAATTGTATTTATATAAACAATTAAAAAAAAAAAGTGTTTCTTAAATCGTGTCTCATACTCTTAAACATGGATACATTTTGAAGAATCACCCTTAAATATATATTTTTTTTTTTCTATTCAAAGGCCGTCTGTTACTCCCAATTACTCAACACCAAAACAACCTTTCTCAAAGAAGGGTTTGAAATCGCGATTCATCAGAGAGTGCATCAATATAAACATCACTCGTAGTCCTGATGATGATCGAGACACATTTAATGACTTGGTTGAGATACTCCAGAATGAAATGGGTGCCCAGACAAGATCTGGCCGTCATCAGTATCAACGCAAACGCATCACCATGAAGGATATCCATAACATAGATGTTGGGTGAGTTCAAAAAGCAAATTTTGAAATTCATTTTCTTTTATGTCAAATACCATGTCCGCCAAATTTAACAATTTTTAAAGAAGTTTTTTTCCCTTTGGTAAAAATGACTTAAAATGAAAATTACTAAACTAAAAATTACTTACATCTCGTTACACTCGATTTTTTTTAAAAGTTTTTATAAGCGGAGCAAGTTGTCATCTCTGCATAGATGCCGTAATATACCGTTACCCTTTAGATTTTATTGTAAGTAGTAATTTATAGATGCCAACTTGTACGGCCATTGAGAAATTATTTTCGTAGTGGAAGTAATATTTACATTTTAACGTACAAATCTGAATTTTAAAAATTAAATTGTTTTACTTACCACGATAAATCAATATTTCAAATCTGTATAGATAAGCCTATGTTTGTTAAACAGCTTAATTTTTAGAAAAATTTTACTACATTAACCCTTTGACGGTCAGGGAAATGAGCAGTTTTCGTTTCATTAATTCGCGCAGTATTACGTGCAAACAGTTAGTCGAAAGTGGTATCTGTTTTCCACCTCCGTTCTTCCGAAAATGTCACCCTTCTCTGGCGATGCCAACTGCTCAGTCTTCTGGAATTGTTATAATAAAGTGGTAGCAAATTATGTAGTAAATTTCGTTGGAGAAGGACAGTTACGCCTACTTTTTAATAGAGTAACCGGTAGAAAATGTTGCTTTAACGTTGCATTTTATATGTTATCATAGTTTTTGATATTTAGTGGTGAAAAAATTACTTAAAAGGAAAAATACTAAACTGAAAGTAACATGACTTTCGCTATCACTAGGAAATACTATTTTATAAAGCGGGGCAAGTTGGCATCTCTGGATGCGGTAGATAGCTCGCCTCACGCGTTTTAAAAATTTCTTAAAGTATTCGTAGTACATAAATAACAGTTTTTACGTACTTTTCGTTTTTAACATAGTCAATGCAGAATAATAATGGCGAACGAGCTCAGCTCGTCAGCACGCATTGGGGAAAAATTTCATTACGCGAGTAGTGCTCGTTACTAACCATTACGGTCAAAATCTTGCTCCCGAGCGGAACTCGTTTGCGCGCATTGTGAGGCACGATTCGATTGCGAGCTGAACTCGTTCATAACCGTCAAAGGGTTAAGTATTGTAATTCTACCACTATCTAAAATCTTTCTCAACTACCGTACAAGTTAGCAACTATGATAATTTATTAAATATAGTTAGGTTATTGTTTTACGCTTATTCTTACTTTAAAAAAGGAAATTTATCCCATTTACTCATTAACACGGTAAATAACTACAAACTAAATTTGCAAATACTAGACAGAATTTTTTGTTTTTTTAAAAAGTTTCGCATGACATATCTGGAAAAAGTGATCTATTATGTAAGTCTACGAATTGTTTAGAAATAGTGGTGGATAAAAATCTACTAAATTGAATTTCCAAGAATCACAATTAATAAACTACCACTTGAAAATATTTATTCGCTGTCCGTAGCGGATAAATATTTTTGACTGGTAGTTTTTTAATGTGTAATTCTTGGTTTAAAAATTTGATTAATTAGATTTTTATTCACCACTATTTCTAAATAATTCGAAGGCTTATATAATTCGCCACTCATTTAAAATGTAAACAAAATTAGCCAAATATCTTCATATTTTAGTTTATAGTTATTTACCGTTTTTTAAATTATTTTGGTGCGTACGGGGCAGTTGGCATCTCTGTTCTTTAAATGAAAAGTTACAATCATTTAGGCGCATTCATATGTTTTCATTCGAAAAATAAAAAAATATTTGGACATGCTGAAGTTTCATTATTTCCTGTATTTTGTAATAATTTTGAGATTTTTTAAGCCCAGGAAAATACCATATTATCAAATAAATGAATAAAATCCTCAGTTTTTAGGGTGCAATATTAACTCGACTATTTTGGCACTGTATGTTTTTTATTTATTCTACACATAATACAGTTATTTAGCCTCGTAGGATTTTTTTTTGTGTGCATAGGTATAAGTACCTTTTTAAATTTATAACTTAAGAAAAACACTTTACTGATGATACAATATCCGTTTATAAAATATTTATTAGGATTTTATCATAATATTATTTGTTTTTGTGTTCAGAAAAAACTTGACCCTCATGGAAATGTTTCACTTGGATATTAGTGACCAGGACTTGTACACAGAAGACGATACATTGGTGCAAAACTTACTAGTAGAAATGTCAAAAAATCAAATCGTTCATGTTGGTAAGATAACCGATGCGTTTTTTCCCTCTTTTTACATTGTCGCGCCAATTATAGAAGTTTAGCTATTTTCTATTATCTTACAAATTTTTATTAATGCTGGGTATTAAAAGATTAGTACAGTACACGCGCAAAAAAAAGGAATATTTTTTGATCTAATGATCGGATCTTTGGATCAACCTTAAGGATTCGAGGGAGTGAACTCGAATGTGCAAATTAATTAGTGAAACTGGTATTTTTAGTAACGAAATCAGACGCAAAAACGTTCGTTCGCTGAATAAACATTCCTTTTTTTTCAACAAATTCGGATTTCTGACCTCCAAAGTATTAAGCCGCTATCTAGGAAATATGTTCCTCATAGTTTAATCAGGAGAGCGATCCAAAGTCTGAACCCCTTGATGTTAATTTGCGTTAATTTGACTTTCTGCGCATGTCGCCATATCCGGATAACTTTGGAAAATTTTTTGCACTCACGTGTAAAATTCGTTTTTCCAAACATCTTTTTCGGCAAATATTCATTATTGTTTTATTTAATTATAGCAGAAATTTTTTTGAACAGTGAGACATATAATTTTTCATATCATTTTAAAGTGTGTAAAATTACAATGGCGGAAAAAAAAAACATAATTTGAGCGAAATCGGTTAAATAGTTCTTGAGAAATTGAATTTTAAAGAAGTCGTGTAATTAAAAATTTGATTTCTCAGGAACTATTTAAACGATATCGCTCAAATTTTGTATTACATAATTTAAGTGGCCTAAAAAATTGTTAACCTTATAATTTAAACTTTTTTCGACAATTATTTAATAAAATTATAGAAGATAATAAATATTTACTGCAATTAATTTATTTTCATAGAACCATCTTTGGATAAACGATTAATAATTGTGAGCTAATCTTTTTTAATTCGCTTCAGAAATTATCTAGATATGGTGAAATACGTAAACAGTAAAATTTACATTAAGGGGTCCAAACTTACGATTACTCTCCCGTCCAAACTATGGGGAAATATTTCCCATATTGCGACTATTCCCTATATTCAAGGGGTCAGAAATCCGAATCCGTATTTTTATTCAAAGAAAGTAAGTTTTTGTGTCTGATTTTGACTTAAAATGTCATAAAATATCGTCTGCACTCATTAATCAGCTTAATTGAGGTTACCCCTTTGAACCATTAAGAATGAATCCTAGATCATTAGATCAAATGTTGATCTGTGTGATCTTTTTCTTTAGCGCACTGTACAGATTGTATTTCTAAACACTATTCATCAGCAAAAGTATTTAATTCGCAGTATGAATGAAATTTATTGTTTTTTTTTAGAAGAGAGAGCTGGTGGGACTCAGTTGAAATTAATCATTACATTTTATGATGGGAGTCAAGCAATGATGAAGCCAATGAGGTAAGTTTTGATTTATTTTTATGCGATATATTCATTATATTAGCATACCTGCCAATTTTCAATGTTTCCGAAAACGGATTTTCAAGTTGTAGTAAAACAATTACCGTAAAACTGTCTTACTCAAAAATATATTTAAATTTTGACTAGGTTAAAATTTGCTATCGTAAAGACTATTATAAGGATCCAGTTTCTGCAAAAGCTTTAATAAATTGGTAGCGAATTTAATAGGAAAACTTGTAGAATAAGGATAAATATGTCTACTCTTTAAAAATGTCACCGCGAGATAATTGCTATTAAGTTGCATCTTATATGATACTTTAAACTTTCGATATGTAGAGGTGGAAAAATTCTTTAAAATGAAAAATAACTAAAAAAAACTTAAATTTTGCTACCACTTAAAAATATCGTTTTGCAGAGTGAAACAAGTTGTTATCTCTGATGTTATACTTTGAAATATTGATTGATTTAGTATCAGCACTGCAGCATTAAAATTACACAACATATATACAATTATTATACAATTTTAAAATTCTTATAATATTGTGGTTGCTAATTATTAAGATGTAAAGCATCTTATTTTTAAAATGGTGACTGTTGATGGTGCCTCAGCGGAGACATCGGAGTGCAAAGGGTTTCAATACGCGTCCGGAGCGTAGCAGTTGGCATCTCTGCTACTATTGTTTCATTTTATTTGATAAAATTCTTTTCGCTTTAGAGTCTTTGGAAAAAAATTAGTAAGAAATTAAGTGTATCGTATTATTGACCACACTAAACATACTTTTCAGCAACTGCGAAGTCTTCAGAAAATATTTTTCATAGTGGTAACAAAATCAATGTATTAATATCATAAAGAATTAAAATTGAAGGGATTTTTATTCAAAACAATTTTCCGGCCGCGTTTGGGATGTGCAATGTCAGATGTAAAGAGGCTGATTTATATGTCATTTTGGCCAAAATCAATTTAATTATCAAAACATAAGTTTCTTGACCAGTGGAGAAATTCTTCCAGGTGAAAACGAATTGTTAAAATATATGACTTATTAACCGTTTGAATTTGAACTATTCTTTAAGCCAATTAAATGGCTGAGCACGTGAAATATCCTCAGTGGTAGATGGATCATGGGTTAGAGTCCCCTTGCCCCCGTCAGGCTAACCGTGTGAGGTTCTCGTGGTCTTCCTATCTATGTAACACAAATGCGGGTCAGCTCCATCAAAAAGTCCTCCACGAAGGCAAATTTCTCTCAATACTCGATCTAGAAGTTCCCTTGTCTTCTGGATTGGGTTCAAAATTACAAGACTACGGAGTTGAACATTAGTAGCCGTAAACCCATTAAATTGGGTCGGCTGTTCAACGACGGTTATAAAATAAAATAAAAAAATTAAATAGCTGATAGTTCTTTAAAATCAGGGCTTCCAACTATAACGCTTTTTGTAAAATATTTTATAAAGTGTTAAACAATGAAACCCTAAAGCTTCCTTACTTAGCAGAGATGCCAACTTGCTCCGGACAGCAAATATATATTTTAAAGTGGTAGTTTATCAATTGGGATTCTTGGTTTAATAAATTCAATTTAGTAGATTTTTATCCACCACTATTTCTAAATAATTTGTTGGCTTATAAAATTCATCATTTTACAGTAATTATGTTATGCTATGCATTTAAAAAAGCAAGCAAAAATAGTAAAATATTTGCAAAATTTGCTTCGTGGTTATTTACCGTTTTTTCTAATTATTTTGGCGTGTCTGGAGCATTTGGCATCTCTGAACTTGGTCACTGTTAAGTTATGCTACACCGTTTAAAAAAGTAAGTAAAATTAGTCCATTATTTGCAAATTTTAGTTAGTAGTTCATCGTTTTTTATCTTATTATGGCGTGTCCGGAGCAGTTGGCATCTCTATATCTTAGTTGGAAAAGCCATCGTTTCGTACTCTGAGTACTAAAGAGAAAGTAAGTATAAGGGGTTCTGTAAATTTTTATTACCATATAAATACTACATTTTAAGTTTTCCAAGGACCGTATGGTCCAGGTAAAGTAAAGTTTCAGTTTAAGATAAAAGTTCTGCAAGTTTTATGCTTTAAAATCGGAGCATCAAAATCTTTATATTTAACTATATATATAGAGTGTGTTATCAAAAGAAACTTAGAATTTAATCAAAGCAAATGACAGATTCTCTCTTTTCGTCAGACAGATTTGATCGAAACAAAGAAACACTCCCAAACCACTTCTATTTTGTTGACTTTGAACGACACAACAGCGAGATTGCAGCATTCCACCTGGACAGGTAAATAGTCTCTCCCTTTTATATATATTTACCTTTTATAACAGAGGTTTACTTTATACTTTGCTTTGTTTTATTTGTGATAAATTATGTAAAAATACTCGTGTTACTACATTCATATAGCTCGCACAGTTCTTAAAAAAATGACACATTTAAAATTAATGTCTATTTTATTATCATCTAACTACAAATTTTGTTTGAATTAACATACACTTTCTATTAAATAAATAAGCTTAGATCAAGTTTATTATAAAATTAAAGGTTTTTTTCGAAGCTCTTTTGTCAAAAAATGAATAAACAAATAAAATAAAAAGCCTCAGTTTAATCACCTTAGTTGCTTAAAGGCGTAATTTTAAACAAAGGTATTTAAGCTCTTTCGTCAAAAAATAAATGAATAAATAAATAAAAATAACAAGCCACAATTGAATTTCCTTAGCTGCCTAAGGGTATAATTTGAAACAAAAGTATTTTTTCGAATCTCCTTCGCTAAAAATATGAATAAATAAATAAATAAGAAACGTTCGTTTAATTGGCTTAGTTGCCTAAAGATATCATTTTAAACAATTTACACCATCTTGCCATAAAGAATTATCTAAGTTTTAAAATGAACTTACAGCTTGAATTGAACTTTTTTTTAAATTGCACTTTGGTGAGATTTTTTCTATCACAATTCAGTTATATTTCAATCGCAACTTCACGAGTTTTTTCGTCTAGAATAAGGAGTTCCTTAAGTGAGTGTCGCCAAACTCCTAGGCTCCATGGAATGAGACTAGGGGTGTTGCCAGGTGTCTATGGCTTCAAGTATAATGAAATCTATTAATAGTAAGTTATTCAAAGGAAAAAAAAGTTTCACGATAGAGTTGACAGAATTTTTGATGTACGTTAAGTGTGAGTATCCCGTTCTTAGTGAAAAATATATAAGGCTTCTCATTTCCTTTTCTACTTCCTACAAGTGCCAATCTGGCATCAATTTACCTGCTCTTAAGAAAAGCAATTGCTGTTCTTAAGAACAAATATCTCTCGAAAATGGAAATCAAAAAAGAAATACGTGTAACTATATCAAGATCTACTCAACGATTTGAAAAGTTTCGCAATGTTCACCTATTACACTAAATAAATTCCCAATATCTTCGTGTACGGATAGTAATAGCCACTTATTTCTATTTTCTATTATATTATTAATATTTATTAATATGTTATATATTATTATTATTATTAACATTTTAAATACATATATTATTTTTAATATTCATTTATAATTTTACAAATGAAGTATTAGAGTAGATTTTTTAGTATAAGTTCATATAAAAGGATAAAAGCGAGAGAGCCTCTTATGCATTAAAACAAATCAAACCTGGTATAAATTGCATTTACTACCACTTACATTAGTTACCACTTAAATAGTTTCTACTTCATAATCTTCCACACATGTGGTAAATAATGCAAGTAGGAAAAAAATATAATATTGCAGACGAATATCATATGAGTGTGGTGTCACTTGAAAAGGTTTGAGAATTTCTGACTTTGAAGAAAATTATTAAAATCAATAAATAATTCGAAATTTTTGAAATTTTTTAAGAGCTTAGACAATGCAGCATTGCCGTAACTTTTTATATATTAAAAAAATAGTGGAGAAACACTATTCATTTTTACAATACTGTAGCTTTTATTCCTATAATCAGCGTACACTGGTTCTTCCTATAGCTATGTTTATAATTAGCGTAAAGAGCACTAGCTCTTCCTAGGGCTATTTCTATAATTAGAGTACAGAGCATTGATAATCTAAGCAATTGAGCTAACAATCATAAATAACAGTTATGAATACATGTTAGATATTAACATAACTTAAAAACTAAATGTCTAATTAGTTAAGAACATACATCAGATATGGAATTAGTTAAGAACACATTAATTATAAAAATAGTTAAGAACACGAATAGTACTGTAAAACGTTTACTAAATAATTTCCAAATATGAAACAACATTTACTGCTTTTCTCAGACATACTAGTACGGGACTTCTTATAGGTTTTGAAAATAGATGAAGGGTATATTTATAAGTAGTTTAGAAACCTAAGCTACAATTGCTATCTGTATCATAACCATCGATTATAAAAGTAATAAAAATGTAGCTATGTGATTCAGTAGTTTTTAGCTCTGAGAAGTACTAAAATTAAAACGAGCAAACAACAAAAAAATAAATAAATAAAAATTAAAAAATAAATAAATTAATTAATTAATAGCTTGAGATAAAGCTTTAAACTACGAGAGAGAACGTTTTCCCCTCAAGAAACATATGCTACCATCTATTCAATTCCTCTAACATTGGCCCAGCACATGCAATTCATAAATTAATCGTAAGAATCATTATTCTTATATCGTCTGCTACGAGATATTTGTAGAAGGAAAAAAAAAGGAAGATCAAATTCGCAAGACTAATTATCGAATAAAGATATTGGCATACACTTTAATATTTAAGGACAATCAACTCGTACGTCATCACGACACTTTTCTAAGAAGTTTTTCTAGCCTAACGAGCCCAATGGGCCTTCTCTGGTAACTCAAACTATCAGTCGATACAGTAGATTTAAATAGTTAACACGCTATCATCATAATTTAGTGCCGATGACACTTTCTTTTGCATATTTCTATACGATTATATCATGAACGATGATTATATTTATAACATGAAGTAATGAAATACTTTCCTGTGTGTGACTAGTTTTAAAAATATGTTTTTTCTTGCTTTATTCCAAAAATAATTATTGGATAAAGATAGGAATGCGTTAATTTATGCTAGTGTTTCAAAATGCTTTTGATATTGTGCATTTATGCAAAAACTTTAGAGTTTCTTATGAATTCCAAGTCTCTTATATTAGATTTTAGTTCAATCACTCATAACAAGTCTTTCTTTCATATTTTTGTTTATTTACTCAAGTTTAGCTCATACTAAAAACAAAGAGAAGAAAATATTTACTTTACTAACGTTTCTCGAAATATCTTTAATTTAAAACGAGTGATAGCCCATGCCTTCCGTATAAAATTGCATTTTATTAAACATGAAACAAATTTATGAACCAAAACAAATGGTGAGAAATTAAAACACTTAAAAACAATTATGATTTACTTCACAAAATGTACATTTGTCTTCATTAACACATGACGCGCTTGAAGAATTAACATCTAAGCATTTCAAGGAACGAAAAAAAAAGTAACCAAACGATTTCAAAGAACTTCATAAAAAACAATGTAAAATAATTAAAGAAAACTATAAATTCATCAAATTGACCATTTTCTAAGTTTTTTTTCTCCGTAGTGTGGCACTTAAATCGTCTGAATTACTGTTACCATTTTGCCGTTTATTGAAGGAAAAATGCCACTCAAATGTTAGAATATTAGAGTAAATAAAAACGCCTTTTTATTTACTCTAATATTCTAACATTTGAGTGGGAATCATAAATTTCTTTGAGATATAAATGTGTGAAAAATTTTTCCATGGTTTTTAAATATATTAATATTCCATGTATCGATATCAATTTCATATATTGATATCAAAATTAGGGATTAATATATAAATATTTTTAATATGTAGTAAAATGGAAATGTAGACTGCAAAAAAGTAGAAATATGATGAAAGATTACAACAAAAATGACCGGAAGTAGCACTTGCCAATAATTGTACTAAGCTGTTTTTTTCTTTTTTCTTTTCATTAGTCCGTATTTTTAAAGTTTTTTTCATGATAAAAATTAAACTAATTTTCATGTTCTCTCTGATTAAATTCTTCATAATTGCTACTATTCTTATAATAGAATTTATATTTGTTTGTAGTCTCCTCTTTCAAAAATATTTATATATTCTAAAGTGGCGGAACATATTCTATAGTGACGGAACATTACGCATATATCGTACTATACATTACACTAAATATTACATTTGCCACGATACTAATTCTCCCAACTAATTTTTTTCATAATAAAATATAGTTTATTCCAACGAAGTTAATAGCAATGTGAAATTTAAGTATCTATGTTATCGAAAATCATATTTTTTGACTTTCCAAACTAAATTTCGAACCTGCTGCGTTATGCTTACAAGACTTTTGCCTCCAAAGAATGTCTAAGAAGCGCTTTTCGTTTACGTAAAATATGTAACTTATGAAGAACTCAACTTATGATCTTCTCTTTATGAATGTTAAATATGTGTTGATTCCAATATTAAAACTATTTAACACTTTAATATTTAAAATTTATAGAATTCTTGGCTTCAGACGATGTCCTCCAGTTATCGGTAGAATATTGAATATTACAACAGAAATATATGCTGTGGCTGATGACGATCTCCTGAAAACCTTCTTCATTTCGCCAGGTAGGACAAAACTATTACACTAGGTCAAAAAAAAAAAATTCGTTGCATGTATACAAGTACTTGATCTTACCTAATTGTGTATTTGCAACTCGAGAAGTAAAGTGGTTACGTCTAACCATATGCTTTGAATTAGATTTAATTGGATATCTGTAACCGCGCTTGTGTCGAATCTAATTGGTTTCTGAATTGATAAATGCCACGATTTACCGATTATGACATCATTTGCAGGTTTCCAATTCTAGTGTGGGGATTTCTTAAAATTAGTTTTGCTCCGAAAACTACAGATTTTTTTTTAAAAATAGTATTTTTTAATTCAGTTTATTTTTTTTTGTCTGACTGTACAAATTTACAAAAAACGTATAAGTTTATATGAACTGATCTTTAAACAACAACATTGACGCAAATTTAATGTTTTATGCAACGTAAATTTAGTTTTATGCTAATTTACATGTTTACTTTAATTTTAAAATTAGAATACTATAGTAAAAGTCAAAGCAATGCGAAAAATAAGAAAAAGGTGTTGCGAAGGGGTTGTAATTTTCTTATTTTAGCGAAAACGTGTCAGCGTAATATTTGATCTAAAGGTAAAACAGAGTTGGACATTTTACACTTAAATTGTTAACACGCCACAGTAGCCAAAATATGTTGTTTCATCCAAAAATATTATAATTTTTCCTACCACTATTTTATTTTTTATAAGACGCTGCGACCACTGTGTTCAGAAAAGTTAATGAATATTGTTAAAAATGAATGTTTCTGAATGTTGTTCTAAATGTTAGTAAAACGTTCAGTGAAACTTCAAAAATAAATAAAAAGATATATTTAAAACTTATCAAATGAAATAGTGTTTGTTATAGTTTTGAAATAGTGTTTGAAATTGTTGAATTAAACAACGCAGGTGGGGAAATGGAAATATATTCCCCAAAAATTATGAGAAAGTCTAATTTGAATCTGGAAAAAATTCCAAACGTTAATGGCAATTAATAAAGTAATTTATAAAAATTTGAAGGAAAAAAAATAATTTGAGGAAGAAAGGAATCATCTTGCTATTTAAGAAATGTCGGAAAATGTCCCCGTACATCTTTTAGAGCATATTTTAATTTATATATCTGGTACGCGATAAGCTGTGCGATTTAATTTTGGAAATATCTAAGATATAATACTGTCATGCAATTGAAAAAATAACTTAACACTTTCACACCGGGAAAAGAGAAAATACTGGTAGAAGAACTATTTCAATATTAGATAATATTCGGGAGGAGTTAATCTATTCTCAACAATAACAATTCACTGTAAGGAAATTTATCATGGCGGAGAAGCAATTCAATATAAATATTGCATCCGTTAAAAACAATTGGTAGTTATGGATTTTTATTATTCCCGGAAAAAAACTAAAAAATGAAATTTATTGGTACCAGTTTTTACTCCGGTGCGCTGCCAGGATGAGACAATCTAGCGTGACCCACCAGTGGGTCACCCCGGCGCGAACGTGTTAAGTGCTTCGCGATAGAGGTGGTATGACAATCATTTTCTATCTCTTACTAATGCTATTCGTTGAAAGAGAATTTCAGAAAGCAGAGAAAACGAAATTGATTATTGAAAAAAATTTTTTTTTTTGTGCAGCTTATCATACGAAAATGCCAAATACATAAAAATATTAATTTTGTATTTTTTGTCGCTTGCGTTAATTTTTCTATCGCTCAGAGAAAGAGGGTAAGTTAATTTACTTAGAGGGTAAGTAAGTTAAGTTACATACCCCAATTCTCTACTACGACGGGAGTGATAGAAAGAAGGCGATAACACATTTCAGTTTATAGTGTGAAATGTTAAGGTCATGTGTTTATTTAACGCATAAACACATAACCTTCAAAAAATCTTAAGTGTCTTTCATTCCTTAAAATTTTCGAAATTTATTCCTGTTCTTTATTTGCACATTTACTATTCGCAGTACCATTTGTCGAAATTTTTTAAAAAAAAATAAAGCCAGGAATTTTGGGATAAAAAATTTATGAATGAATCAATCAAATGAATTTACAGCAAGGTTTTTTCTTCTTTTTTTAAGAGCCTTAACTATTTTCTACTGTTGATAGTTTCATCAATTTACTTTTAGGTCTCGGAAAGTTCTATTGGTGAAAACACAAGCCTTTTTTTAACAGTAATGCAAAAGGTTCTTTTTTAAAAGAAAGTGGTAGGATATTTATCGTTTAACTCACCAGTAACTTTCTAGCCTTAAGTGGCTGGTGGCACAGAATATATGGCGCAAAAGAGCTTGTATATACAACATGTTAAAACTTGAAACGAAAGTACGCAACATCTGATACATGCTTTTAATTGTAAACACCCCACCACTTTTCTTTTTAATGAAGACACCACTTGCATCGCTGTATAATGGGACATGTTCTTTCACGGACAAAACTTTCCGGTAGAACAATTCTGCAAAACTTAATTCCGATACTTTACTAAACTACACAGGAGATAAAATTAATATTAAGGATTCAATTAATATTTACAAAAGTCACGCAGAATATTTTATTTTGCATTTGTTTTATCCGTAGCTCAGAATTACTGTTTCCACGGACAGTGCAGCTACTACTGTGACACGGGACACGCCATTTGTGGCCAACCAGACGATATTGAAGGTAGTCTTGCGGCTTATCTGCCACCCGATCAACTCAGTGGCCGTAAATCTTGGAAGAATCCGTGGAAAAGGACGTACCACAAACGTCGAAAAGCAGCCTGGGAAACCAACGATGATTACTGTGATGCTGTTCGCAATCAGAAACTCTACAACAATACAAAGAGGCTGGCTGACCTGATTGATGTATCCATTTTTGATTTCCTTATTGGTAATAAGGGGTTCAATTTTTAAAAACTAACTTCTATTTTGACTGACTGTGTGCTGGTATCTTTGTTTTTTTTTCTTTGTTTTTTTTCTTCCTTTATTCATACGCCGGAGTATCGAATAAAATGAGANAGAAAAACCTGGTACGTAAAACATTTCATTCCAGCATTTTTTTCGAAAAAAATGAAATATCTGTAACTATCAAGATTTCTTTTATAATTCTGGCATATATATAAAACTGCTTCTTTTCCAAGATAAAGTAGTTATTGCTGAAATTGTTAAAAAAATAATAAGTAAACTCCTCCCCAAAACTAGCTATAACTGGAAAGGTTTAACTACCAGCCTTTCCTCGTTTCCGTCTCGCTTTCACCCCTGAAACTGTCATGTAATTAAAAAAAATAACGTCAAATAACGCTTCGCGATAGAGGTGGTATGACAACCATTTTCTTTTACTTGCTAATGCTGTTCGCTAAAAGAGAAATTCAGAAAGCAGAGAAAGATATGTCAATATATAAAATGATACGAAAATGTCAAATATATAAAAATCTCAATTTTGTATTTTTTGTTGCTTATCAGCCGTTCGGAAAAAGAAAGTAAGTTGTAAGTTTATTTACTTTTAGATACCCGATTCTCTGCTACGACAGGAGTGGTAGAAAGAACGCGATAACACATTTCAGTTTATGATGTAAAATGTTATGGTCATGTGTTAATTTTAAACATAAGACCTTCAAAGAACCTAAAGTGTTTTATATTTATTAAAATGTTCGAAGTTTCCTCCTTTTCTTTATTTGTTCTTTTGCTATTCGCAGTACCATTTGTCGAAATTTTTTTTAAAAATAAAACCAGGAATTCTAGGATAAAAAATTTATTATGTTCTTTTTTTAAGGAACTTTAACTATTTTCTACTGCTATTGCTTCATCAATTCACTATTAAGTCTCGGAGGTGAAGCACAAGCCTTCTTTAACAGTAATGCAAAAGGTTCTTTTATAAAAGAAAGTGGTATACGGTATTTATCGTTTAACTCAAAGATAACGTTCTAACCTTAAGCGGCTGGTGGCACAGAATATATGGCTCAATAAAGTTTGTATATAAATGTTCAAACTTGTAACGAAAGTATGCAACACTTGCTTTATACATTTAATTGTAAATACCTACCACTGTTTTTTAATGAAGACACCGATTGCATGGTTGTATAATGGGTTCATGTTCTTTCACAGACATAATATAAGACCAATTCTGCAAAACTCAATTCCGTTACTATACTAAACTCATGCCTACCAACTTTTAATCCCTTCCATTTTAATTTTTCCCAGTGGTAGTAATATGGAATAAAAATTTTAATTGTAGGCAAAAAAATACGCTGTATTTGAAAAAGCTGCAGCTGACAACCATGACAGTAATACATATCAATGCATATGTTTATTTTTTTTAAGAATAGTGGTGATAAAAATCATTTTAAAATTAATTTTATAAAAGAAAAAAGCAGTATATATTTCTTACCACTATAAATATAAAAATAACATTTTACGCCAAATGCGTAAAAGTTGGCAGGTATGTAAACTACACAGGAGATAAAATTAGTAGTTACAAAAGCTATGCAGATTATTTTATTTTGCATTTGTTTAATCCGTAGCTCAGAATTACTGTTTCCACGGACAGTGCAGCTACTACTGTGACACGGGACACGCCATTTGTGGCCAACCAGACGATATTGAAGGTAGTCTTGCTGCTTATCTGCCACCCGATCAACTGAGTGGCCGTAAATCTTGGAAGAATCCGTGGAAAAGGACGTACCATAAACGCCGAAAAGCAGCCTGGGAAACCAACGATGATTACTGTGACGCTGTTCGTAATCAGAAACTCTACAACAACACCAAGAGGCTGGCTGACCTGATTGATGTGTCCATTTTTGATTTCCTTATTGGTAATAGGGGGTCCAATTTTTAAAAACTAACTTCTATTTTGAGACAATTACATGATTGCGTATGCTGGTATATTTTATTCATATGCCGAAGTATCGAATAAAATGAAATAAACTAAAAGTTCTGTATTCCAGTTTCGAAATATGTCCTGATAAAGGCATACGTCTGTTTTCCTCTAACAAAATCTGAAAATTCGAATTCAACGGAGATCTACGGTTTTCATTCTAATTCAGATTAATGAGAATATTTTTTTAAAAAAAGGCACGTTTCTTCTAAGGTTTTTTTAAACGCATGTTGAATGAACATGCAAAAAAACAACAACATTTATATATATATATATATATATATTTATCATTTTGCTTGTTTTGAACCAAATCGCTGTGGCCACAACAGTGGTTGTTGCTGTCGTAGGATAGTAAGGCAAAGAGTGCGATTGTTCTTGTTTTCCAGTGGCGCCATCTATGGTCAAGAATTCGACTTCTGCCGCACCCATACATTACATCTGTTTACATTATCCGAAGCCATTCATGAATTCATTCACCTACAAATCGTAATTTTGACCTGAACCAGAAAACGATCTATCTCCAATTTAGTACCCCCAGAGGTAAAATTCGTTTTTGTAACATGGAGGACTTTGTGACCTGATATATTTAACGAGCACTAGTCACCATATATTTCATGGGGAGTTTTCGGTCGGCTGGATTCGAGCTCCCGCTCTAACGAACGCGAGTCCAGTGCCCTGCCAACCAGGCTATCCCGGCCCATGGTAAAAATGTTTCATGGGGATGTAAGAGAAGTATGTGAAATAAAATGAAACAAGTAAATACATATTTTATCATTTCCCCTTTCATTCATTGGATGCAAAATAAGTCGCAATTTTGTCCCTTAGTATTAGCTGGTACTTATGACGAAGTACTCTCAAATATGTTTGCAATCTTACTATATAAGTAAGAATATACTACTATAAATAACTTTCTGCAACCTATCTAAAACTAAACTCAGCGGCGCGACAGCCCATAGAGGGCCAAGATCTCAGTTTTCTTGACCTTGGGCTCCGGGGTGCAGGAGCAGATGTTCCGGTCAGGTGGACAGCCGAACGCGGAACCCCCTGTGTTTAATTCCCTAGCATGCTTGGTACTCATTCATCGACCCACTGAAGGGCTGAGTCTACCTTGCCCGGCCCGAGGATCGAACCAGGGACCTGTGGCACGACAGCGCAAAGCGCTACGGCTCAGTCACCAGGCGTCAGCAAGCTATCTATTTTACTATAATCTACCTTACTATGCTATCTTACAAAAAGTAAATTTCTTCTGAAAGAGCAATTGCTCGAATTGGAAATCTAAGAAAAAAATCCTACATTTCACTTTTTTTTTAATCTAATGAACTGAAAAGACCATTGAAGAGCTCAGTGGAGGAAGTAGGAAAGAGACAATTTTAGGGGTATTTATTTATCTGGGAAATTAACATAAAGTGAGTACTATTACTAAAAAAGTAATAAAAATTAATAAATATTTATTAATAAGTATTTTTTGCATGGAATTTGGATAAACGAATTTTACAATTGGATGCAAAAATTTTTCAATTCGTTTAAAAAGTTCTCGAGAAATGGCGATATACGCAAAAAATAAAATTAATATTAAGAAACTTTGAACCTCTCTTCTAACCAAAATATGGGGACCTATTTCCCAGATTGAGACTACCAGTTATATTTTGGGGGTCAAAAATCCAAATCATTCATAATAAAAAGTATGCTTATTCAGAGCAAGTACGTTTTTGAGTCTGATTTTTTAACTTAAAATATCGCCTGCACTAATTAATTAGAATATTTGAAGTCACCTCTTAAAATTAAATCTTAGAACGTAAAGATCCGATCATTATATCAAAAGTTATTCAGGATGGTCCGTTGATTACTTTGTGCACTGTACATAACGGTAATTCGATTAAAAATTGTATGAGTTTTCAAACCTGTAAGCATGACAACTTTCCCCTTCGTGCTAAATTTCAACCGTGCTTAATTCATCAAGATATGGTACATTAAACATTATTTTTTTAAGTGAGTAATATTCACAATAATCAAATAAAGTCTAAGTTTTCGCTTTAAAAAATAATGTTAACATCAAAACTACTTTTTAATTTGACTCAGTTTCACTGCAATTTATGTTCTGTTATGTTGTTTATGTAATTTACAGTTGCATTTACTTAGTTGATTTAGTACGTTTATTCTTTTATAGGAAATATGGACCGCCACCATTATGAAACATTCAAAATTTTCGGAAACGAGAGTTTTATTTTGCACCTTGATCATGGAAGAGGGTAAAGTATTAATTTATATGTATATATATAATAAAGAATAATTTTTTCAGTAATGAAGATTAATATAGATTAAAAATTGTATTCTTGATTTAATAGAAATTTCCATATAAATTATAAGATCGATTGCACATTAAACTACAAATGCGAAAAAAATATCTCTAATTTCCATCGTAAAGATACTCTACATAGTATATAGAACATATTTCCTAACAATATATATCTATAAATTAAGTAGTCTATATTTCTCTAATGTGGCATCACAAATTCAGGTATTTGTCTACCTTTTGGCAACGCTATAGTTATTATTCATTTTGTTAGATTGTCCTTGGATATACGTTAAGTACTTATTTAGAATGATTTGAATTTTTACAGAAATAAAAACTTAGTTATAAAGTAATTAGTTAGATTTATTTTTGATCCTAAAATGGCTGTAGAAGTTTCGAACATAAACGGTGCTATGGTTCTGCATACTTCCATACCAATTATTGATGACGGAGCTGGAATTTTCCGAGAACTATTTCTGTCCTAGCTGCTCAGTGGATAAAACGTTCGCCTCCCAATGAAAGAAACTGGGTTCTAAAATAATTTTTAAAGGTTGTTGTTCATTTACGTCGCACTAGAGCTGCACAAAGGGCTATTGGCGACAGTCTGGGAAACATCCCTGAGGATGATCCGAAGACATGCCATCACAATTTTGATCCTCTACAGAGGGGATGGCACCGCCGCTTCGGTAGTCCAACGACCTGCACGCGAAGTCGACCACTTTACGGTAGAACAGTTTAACGAGGATCAATACCGCACACTCTCGGTCCCTACGCAGACTGATCCAAGTGGTCACCCACGCGCACACTGACAGTAGCCAGTGATGCTTGACTTCGGTGATCTGCTGGGAACCGTGTTTTAACGATCAGTCCACTACTGGAAAGTTTTTAAAGGAAAATAGAAAAGAGTTGCATGGAGATGAAAGTCAGGCTAACTGCATATTTTTATAAGCATATTTTGATCACCATTTAAATATGGCAGTCATACAATGAACAGTTTTCTCAAATACTTCGTTAAATTTTCATTTTTAGTGAATAGTTTGATGCGAGAACAAGGTAATTACAGTTTTTCTTCTTCATTTAAGTCTAGTTTTGATTGTGTACAATATTTATAGATGTTTCGATAAAGTGCAAAAGTTGAAAAAAAAACTAAAATCAGTTCTCTCTTGTATAGTAAATAGTTAGAGAAAAAGATTATCCAAACTTATTTTCTCTAACACTTCATTTCCCGATCAACAACTAATTGTGAATCTAGACTTACCTTGAATCTATCTTCTCTTTTACTTTCTTAAATTATAATACAACAAATTGTATAACATTAAACTTTTCTAGATTTGGAAGATCCAAACACGACGAAATATCCATCTTGGCTCCCCTGTACCAATGCTGTTTCATCCACGCCACCACATTCGAACGTTTGCTTCAACTCCAAATCAATCCCATGAAATTATCTACACTAATGCGCTGCTCAATGTACAGCGATCCCTTGAATCCGATTCTGAACGATGCCCACTTGAAAGCTTTGGATCGAAGACTTCAAATTGTTCTCCAAATCGTAAGACAATGCTTCCAAATGAAAAGTGAAAAATTGATTCTTTATCATGGATAGGATCACCCACAAGTTTTTCTGTAATGTGAGAAAATCTGAATCGTGATGAACTCTGATATCGTTCAAAATTCGATACAATCTTATATAACAAGACAAGTTTAATCACATCATGGTGTAATTTAATCCTTCAATTTAATTACATGATACTATAATTTAGCTGGAACAGATGATTCAGTTTCACACTGTGTAAAAGTTATTGCGAATTGACAAGATAATATGGTTCAACAGGCCGACATTATGGCTGAGCATTGCAATCAGTTATAGACCCATCAGTCTATATAAATTATACTGCAGTAAAACGGGGTAGCTTCACATGGTAAAGGTAGAACATTAATGGTGGTAGCTAGAGCTTTCAATGGCCCTTCTTGTGTTGCATGACACATATCTGACAGATCAACTGAACTTACAGTTGTGTAAAGTATAGATCATTCTGATTTTCTTTATTTTTTTGCTATGTACAAAAAGAAAAAATATTACATTTGAAATTTGAAGTATTAACATAGATTTTTGCATTATCTGATTGTGCAGTGTGCATTCGGCACTATTTGCTGTTTATTAACCTTACTAAATTCCTGAAAATTTAGGTAGCACAGTGAATTGAGTGAGATAAGAACTTATATGTTATAAAGATATGTGAGATAAAAAATTATGTGATATGTATGATATAAAACCTTATATGTTATAAATTTTTTATCACAGCAAAGAAAGAATGCTAGATAAATTAGTGAATCGGAGTGAGTAAGATTTGGGTTTTCACGAAATTTGCACTAGATTATTTTGATAAGCTATTGTAACTGACTAAGAATTCACTTAAAGCATTTAGAAATTTGAACTAGCATCAAAAGGATTTCGGTGGTGCAAGGTGGTTAGATGAAAAATTCGGACTTTCAAAAGGTGTTAGGTGGCACCGAGTGTTAAAAATCAGCATACCAACTGCATTTTATATTAGAAGCTCGTGTAAAATTATATTTTTGATTGATCAGAAGTTGTACAAATTTTTATAATTAGTTTTTATGAAACAATGTGCACATTTGTTTTGTGTTTGAAATAAATCTCGTTATTTTCTAGAAAAAAAAGTTGTTGAAATTTCTTGAACATTATTAAGGGGGAAAAAATTCTAAAAAAAAAATGCAGAGATGTCAACTTCACCGCTCTAGTCAAAAGATTTTATAAGATGGTAAGAAATTTAAAAAAAAAACTTTCTTATAAATTTAAAAGATTTTCCATCAAAAAATATAAAAACAAAATGTCGTGTAGCAGTAAAAAATAAGTTTAAAAAATATTTATTAAACCTAGAATCAAACTCAAAAACATACTACTAATTTTTTTCTCTCATAAAAACGGAAAAGTTTAAATTTTCTCAAAATGAGAATTTTTTCGGTGGTTTGAAAAATATTGATGTAAAACTCATCACAGATAAGTGGAAGTAGAAAGAGTGTAAAAAATAAGCTTATTTTTTTAAAAAAATTTGCTTTATCGTACTTCAATAAATATGTGAGATAGCTTCCTTTTAAAGTTTGATAAACCGATTTTTGTTTAGCAGAAAATAATATACTGATGCAAATTAACTTTATCGAAGAAGTGGTAGTAAATATACATTCAAATTAAATGGATACTTTCTTCTTTATACTACCATTTTAGCTAAGAAAATGCACTATGTAATGAAGCAGATTTATAGAAGACAACCCAGATGTTCGAGTAGCACACAATGCATTAACGAAATAACAATAAAAATAATCTTTATTTATTTAATTTTGCCAGTACTTAAAACTTCATGGCCCGATAGTTAGATCTTATATAGAAGTTTAAATTGATGTTAAATACCGTTTATACGAATTGTATAAGTCGACCTTTTATTTATGATGACGAGATAGCAAATTTTTGGTAAGTCGGATGTATAAGTCAGCTGCTGAAAAAATCAGTTATGAAAATTTTTAAAACAAAAATTCGACTTAAAATATTTTTACGTCGGTTAAAAGAATAGTTTTACAAATTTTCAAACTGTCGAGTGCTTAAATTAACCACTAAGAAAAACAAATTATAAAAATTTTTAAAACTAAAATTCGGCTTAAAAATAGTTTTACGTCTGTTAAAAAATTAGTTATACAAATCTTCAATACGTCGGGTGTATAAGTCAACCGCTTAAAAGAGAAATAAAGAACATTTTTAAAACTAAAAATCGACATAAAAAATTAATAAGTGTAAAAAATGTGGCATAAATTATTTAACACATCTCACAATCCTACTCGTGCAAAAGGCATGCAACATTCACTTAATAAAAGACTTGTATATGTTTTGAAACTAACAAATAAAATATTAATAAAAATATTTATTTAACGTTAAAATTTAAAACTAGAATTACAATTGGAAATAAATTATTAATAACAATAAAAAAAAACTTCTCTGACCAAAAGTGCTAACGACATTAGTTCCAATTTTAATTTGAAGTTGAACAGAAAATCATTTAGCGTTTTCATAGGGTGGAGGTGGATCCTTTACTTCTGTTTCAGAAGAAACACTATTGTAGATCTGGAAACTTTGCCTTTGAGGGAAAAACACTGGAGAAGAACTGGAGATTCTACTGGAAATCCCACTAAGATCGCAAGAGTTTTTTGAGTACCGATCTAAGAGGTTGACTTTCACCCGCTCAATAGGATGGATCTCATCATCATCATCACAGTTGCCGCTTAAGACAATTTCGGGAATGATTGTTCTAGGAGTCTCAACATAGATATGATGTTTGGCATTTTCTGAAAAATTAAAGGCTAACTTAATTATGACGAAAAAAATATTAATGAAAATAATGTTTAAACAATATTCTGCGTCAAAGGGTTAAGAAGGAAAACAATGTGATCGCTTTGTTACTATAACTAGTTACCCATTGTTTAAATGCTTTTTTTTTCCTGGATTGACTCAGATAAACGCCACAATATTTCAAATCATGGGTTGCAAAAACTGTCTCAATTGATGTTTCTCGTCGGATTGGTTTTCAAATCTTGCCTAAATACGCGTTTTAAGAAGTCACAAAATTTTTTTCCTTCTCATTCATATTTACATTAAAATCACCGTCAAGACAGTAATTACAAGTTAATAATAAAAAGAATATAAAAATGCTTGGAATTATTATTATGTAAATATATTCAAAATGCCTGCTGGTGAAATGAAAAAAGAATTCTAAAAAATAAAAAATGATCAAACAGCAGTGATCGCCATAGCAACACGACGCATGCGCACTGTTTACTATTTCTGTTGAACACAGTTTAGAATCCTTATCAAATATAATAACAAAACAAATGCACGTATATGGGGGCAGAAAATTAATACTCAGCAGAGGAAAAAACAAAAACTATTGAAATCTGACAAATCACAGTACATGAAGGTGAACGAGTTTGATTGCGGAAGAAACAGAGGAGTTAAGAGACGATTATTAACAACTTAGATTCATAATAAGATAGGTAACTTAGATAACTCAGATAACAACAGACGATTATTAATTGATTATTGTAACACCTAAGTGTTACAATAATCAATTAAACCTGTTTTGGTGTTTATCACATCTGCCTTCCTCAACTTTAATTGCTTACATTTCGAAATATTTTTTTCTCGGCTAAATATTAGTTTGTGACCGCCATGTATACTTTGTATAATTATAATATAATTATAATATCAAAAATGTAAAATTTTTGATAACTATTCTAAAAATGCATATTAAGGGAGGTCTTTACAGGGCATATGCATATAATAACTTTCCTTAAAGAATTTGGATTTTAGAACGGACAAGTAGCTTAAATATTTATAAAAAAATTTCAGAACCACGGTGACCCTGATTATAAAGCGTTTGCTTCCCAATGGACGTGACCCAGAATCGAATTTCAGCGGTGGATGATTGATACTAATTCTGCTCCCGGCTCGCCCCGACCGCAGTGCTGACGTAAAATATTTTCAATGGCAGACGGATCATGAGTTAAAATCTCCTAACAATCAGGATAACCATGGAAGGTTTTCGTGAATTTTGATCCATGCAACGAAAATTCGGGTTAGTTCTATCAATTGTAATTCACGAAGGCAAATTTCTCTCAATGCTTGATACAAGAGTTTTCTTGTCTTCTGGATTGAGTTCAAAATTACAAGGCTATTGAGTTGAAGTCGTAAACTCAGATCGAATTGAATGTTGGGTTTAATGGCACAAAGTCCACAGAAGGACATGCTGCGCGTCGTAAACTCAGAATGGAGTCAACTGTTCAGCGCCGGTCATAAAATATATGTACAAAAAAAAAAAAAATAATCACCAATAAGGTAAAATTTTCCCACCTGAATAAAAATTATTTAAAAAAAAATAAATTCTAATTTTTTTTGCAGGCTTTTATGTGCCTGGAGAATTCAGTGTTGTTGTAAGCTTTCAGGTACAAAAATGAGATAACGAACTCTTTTCATTTTTACAAAATTGGATACCGGCAAGTGACGTCATCATGGCATTTGTAGATTCAGAAGTCAATCAAGTTCGACACACACGGTGCCGTCATTTCTAAATGTATCCAATGAAATCTGATTTAAATCACATGATTAGGCACAATCACTTCACTTTTTCTCGAGTTGCAAGTATCCAGTTTCCCCATTTTTATAAATAGCTTAGACTGTGATGGCAAAACTTAACAATGTAATAAATAGGTGTTACAAGGAACAGTTGCACAAACAGCATTATTCTCTAAAAAGCTCCATTTTATGTATCAACTGAGCCTTCGTCAAAGAGTTATGATCAGTAATAAACCAGCTCGTTGATTGTCGACCATACAATGTTAAAAATTCTGAGCCACGCTGAACCGAAAACCGGTATTCATTTACTGACTGCATTCACAAGTTCCAAATATTAAGACAAGGTTGCGCCAAAAGTAGAACTTTTGAAGTAACAAAATACTTTTCTACTTTTTTTCCTTTAAAAGAAAACGGTAGTACCATTATTAGGTATTTTTAAAGAGCTCATATGTAGGCCAAAGTAGCTTCTTAACCGTAACAAAACAGTTAAACCGTAAGTAGGTTATTTTACGTCATACTTCTATTTTATACAGCCTGCTAAATTTAAAAAGGCAACATAAAAGGAAGAAACTTTAATGCAAATAAGACATTTACCTGCCTAAACAAGTTGATACTTGAAACAACATGCATTAGTCGTCGTGATACACCGAAACTGAGTTGTAAAGAAAACATGGTACTATAAACAAATATCGTTCAGTTTACAGACACCGTCAACGTTTTGTACCTTTTACCAAATTCTGGTGCAGTCAGCTGCACCATGGAAGTATTTCTCGATCGTACTTCACAATTTATGGTGCAACTAAAATAAATTAAACTTTCATTCGACTAAACTTTGGGATAATTAGAAACTTTGCACCGATTTTAACGAGATTTTTCACAGTGTGAACAATGCTTAAAAATCTTATGTAAAATTTTTCTGTATAGTGTAATAATAAAATTGTTTACCTTTTTGGATCAAATCCTTTTTTTCTGATTTGGAAACCACAAAAGTTTCATCCGCATTAAAAGAAGGGAAGAGTATATTACTGATTTCGCTCCTGCTGCCAATACTTCTCATGCGCTAAAATAAAATATTATTGATTATATATTAAGATAATCACCATCCATTAAATGGCAGCAACATCTCAGATATAAACAGAATTCAAAGTTTAGTTAAAGTGTTAAATAAAGTTAATTTAAAGTTTGGAGATGAAAAGTCTAGAATGTAAAATACTAGGAAAGATGTCCTCAGAGGAATTCGGACTGATTTATGATGGTCCAACAAAAGAATAACAACTTGTTTTAATGGTTGGTTCATGTGAAACCATCAGAAATTTCCCGCAAAGTTTTTTAGAAATCAAATGTTGGAACGATCATGAACAACCATCATCCCAATGTAGGAATTCGAACTGATCTATGATGGGCCAACAAAAAAAACACAAAAAAACAAAACAAATTGTTTTGATGGTATCGAAGCAATTTGGTTTTTCCCATTAAACCATCGTGGTAATGTACAGCTGGAACCATCGCGGATCATCATGAAATGTTGGACCATCAGAATAAAACTTGGCTTGATGGTTAACCATCATAGTATTAAAGTAGCATTTTCCATCATGGAATGTTGGAAGTTTGCTGGCATAACAAAATCAATTAACACATAATTGAAAATGTTGGATGATGGTGACCAATCAAAGGACCATCATGAATCGCACTGAAAAACAACATAAACCATCAATATGATTTGTTGAGACCAACAAAAATTTTGACTTGGGCAAAAATTCAGTAGTTAAAAAATACATACTAAGCCCCCTTTTTCATTTTCTTGCAAAGCGCACTTATAGGAATGATTTCTTGCTTCAAACCCTTGTATAGCGCATCGTTGAAATTCATATGCTCGATCAATGTCGGCTAAGGTTGGTGGTACATTCACTGTTGGCAAAGTATCGTTGCTTCTTCCGACATCACAAAATCCATACTTTTTGCTAAGAAAAAAAAGTAAAACTTTTCACTATTTGCTTTTTTTTCTTTAATAAATTATGAATTTCATACATAATTATACAATGAAAAATCTTTCAATTTTGTTTTAAAAATATTTTTGTTGTTTGCAAAATTAGCCATTTGTTTTTACTGTGCAACATGTTGTTCCAAAAAGCAAGCTAAAACTTTTAAAAGTTTAAAAGCTTTCATATTTTAAAAGTAATATTTAAAAAAAAATTATTATTCATTTTAAAAATCCTTAGAAATTTGAATTTTCGTCTTCTTTCCGACTAGCAAGAGCGCTCAAATATTAACTGGAACTTTGGGCCAGAAGTTTTAGGTTAAAATGTTTGTAAGCAGAATTTTATTTTATAACCAATTATGTATTACAATGAAACTTAATATGAATGCGTTACCATGGTAATGAATATTCACTATTATTCTATATAAACTGGATACTCTTTTTAAAAATAGAATCACTATCTTGTTACTGCAATATAAATAGTTCGAACGTTAAAGTATTAATGTATTCAACGTCAATGTTCTCATTTTTGCCTTAAGTCTATTTTTTTAAACTAAGATTGCCTTGTCGAATCGAACCAGACTGTCTTTAAAAAAAATTATTGTGAAAAACATATAAAACATATTGGAAAACTATCAATTTTTATGACAATGAAATGAGAGTGTACTTTGTTTTGGAAGAAACGCACCTATTTTTAAAATAAAAAAGGTAAAAGTTAGTTATAAATAAAATAAACAATGAATTATCTAACTAGTTTTGAAATGGCTAATATTTTACTTTAAGGACATATTGTGAGAGGCATATAAATAAAATATGAGGTAAATCATTTTAAAATATTATTCATCTAACAATAATTGCTGCATATTTTAAACCATTAACACGTAAAATATACTTCTTTTTCTAAACTAAACACTATGCAAAAAAGAGAGGCAGCATAGTATGCGACGTCGAGTATAACTTATGACGTGAATTGTTTGATATGTGTCTTTTCCTTGTTCAAAATAATTCTGAACTACAAATTGATTTGAGTATTGCGTAAAGATAATGTATGCAGGATGTTTCAAAATGAAAAGGTAAAGCAGGCGTACTGATTGAGTAACAAATAATCTGGGAACAAAAAATAAATAGGTTAATAAAGGAAATCTCCAAGAAACACGAACTCAGACCGGAGTTTCTAGGAAGGTGCAAATTACATAAAATATTCAAGACGAATAAGCAAAAATCAATCTACATATGCTTATTTTTGTTGCATTTCCATATGTGTTGAGCATTTACGATTGAATACAAGGAGAATAAACAACAATCAATCTACATCTGCTTATTTTTATTGTTCAGCATATTGTTGCACTTTTACGACCAATTATACTATCTTAAAGTTTCGGAAAGACGCTTGGATACACGAAATTACAACAACGCTGAATGGAATGGAGCATCATCTGAAACATACTTGATGTTCTCGAATGCATTCTACTGTCGACTAATTTTCTTAGAAAAGACAATCTATGTATATAAAAATGAATGTCTGACTGTGGATGTGTGTGTCCTTATAGACTCCTAAGCCATCCAACCGAAAGCGATAAAATTTGGCACATAGACAGGTCAAAGCTCGAAGAAGGTTACATTTACAGGAAGTCCACGGCATACCTATGAATACTCACTAGATGCAATGACGTATGTCCGCGCATATGGGTGCCAAGATTTATTTATTGCATTCGCATGCAATCCTGTTTGGGTTGAAATTAAATAGCTTTTGTTACCTAGGCAAACATCATTGGATCGTCATATTACCGCACGTGTGATCAAATAAAAATTTAAATATTTACTTGATTTCATTGTGAAGCGTCATGTTTTTGGAGAGACACGGTGTTGGATGTATTCTACTGAACTGCAGAAACGAAGATTACCACATGCACTCGTATTGATTTGGAAGTTTGAAAAAAGTCATACCCTGTCAAATTGGTCAGCTCATATTAGCAGAGATAACAGACGTCGCCATTGATCCAGAATTATTTCAGACTATCATCCAAAATATTTTTTTTAAATAATGGCAGGCACTGAACTTTCATTCTTCGCCTTAGAAGATGCCGGAAGTGCTGCTCATTTATCGTTAGACGGTGGACACCTGTGAACCAAAGTCACGGAGGCGAGCAACATACCCACGCCTCACTGCCACAAATACCCGTTTATAGGGTGGGCCACATTCATACATCAGAAGACAACAGAGAGAGAGAGAGAAAAGCATCCATGCCCAGAGCGGGATTCGAACCCGCAGCCATTGGCTTCGCAGTCAGGCACGCTAACCACTCGGCCACCTGGCCGGCATCATCCAAAATATGATTAATGATCCGCGTGGCTCACTCAACAACGCATCACTATGCATGTTTGATGGAAAATGCACGAACGTTATCCAAGAGAAATAACTGCTGGGACTATCACTGTTTTTTTTCACCATTAAATAAAATTCTCATTTCAAATAGCAATCACAAATCTTATTTCCACTTTTAAATACAAAATTTGAGTACAATTCAAACTGAAAGCGTCGCAACGCACGCAGTGTACAGCTAGTTAGAGATAAAACTCAATCGTCCCAGCTGTAATTTGAACCCCGGATCTCTTAGAGGCAAGCGAACAGCCTAACCATTACACTAAGAATACAAATCAGTTGGAGAGTTGAACTCTGTAAGTTAAGTAAGTTGCTCACAGAGTAAATGAACTGAAACTTTAACGGTGGCATAGTTAACCCTAGAGGAAGATCCGACTGCTAATTTGTAACCTATCCAAGGCTTTCTAACATGCTCTTTAATTTTAAGCTCAACCTTGTTTTAATGGAAATTTTCGAGATGCATACTTCCCTTGTTAGACAATGACTTATTAAAGATATTCAAACAGAAAAAGTAACTTAAAATACTTTTTTTAAGATGAAATTGTGCCAAACTTTATTAGCATCTAGCGTACCAAATTTTATTAGTGACCAGTGTCCAATGTATTGTACTAATATATTGGGCGCTGTATCTCAGGAGGATATTATACATAATTTGCAAGAATGACACCGGATTACTGTTCGCAACCTCAACGTTTGCAACTACTGTTTGCAACCTCACCTACGTGATTTCATTTTTTCTTATTTGTATGATTGTTTTGTCTTTTCATTTCGGCTTCATTTATTTAAAGCACTCTCATAAAAAGAAGAGATAATAAAGTTAAAAATCCAGCTCTTAAAAAGAATAGATAATAAAGTTAATAGATTGATCCGTCTAAAAATTAAAATCAATTTTGTAAACGTACTTCACAGAAACACTTTTATAAGAACCTTTATCACTCTAGATTTTTCTCAAACCGCACAATTTTAAATCTACAGTTCATACAAAAATTCTTCCTTTAACAGATACAAAAGCAATCTACACTGTAAAAAATTTTAGTTTAACTCAATACCAAAAATGGAGGTAATTATTGTACATCAAGGTAGCGCAGTAAATCACCATAACATAACTCTTGGTTCTTGATGTTGCAATATACCAAAAATGTTCTTTGGCACTACTTGATGTTAAGTAGCTGCTACCCTTTTTGTATATCAGTAACACTAAAATTAACATAAGAGTCATTAAAGTTATTTTTATGACAATATTGTGTAAGAGTCATTAATTTGAGACTCATAAAAACAACATTTCTTAAAATAAAATTAATTTGCTTAATCAAACATACACATAGCACGGAGAAAATATTAATATGAATCTGAACTATGCGTAACAAAACCGAAGCGGATAAAAACTAAATTTTACAAAATTATTTAATACGGTTTATAGATTTAGAAAAAATCTTATGAGAATATAATTATTTCCACTATACAACAAAAAAATATACATGTCTTTTCATAAGTTTACTTCTGTTTGAATGTTTATAGCATCGTGCAAATCAAACTTGAACTTCTCTGCTCGATTGTAAACAACCAACCTTTGTTGTCTGACAGTTTCCAAACGTACGCCAAAATAGGCGAAAATAATTCATGAAGGGAGTTAATGCATTTGAGTATGTCTTAAGCTTTATATATTATTGGTGTTAAAATTTAACTACAGCCTTCAAAGCGTGTATGAACGCTTGATTCGGCATTAACTTGAAATAAAGTATTCCTTCACACAATTTTTGAAGTTTTTCTAGATCAAGTTCGGATAAGTGTTATATCCCAGTTTGCAATAAAAGCCAATTAATAAGCTTGGCGATTTGTTATTCTCTCCGATTTTCGACATCTATAAAATAGATTGCTGATTGCCCACCTATTAAAGTTAACTGAAAGTGAATTTTTAAAAATAAAAAAAGTTATACATACCAGTAATGAAATAATGCCGATGTGACTAGGAAAATGAGAAGAAATAGAGCTACAAAAACAACTTTCCAAGTCCAGTTGCCTGGCTGTTCAATTGGTTTAGCTGTAAGGAAATAAATATAAAAAAGTAGATTATGACTTTCACAGTATATAAATATTGTTATAAAGGTTTTCATGCTTTTGCGATATTTAGTTCATTAAATACTTAAATTGTAACTAGAGAGTTATAAGCTATCCAACGGAGTTATAATGTTCTCGTTGTTTTCTTCGTGTTTTTAATCATCTGTAAAAAAAAAATTGTATTTTACCACGTTTATATAAACTTGCCTTCGTGTATATCTGTCCGGGTGGAATTTTGTAATCGATTTTAAACTAACTTCCCGACTAGCTACAAACTTCAAATTTAGCACACAGTTCAGAATTGGATGACAATGCATGAAAATGAAGAGAAAAAAGACATGCAAAGTAAAATAAAATTAAAATTTCAAAAAAAAATTATTTTCGAGATTGTCCTTTGTTGTCGATTCCGTTATTTCAAACTATTATGTGTCAGGTGAAAAGATTTTTGTGCTCGGAGTATTTTTATTGGCTGAAAAATCACGTGGTAGGATCCAGTTTTTCCTCATTCATTTCCAGATTGTTTTGGTTGTCATCAGCATAAAACTATTGAAAGTCGTAAAGGTATTGTTTTTCTATAATTTAAAATAAAAGTTCTATTACTTTAGTAGTGGTCTTGTAGTAGTCTTGACTACTCTTGACTAAGAAAAATAATCTAAATAAAAATATATATCTTTAAAAACCACGTTTTTTGTAGTGAAGAATAATAATTAAAAGATAATAATTTTTTTAAAATATAAAATAGAAATTAAAAATTGAAAAAATCATAGTTTAAAATAAAAAAATTCAAAATAAAAAGTAATATTTTTAAAAACTACGTTTTAGTAGTGGAGAATAATAATTAAGAAAAAAATTGAAAAACGAAAAACGTGGGGCGCATGAAATACATAACAGTACATATACACATATATATACACATTTTCTTACTCATACACATGCACGGCCACATATACATCCACATACATATGCATATACAAAAGCATATTCCACATCCACATTCAGATACAATTACAATTACTGATATACATACTGATCTACTGATATACTGATCTACACATATTCTCAAGAGCACACATACACACACTAATATAACATTACTGTTATGTATTTCATGCGCCCCACGTTTTTCGTTTTTCAATTTTTTTCTTAATTATTATTCTCCACTACTAAAACGTGGTTTTTAAAAATATTACTTTTTATTTTGAATTTTTTTTTCATCAGTCTTGTTCTTTAAAATAACCAATCAATAAAATATAGCGTAACAATACAAACAATAAACTTAAGAGTTCGCAAGAATCTCAGTAAGAACAACAAAGATTAGATAAGATAAGATTGTTTCGTAATTACCGCTCTTCATATAGTCTTTTGGAACCCTTGACAAAAATGGAATAAAAAAATGTTTGACATTTAAGCGAAGAAAAAAATAAAAATGTTATCGAAATTTGACAAATCAATCTTTCGAAAGGATAATACACAATATAGCAGTACTTGTTTGAATGTTGGGGTTAACTGGGGAATTGAACAACGATAATTCGAAATACTTTTAAGTTTCTATCACTTCTACGAAAACCGCAGTGGTTCAAGGAATTGAGGGCTCGCGTTCAAATGAAATGAAGTTCATATCCCAGCGATGGTTGATCCATATGAATTCTGCTATTCCAGCTTGCACCGACCAATTTGATCATGGGTTAGAATCACCTTGCTGTTGAGCTACCTGTGGGAGGTTTTCTTGGTATTCCCGTTCATGTAAATGCTAATACGGCTTAGTTTAATCGAAGTCCTCCTTGGAGGCTAGTTTGACCCGGTACTCGATCCAGGAGTTCCCTTGTCTTCTGGGCTGGGTTCAAAATTACAAGCTTACGAATTTTACAATTGATAACCATACACCTTTTTAAAATGAAACAGTAATAATATTTCTAAACATCTGTATTCAATTTCTTAAACACGTATTTTGAAGCTATTTCTATTCTTTTAAACAGGTACTTTTTTAATACGCAATGCGTTTCGAACTTTGTTTAGTTTTTCAATACTTATTTCAACATCTTTTTCAGTAAACATTTTGAATTATTTCCATTTTTCAAACTCTTCATACAAGTTCCATTATCTTAAATTCAAATATTAACCTATATTCATTTTTTTCAAGCGAAATCGATAAAAAAAATTACAATGTTCGAAAATGAAGCCTAAAGCAGTTATGTCCCAAATAATACTTATTGATAACAAAACAATTGTGAGTGTTGATTAATTTCATTCAATGTAAAAATATTGCAAGCTATAATTAAATTAGAAAAATATCACAATAGATCGTAAGGCATTCATACTTCCTAGCAATATATTGAGATATGAAAAATATATTGCCCTTAATTAGTTCACACACTATATGAGGGTTATAAATAAAGTAGTAGCAACATAGCCCAGAAAGTCGCATAGCAGCGGGCATGCTTAAACTGGATATCGGAGCAGCGAGGTGGTACTGTTGTCGGTGTGTAGAATTTATAACCTTAGATATGGTACAGATAAGAGGTATAGCTGCGTGGCTTTGAAATGGGCAGCGTCATTTATTCTCTAAATCCTTTTTTTTTAAACGATCAGCAATCTTGGATTAAAATCGAAATTGACAGAGACAAAAATGCACCGCAATATTAGCAAAAGTTATTTGAAGCCTGTGGCAAGAATGTATTGTAAGATGGTTGCTCTTGGACTGAGAAGACGGCCTGGCCATCCATTTTTCAACATCACGTTGACATTGTTAAATGGGAATTGCTTGGGAATTATAAGTCTAGTTGGGCTCAGTCATCAAACGATGTGACACGTGAAGAAAGAGGGTTCTCTAATGTGAAGTAATTTGCTTCCCAATTTCATTCCACGCTGACGCACTGATCAGCATAAATGACACTGACACGTACCTGTGTCTGGTAAACACCTCGACTGATACTGCAATGAAGCATTTCTGTCGTGTCGCCTTTGATAAGCCGTGATCTCGAGTCTACAAGTCTAAAAATCCAAAACAGCTTCGTCGGGTACCTAATCGGGTGTATGAAATGCAGGTTGTGGCATACGACTAGGAGGTAGTCATTCTTACGCATGCCGTACCTCAAGAGGAAAGCAGACTACCAGTGACAGCAGAAGTATCTCAAGAGCGGGAAGGAGCTCTCTTCCCCCTCACTGTAGATATGTTACCGTTAAAGTAAAAAATAAACAATTTCAAAGCAATGGTGCAAACGTATACACGCTAATTACGTTAACTATTTTCTCTATCGTATGGCAGAAAAATGCTCGTTGTCATGATTCGCAAAATGTAGTGATTTTTAGCAACGGGAGCATTGGCTAAAGCCTACGTAGCTTAAATAGGGACACGTCGCCATTTTGGTGACTGCAACATCTCGTGACCGTAACTGTCAATGTAGAAATACGAAGTTTCTATTCTTAAACTCCACTTTTTATTGATTAATATTTCCCTATTTTTGAACATAACCTGAATGTTTACTATTTGTTCTTTTAACAAGTATGAAATAAATAAAGTTAAAAAAGAAGAGGGAATTGGAAATGACAGATCGGGGGGAATGATATTTTGCTGTTCAAATTAATCACCACTATGGTGACTGCTTACCCATGTGTTCGGCGACAGACAATCTAAATCGAAAGCGGCAAAGGTCGTGGGGTGAAAGAGTGACACTACTTACGAAAAATAATCCAGGGTTTTAGTGTTGGGAGGTGTTAGAACACCCTCCGTACTCACGTGACATTTATCCTAACGGCTACGACTTCTTTCAGTTAAAAGAGCCTTTTTCTGAAATTAGCAGACAATATCTCGAAACCCTTTCGCTTTCTGAGATCTGGCAAAAGGTAGAAGACTTTACTGGTGATTATATTGAAAGAATGCAGTGTATTTTCGCTTAAATGTTCATTAACAATGTTTTCTAGGTACGTTGCCATTACTTTATTTGCAACCCTCGTGATTCAAACAAATTTTACTAAAATCACTCACCTTCATATGTAATAGCCACACCTTTACCAGTTGCTTCATTTTTCAATCCAAATGGTGCATAGACACCTGTAAAAATCCTGATTTTCACTCTTTCGTGAGGAACGGTTAAGTTTTTCACGTCATCCAAATTGCAATAGCGTCGGTAATTTAATTTGTTCTAAAAAAAACAGTGGAATTATTTTTTAAAGGGAGTGTTAACAGTTAATAAAAAACTTTTACACATTCCTTACATCTCAACACATTTTATGACTAGCCATAATATAATAATCAGGTGTAATATGTAGAATTTATTTCAACTTCTTATGCAACTTATTCAAGCAAACAATAAGTTTTTACCCTTTAAATAAAAGACAACCTAATTTTTAAAAAAAATCGTTCAACTCACATTCTAGTTATAAAGATCCCTTTAATATCTAAATACAGGGTGATCTGTAAAGACCATCCTTAATGTATATTTTTACAATTCTTGCTAAAAATGAAGTCATACACATTTGAGGCAGTGAATAAATATTTAAGGTAGAGAAAAAAATGCATTGAACTCCAATGAATCATAATTGACTAAAAACATAAAATCTGTTTGGTTGCTGGGTAAGCAGAGAGAAGTTCAAAGGAAATTATCTTTGCGCATCTATGCTTCCTCAAGCAATTTAACTGATTTTAATATTTATAATATCGTTTTTCTCACTAGTGATACAACCGATTCGATATAATCTTTGTTTTCTTTTCACTTAAGTATTAATTTAAGACTCATAATGTGTGTATCTATTGTCCTATTTTGTGACAAAGCCACTCAATTGGCTTGATGGGTTTAATCTTTGCCTGCCACAGCTCATATCGACGTTCAATTCACCACTCTAAAGAGTGGTGAATCGAACACCGATTCATAAATATCCCATTCTTTAGAACGGGATATTTATTTTATTGAAACAAAATTATTTGGTTTAAAATATCGCCTTATACAATAAGCTGTAATGTTTCCAGGTACAGGAAGGTAAAGAGCTCGAGATTTTATTGTTTTTGTTTACATTTGTAATGAAAACATCATCCATTGTCATCGATTAGCGGAACCATAGTGCTACATTTACTAAAAAACTAAATCATTTTTGACAAAGGTTTTAACTTTATGTATTAACAGTGGCCATCGCAAAATAATTTGTGTATTTCCTTTAAAAAAAAAGGCAAATTTTAATTTTAACAATTATTAGTTTAATTATTAATTCTATTTATTTATTTTAAAATTATATTAAATGCTCAACTTAGGTAGTAGTTTTAAAAGGGAAAATGTTAACGTTTAGGATGTTCTTTAAGGGATTAATGGTTTTTACAGAGTTTTGCCGGACAATCAGGCAATTTTTACTTACCCAACTTCCATACATAATATCCATGTGTGGTTCCCGAAGATTACAATACAGTTTAGATGACTTAGCAAACAGTGAGTGAAAGTGATGAAAAGACAACTCAATAGTGTGATCTTCATCAAGCATCAAGTCCCATTCACAAGTAATATCATGAAGGTTGACCAAAGGATATCCGGGCACTTCTATAAAACCAGAAGTCTCCTTTATAGCATACTGACAATCTGTTGGGGAGAAGTATAACATTTAAGTTTCCCCAAAAGAATAAGTCATTAAATAAAATGTTAATATAAAACTACTGTGGTGGAACGAATACGAATATCGAGTTCTGAAGATTTGATATAAAGAATTTACAGCCTTATGACTAACGGAATGGATTCTCGAACCTCTAACGCTTCTTTGTGCTTTCCTTACGGACCATCACAATTCTTAATTTCAAGTAGATAAATCTAACATGTGCGTTGAATTTGAAATGTTTCATGAACTGGGCTGAATTTCTCTATTTGAAAGCTTAAACATAATCTGTAAATAAGTTTGTTCTTTTTCTCACTTCTTAACTTTTTTTACTTCAATGATGAATGGAAATTTTCCGTGCTGTGCACATCGTTAATTAAGAAATTATGTTTTGATTTCGTTAAATGTTAATTTTTTTAATCACAGATACTTTAATTTTATCTTTGGTAAGTTCATGCATTCAGTTATTTCACATTCTGTTAAATTCAGAGACGAATTCATAACCCAGCAGATGTAAAGGAAGCATAATCCCTAATCACTTTTCATGAATGGCACAAAATTCCCAACCATTTTTTCTCTCTGAAAAAAAAAATCACCCAAATTACACTGGCATATATTTTTTTCTGTTTCGTGTGGAAAACTTCGAAATTAATTTTGACTTAATGTATTAAGCAGTTTTCAATGATGCCAAAAACTTTATTCTATCGGTTATACTTTTAGTGATATGCAAAAATCCTTATTCAACAAAAGAAAAAAGTGCTTATTGCCTATATATTTAAAACCGATTTCCACTATTTTTAATTTGGCCATCTCAAATATTGAAATTCATTACCTTTATCAGACTAATTTTAAAGTTTTAACGCAGCTACACTGACTCAAAAAGTTACCAAATTCGAAGAGCTACTAAGAGCATAATAATAGAGCTTATGTAGAAAAATTGTTTTCTTTTTTAAAATCAGCATATCGCAATTGTCGAATTCGGTAAAAATTTTAAAACGCTACATTTTCCTCACAGTTAGTAGTCTAGAATAGTTTATATATTAGTCTGTACTTATTAAATTTCCAATTTCAGACTAATTTAGATAGATTAGATAACTGAATTATTACTCTATAACATCAAACTCTGAAGCATCTGGTATTACAGAACAGTGTTTTGTAAACATTCTATAGCTCAAAAACTTCACAGGCTGCAAAATAAGACGCTCTAGCGCGTTTTAAATATTAACATATAGTTACCAGACTGCACAGTGTGATGAAAATTTTTATAAATAAAGCTCTAACAAAATCTATTTACCACCGCATGACAGATCCGTGATCGCCTTACAACTGCCGACATTGACACTGTTCCATTCGCAGTGTGAAACGTTCTGTTCTTGTCCAGTGCAACTGAAACTGTTTGGTTTCAAACCGTAGAATAGTTTATCTTCTATAGATGCTGACAGTTTACTGTTCATGCTAATAAATGTCATGAATCCCATCTGCCGACAGATGATGTGTGACAAAATGTAGGCTCGTCGATAATCTTCACTGTTCTGAGGAAAACACAGGAACAGAGATTCCGGTGCACCCGGAAGGAATAATTCAATAAGTCCTCTCTGGTTTGATTTGGTGGGAATGTATTCAGCAGTCCCAGGATGCAGTTGTGATGGATCACGTAAAAGAACGTCAACTAAAAAAACAATTGATACAAGTAAAACCCCATTTATCCAGTATATAATAAAGACGTACATAAATTTTCACTACAAAAGAAATAGGCTTCCACTTATTTTTCCTTTTATAGTTCAAAACGTATGCTTAATTTGGTGTAAAAATGTACCTTAAATTTAAATAATTTTCTCATCATTATTAAATGGAGAGAGAAAACACTAAATTAAACAAATATTTCTGCCTGAAATTAACATCAGATAAACATGTTAATTTTTTTAGTTTTCCTAATATCCTGCTTTTGTGGTGATGGTGCAATGTTTGCTTACGTTTATGAAAAGTGTGCCGGTTAAAGATAATGTTGTTCCTAAAATTAAATCATATACCCATCAAATATTGAACTTAATGATTCGTTTTATAAGTAATGATTGCTATTATAATTAATTATGTTTTTATTTTCAAGAAGTCATACTTAAGCTTTCTAGTAATGTTTTTGGCAAGTTTTTTTAAAAATTTATAATGCCATTTACTGAACTCGTAACAATTCAGAAAATGCAGTACTGTATTTTACATTATAATACTACACACTTATTTCACATTATAATACTAAACACTTATTTTATATTATAATACTAAACACTTATTTTGGATTACTTATTGTCTTGTGTATTGTATTGTGTTTAGTCAGTTTTGCTCCAAATTTTTAGGTCGGTACGATTGAGGGAGCTTAAATTCTAATTGTTCCATTTGCAAAACTTGAAAATTTAATTAATTTTAAGTAAAAACACGAAATAATATAAGTAACTGAATTATTATTTCTTATTATTAAAGTATTTCAAATGTAATTGTGACTGATAAAAAATAAAACATGAAATTTGGTACTATTTAGGTAACTGTCCTCTGGGATTAATGGGTAAGAGTAAGGAATAAAAATTGCAAATTTTTAATTAAACCTATTATACGTAGAAAATTCCTATATATTATTTTCTAATATTTTTTCACGCTAACTGAATAAAACAGAGTGAATAGAACAAGTGGTTCAAGAGTTGTCGAAGTTTTATGCACAAAAATTGTTATTTTGTCCTTATAACGAAAGCTAAGAAATATTAGATTGTCTATTTTTTTACTTTCAATTGACTAAAACCAACTCGATAAAGCTAAATTTGAAAACTTATTATAGTTTTATGAAAAATTAAAGGCTTCTTGTTAAAAATAGTACAAATTTTTGTACTTTTAAATAGTTATGTATCTGACATATGTCTATTTAGACAAGTGAGGTATTGTTTTTTTTATGTATTTTTTACGTTTAATGAAATAAAATAAAATAGAAGTCTATTGAACAAACAGTTTCAAAGTTATAAGGGTCTTGATGCAGAAAAAGGTATTAGAGAAATATTAGAATTTTAATACTTGAAACTATGATAACTTCTAAACTACTACAGCCCAATCTACTTGGTATTGCTCTCATACGATTGAGTGTAAAAGAATAAATATGTTTCAATTCCTTTATTTACACGGCAATAGACTCGTAAGTAGGTATAAGTACAAAACTGTACTTTTTATACACAAAAACTATAAATAACTTTACTTTGATTTTCGATAACTTTTAAACTGCTAATTTAAGTTTGTTTTTAATTTATTCGATTTAGCCTATATAATATATAACCAAAACCACACTCGTTTAAATGAGTATCTTAAACGTGAAAACAGGTATAATAATCAAAATTGATTTTTTTAATTTATTAAATTCTTTATAGCTTTTGAACTTAATCTGTTATCCGGTTGATCGATTTCATTTTGGTACATTAAATTCAGGTTATATAAAATGCATAGGAACTAATGCTATCACTTGCATTTATAGTGATATTTAAGTTTTACCGTCTTTTGAATCCTCTCCTCATCAGCAAATTGAAGATGGCTCTTAAAGCTATTCTTGAGGAAGGAGCAAATCGCAGTTATCAATATTGAGACCATGCAGCAACTTTCAAAAAAAACTTTCTCCTAATTATTTCCATATTAAATAATTTGGAAACTGATCCATGTCTGTTTTTCTTGATTTGTTGCTTATGTGTGAACGATGTCGATTTGTTTTCAAGCTATGAAATTTCTTAACACGAATTTAGAGATAAGCATTTTTTTTAAAACACGCAACTTGAAATATGTATATTTTTTAAAACAAGCTATCTATCTAAATTCATTTTGAGTTATATCCTTTTTTCCAAATGTGCATTTCAAGTTACCAATTGCATTTCAAGATACCCATTGCATTTCAAGATACCCATTACATTTCAAGCTACTCATTGCGCTTCAAGCCGCACATTGTATTTCAAAGTATATCACTCTAACAATTGTATTTCAAGCTATGTCAAGCTACCAATTGTATTTCAGGCTACCAATTGCATTTCTAGCTATATCAAGCTACCAATTGTATTTCTAGCTATATCAAGCTTCTAATTGCATTTCAAACTTTATCCAGCTACCAAATGCATTTAAAGCTATATCACGCTACCAAGTAAGTGCATTTAAAGCTATATTACGCTACCAAGTAAGTGCATCTAAAGCTATATTACGCTACCAAGTAAGTGCATCTAAAGCTATATCAAGCTAACAACTGCATTTCAAGTTGTAATAAAAGGTTCACCGACTATTTACATAATGACGTAAATCCCATAAAAATTGTAAACTAGGAGGACTCAAAATCATATTTGGAGAGTAAAGAGTAAATTATTTCAGAATTTTTTGTACAATTCATTCTTTGAAAAACAGATTAAAAAGATTACCTAGTTTGTCAGAATAATTACTTGGTTGATAATTCCACTTTGGAGTATCTTTGATTGCAACCTAATAATAAAATTTATATGTTTAAACATATTTTATAATATTTAAACTAATAAAACTACAATTTCAAAACTAGGCAATAACAATCGGACCTGATAGTTCTCCCAAAAAGATCAAAACTGAGAGATAATTTAATTTCTATAATTTTCTTGAGAGGAGTAACACTATGCGTAATTATCGTTACTTAAGTTATAAAATATGTTATTTTATAACCTCCGTTGAACAGGCAGTCCAATCTTGATTTTAAAACTACCAATGTTGAAACCTTGTAATTTTAAACTCAATCCAGAAGACAAGGGAACTCCCGGATCAAGTATTTGCCTTCGTGGAGGACTTTTCAATGGAACTAACTCGCATTTTCGTTACACGGAGAGGGATCCATGGAAACCTACCACGGTTAGCCTGATGGCAAAGAGATTCATCAGTCTACCACTGAAGATATTATATGTCAGCATGTGGTTGCTATGTACCGGGTGCGGAGTTCATATTGACCGGTCATCGTTATGATTTGAATCCGGGAAAGCTCATTAACTTCGTTTTTTAACAAGGTTTCTTAGAATGTATATTAATGGAGGTTGATACGGAACACCCTATGTATTTAAATAAAATAAAAAGTTCTTATTACAGCGATAATTTTCTTGAATAACTAGAAAAATTAAACTATTACTGTTCTTAACTATTCATCAATTTCTAATTTTTTCTGACTAAAAGAAAACTATGAACAATTCAAATTAAGAATTTATTTTATTAAGTCCAGCAATATAATGTATGGTCTTTCATTTTTTAAGTAAGACCAAACAAGATAAACTTTTTTATCACCCAATATTGGTTATCTTTTGGTTAATTATTTTATGATTAATAAAAATTCTAACATACTTATTGTTCATAAGCAATAAATAAATAGTTAAATATTAAAAACTTGTGAAATAATCAAATTAAAACTTTCAATAAACAAAAATATTTTTGAAATTATCAAAAAATAACTATGTTTAGGGATAAAAATATCCTATTTTCGAATAGTTGGAGAGCTATTTTGTTGTAAGAGGACGTAAATTCAAACCAAAGTAATAAAATCGGTGCCTCTGTTCCATGCCGCTCACCAGGCTAACATGATAACTGTTACTCGACAGAAAGCAAATTTTGTCAAAATCTGAAAATATTAACATGAAAAAATATTTGCTGCTTTTATACTCTCAACTTTCCTCCCCCAAAGTTTCATTTTGCGATTTCAATTGTAACCTAAATCACTTTTTTTTTATTACCACTTTTTTAAAAAAATTTTAAATATAGGATTTTTCTGTTCGTATAACTAATTTTGTGAGTTTACTGTTATTAATAATTTTGTCTAACGAAATTCGAAATAGTTTTACTGTATGGATTAGTTTTTACAACTTTCACATTTCAACTATTCATGCAAGACGTCGAAAAAAAAAGTTAGTTTACATAAAATAGGATTTTTGTGTGTTTGATTTTCGTAATATATTATATGCATTTATTAATAAGCATATTTAAGGTATGCCCCCACAAACAAATAAGTAAAAATTCGATCATTTTAAACTAAATATTTATAATTTTTCACCCTTTCTTTTTGCCTACGATGCATAATCTAATTTCAACTTTTATTGATAACAAATTACTTCTGTAATAAGCATCCTTGGCATACTAAATAAGAGTTAATCAATTAGGGAATTTAAAATTTAACGATCGAATATTTTTTAAAGAAATCAAATCTTGGACTATGAAAAAACAATCAAAATTCCTAAAGTATAGTAATTTACGAAGGGCCTCAAAGCATACTGAAAATTTAAACTTTTGAGTCTCGTTTGTAATCTTCTTACATTCTACAAAAAATTAACAATTTCACAATATTAAATTTGTATAGAATAGTTTGAAATAGTGTTCAGTTAGGTTTGTTTATAATAGTTTTGCCCGATCACTCAAAATATGCACACACAAAAAAAAAAAAAATCCATTAAAGTCTAAAGGAACTGCTGTCCTGTTTTTCATTTTAGTTCTAAAACCTTTTGTACCTTTAAAAGCTGCATAGTTTTTAAATTAAAAGTATTTACTGAAAAAAAAGAGATTGAACGAAATTCGAGAGATCCCCATCTGCACTTAAAAGCTGTTTAGATTAAAATGCGACTACACTATTATGAACTTTCTTCCATTTTTATTAAAACAGAATATTACAAATAAACAATCATTCTTAAATAAACATTTTCATATAGTATTCTTGAACTAAATAAATGATATAATTTTCAAACAACGAAGATTTTAAGTTTCATCTTTTAAATTTTCAATTATGCTGCTTAAATGTAAACGTTTAGATTTAAACATTAGATTTCAAAGCAACTAACATTCAAATTTAGATTTTATAATTAAGATAAACATCGAAGTTGTTTGAAGAAAACGCAAACAAATTCTATTTTAATTATGCATTTTCAGAATTATAAATTGAATATCATAATACAAGTTCAAAAATAAATCTAAATACTAAAATTAAACTATTAAAATAATTGTGAAAACATTTAAATAAATCAGGAAAATTGTGCTTACTGTTTCCCTTTTCTTTTTTCTTACCGAAGCGCTATTTAAATTACTAAACAGTGAAAGAAAAATAATAATGGCGATTCTAGACATTATTTATTTTGTAATACATAAATATCTTTAGCACCAATTAATTTTATAATAGCTTATTATTTGCAATCATACGTCTTGTATCTATTGTTAAGGTATAGGTAGTGGTGGTAAAAGGATCATTGGTATTAGAGATGAAAATTTCTACCTTGCTTAAAGCTCATATTTTCTGATAATTTAAGAGGGCTCAGAGTCATGAGTATGACCCAATGATCAATGAGTATTGACCCTCCTCCTTACAGTTCAAAGTGTAAAAGGTAGAGGTTCGAATTTTGCAGCTACTGTGACCTCTAATTGTATTGGTGGAATAGCATATAATTAATTTATTGACATACTTATTGCTGTTGTTGTAGTTCATTTACGTTGCACTAGAACTGCACAATGGACTACTGGCAACGGTCTGCGAAACATCCCTGAGAATGATCCGAAGACATGCCATCACAATTTTGATCCTCTGCAGAGGCACCCCCGCTTCGGTAGTCCGATGACCGCGAAGTCAAGCACTTTACAATAGAACAGTTTAACGAGGACCAATATCGCACACCCATCGGTCCCTGCGCAGACTAATCCAAGTGGTCACCCACTCGCACACGGTGATCTGCTCGAACCGTGTCTAACGATCAGTCCACTGCGAGACATTTATTGACATACATACCTGGATTTGTGCACTCAATGCACACGAAGAACAGGTTATAAGCCATTGAAAAATAGAACAGAAAACAGAGAGCAGTACAAAGAACAGATACAGGATACAATCTGGCTTAGACAAGGTAGGCATCAATCACTGTTTCATCAAATGTTCTGAAGTGTAGAGGTAGCGGATTCAAATCCCACCTTACAGCAGGATATAGCTTTGTGCTGTCCATTAATTTGTACTATCTGTTCTTCAACTTGACATGGGTTTATGAACTATATTCTCTTTTATGATCATACGAACAAATATATGCATGCTTTACAATAAGTAAATAAAATGATACATCTGAGGTTGAGACGAAATTTGAAGCCCTACCTTTCAGTTTCAGAGGGTTACGAGATACCCCTTGGCCAGAGAAGCGCAAAGAACGTGACGAGAGTTTATAAACAAGTTTTCGATCAAATATACGAAGTTGAATATTTTTGTGTTAAATATGCATTTAGGGCTAATGTAACCTTTAGTTCAATTCCGGATTTGTACATCGTAAATTAATCGCGTAAACTTAGTAGCGGGCTCAATTCCCGCCGTAACTTTGATTGTACTAATGCCATGCTTTTCTTCATTTTACTCTATCTGTTCTTCAATTTGGTAAGGGTTTATAAGCTTTACAAGTCTTCAATTCCTCGATCTACAACTTGATCTACAATCCTAGATCTACAACTTGAGAAGCATTTACAGTTAAAATATACAGAAAAGCAATAGGAAAACTAGGAAAATTTGGAAGATGATTTAACCAGAAGTTTTGGAAAGCCAAATTAATCTCTTTAAAATTTTCGTCTTTTTTTGTTTGTTAACGACTTGTCTTGCTGTCGTTTTGCTTCTTTTCTGCACTGAATTATTATCCAGTTTATTGCTTCTCAATATCTACAAGTAAGTCGTTTTTAATTTTGTTAACTGTCGGTAGGTCCCGCAGTGGACTGATCGTTAAGACACGATTCCCAGCAGATCACCGAAGTCAAGCATCACTGGCTGCGGTCAGTGTGCGGGTGGGTGACCCACTTGGATCAGTCTGCGTAGGGACCGAGAGTGTGCGGTATTGGTCCTCGTTAAACTGTGCTACCGTAAAGTGCTCGACTTCGCGCGCAGGTCATTGGGCTACCGAAGCGGGGGTGCCATCCCCTCTGCAGAGGATCAAAATTGTGATGGCATGTCTTCGGATCATCCTCAGGGATGCTTCCCAGATCGTCGCCAATAGCCCATTGTGCAGCTCTAGTGTGACGTAAATGAAACTACAAACAAACAAACAATAACTGTCGGTAGGTTTTGCTGAAAGGACGGATGACTCATTTTAGACCTGAACCATAAAGCTTCGAAAAATTAACCATGGCTAATCTAATGTCCAACTCCTATTCTCCAGAAACACCAAGTGCATATGAATTAAAATTCGCTACAGAAAATGGAGTTGCGCTATTTTTGTTAAACCGACGAACGGACAAACCAGCATACCCAAGTCAAATACAGATGAACTTAAAAAAGAACGGAATATAAAACTTATAGGTGCAATTTAATATTTAAAACTTACACGCTGTAACCAACTTCTTCTGTGCACGAATGTACTGGATACCACTATTAAAAAAACTTCAATTACTGAAATTCTAGGCGCACCGGTGAAAACAAAGATCTTTAACGAACATATGCAGTGCCGTTCCTGGCGGGTATGCAGCGAATGCCCCGCATGCAGGCGCCCAATTTAAGGGGCGCCAAATTCAACTATTCGAAAAAACTCAAATTATTAAAAATCAAATTATAGCAAAGCAGTAAACTTTGATTACAGGAAGAAACAGTAAACTAATATAAGAAGTAACTTCTACACTGGAATTTATGTACGTTAATAGTCTATTTTATTTGATGTCGAAAATAAATTTTTTGTCATATTTTTTCGTTGTTTTATTTTATTACGCCCATTTTCATAATCAAACACTTATTTAGTCTTTAAGGAAACTATTCAGTTTAAACCTCAAACTAAAAATGATTATGAAAATTGGCCTTATCATCAGAATTTAAGCACAGTATATAGGGGCGCACAAAATTATTCTTGCACGCAGGCGTTCGCCACCCCAGGAACGGCACTGAACATATGTCCATCAAATTTCTACTAAGAGGAATTGAGTCAGAAATAGTCTTAGAATCTTTAGTTACGGAAATAACGGACAATTCTAACCTGCAAGGTGTTGAACTAATTCGATTCACCAAAAGAGGTATAAATAGATCACCAACAACTACCGTCCTCCTCACTATGCTTGAACATAATAACTTGATTAAATAAGAATCTGGCACCAGATCTACGACATTACGTTATTCATCCACAGAACCTGCTTCAAATGCATCATCGTGCCTGCTTCAAATAAATCGACCAACGACTTTGATCAACCAACGCGAACTTTTGATCGGAATAAAGTATGCACCTGATGTTGGTAGCCAACAGAATATGGATCCACAAAACACGATGCTCTGAAATGCACGGCAACGGTACGATGCACTCGATGTGATAAAGCTTACCACAGCACAAACAGTCGGTGTTCATTTTATCAACAAGAGTTAAAAATATACAAACCGAAGCAGAAAATCCCATTACTATAGCAGAGGCCAGGCGCCTTTATCACTCCAAAAGCAAGAAAACCTAAGCGCAAATCATAGGATCTAATTCAAATACATCTCTTTAAAAAATCATCTTCTCTAGCTAAGCATCATTTACATCTCAGTCCATACTGCTTTCCACAAGGTAAAATGACCCCGCTTCATACATAAATAGATGACCAGCTAGAACATTTCAACTCAAATCCTTTCAAATGTCTCAATCTATCTAGATATTTTACCACCTCAAGACAAAAAATTACTTCCGTTACTGGTTCGAGAATTCTTTGAAAAGTTTCGCCTTGTTTCAAAATCTTTCACACTGGCAACCGATACAGAAAACAATCCGACAAAACTAGTTTGGAAATATATACATCCAAAGGTTACACGATCTCAGGTCAGCTTCCTCCGCATACATCGCTTTAATCACTAAAGGATTGGCCATTTTCTTAGCCCTCAAATATTGCGTCACCAGCAACGACCACTATATTTTTCTAACGGGCAGCTGTTCGATTTTTCTGTCTCTCATCAAAGGCACCAGGAGATCTCCCAGAATCTCTCTTCTTCTTCTGGACAAAATTGCTAAATCAAGTAAGACAGCAAGATCATTCTCATTTATTTGGATTCCCATCTCACACAGGAAGGAATAAGTTGACCAGCTTACAAAAACAGCATTAAACCATAATTTTATTTCACATTATTCATCGCCTCAAGACCTCAGTGTATGGAAGAGGTGCAAATACTTCCTTTCTTTTCCTCACCTGGATGGATCAAGGGACTACCATTCCCTTAACAGCTCCCGAAATCTTGATGTTCTAATCACCAGGCTCACAACGAAATCCCCATCTTACACAAGTGCAAACTGGCACAAAGCCCAAACTGCAGAAGTATCGACACGAACGATCACTTCCTTCTGGAATAGCCCATATTCCAAAATGCTCGGGAAGAGCTTTACAAATCCATATATCTCTACAGAGCTCTGCATTTAGCGATGTCCAGGGATGATATTGGCCAAAGGGCAAAAAAAACTGAATTTCCACGCGAGTAAATTTTACGTCGTCGTTAGAAAAACAGTCACCTTTATAGTAACTAATTCAAGAAAAAAACTTACTTCTTACAAGAATCGCGATAATTGATTTTAAAATCGCGTGAAAATTCAGCAATCATGGATTTTAAAATTACATGAATACGAATCACGATAATGGATTTTGAAATCACGTGAATATGAAACTCGATATTCGATTTTTAAAATGACAAAGCACAAACTGCGTTACAGAATTTTTAAATCGCGCAAATACAAGTCACGATTCATAATTTTTAGATCGCGTAAATACCAAATCATGATGCATAATTTTCAGATAGCGTGCATCCCAATGGCTTAGTTTAAAATCACGTATAAATACGAAAATCGATGTTTGATATTATAACCACATTGTTTAAAAATGCGTAAATACAAATTGTGATATTGGATTGGAACTACAAAACATACAATGAACTGCATTTAAACTTGACTATTTCATTTCAACCATCTAGAGGTAATATGGTTTATAAGTTAATATTTATAAAGAAACAATACTTTAAAAAAATATTGTATTTGTATGTAGGTCAAGTGCTTTATTTATAAAATGTCTTATTGTACAAAACAGTTTCGTTATCAAAAGTGATTGATATAAATGTGGTTTCAGTCACTGAGTTGGCACAGTGCAGCTACTCCTCGATTAATCCAATGGGTTTCTTCTTTGTCAGATGGCAGATCAATCATCATGACAAAGTTAGTGGAATGTCCGGTGGTGCTAAGAATGCCTCTTCTGGCACTTGTCTTGTAGACAGGGCAGCTATAAGTTGGAGTTGGCTTGATGTCTGATTTTTTAACTGGTATGATCCATATCTAACAGAAAAGTTAAGTGACTGGGTAATTCAAACGCAAATGAGAAGAAACATTTAGCACGCATAATACACACTATTTCAATAAATGCAAGGCCAGGGAGCATACATATAGACATCACACTTCTCTGAATAAAAACAGCTATAGACACAAATTGTTTTTATAGAGTATAGGCTGACTTAATTCCATGCAGTCATTTAAAGTGTTGCGATTACTAAAGATTGAATTCGCGATACGTAACTTTAAAAATTAAATTATGAAGAAAAAAAATTATGTTGTAAGAAACTAAAAAGGATACCACAGGCAGGGTGTCGTATAAGACTTTCGGGTATGATTCATTGAGTAGCATCCTTTCTCGGTCCCAGCGAGCTCCTTCCACAAATAAACCCTAAAAATACACCATAATTTTCATTATTGAAGATTACATTCACCCAAAGATTTCGAATAGTTTTACGCTAAATAAACAGTTGATATTTTTATGAAACATTAGTTTTTCTGTTAAGATGATACTTATAGAAGAAATTTTCGCAAACACCCTTTCAGGACTAGAAGGGAAAAAGAAGCGCTTGCTTAGGCACGCATGCTCCAAGTTAAAACATACTAAACAGTACGTACACTTACTAATAAAAGAATGCTATATTCAGAAGACGTCAGTGTGATCTTGGGCCGATAGAGACAGAACGGCTCGTTTTTTGTATCATGTATGATATCGTAGACAGTAAAGTGAGAATAGCGCGATCACATATATGTGATCTCGTTCCTGAAGAGTTTAAAGAGGAGATGTTTTTATATTTAAAGAATTGAACTGGCAGAGAAATAATTTAAGCAACTTCGGCGTAATTTCTTGGCTTGGGACAATATTATACTTAACATAGCTAAATACTGCTACCACAGCAATAGAGAAACTTCTTTGACGGTCACTGTTCATACATTTTGAAATAAAATTAATTATTCCAATTTGTTATCGTTTAAATAGCAATGATATTAGATCCTTTCAAACAACGTCAGCGTGTGTTTCGATCTTGATTGGCTGCTGAAATGTGGAATTTCCTTAAGTCAAACATAGTTCGTTCCATTCTATTTTGAATAACTCTAGCCCGTCAAATAAGAATTATTTCAAGGGACATATTATGTATTCTTTCTCAAATAAAGATTTGGTTTACTTCCTACTTAACACCAAAACAGGCACGAAGCCTCGTAGAAAACAAACAAACTAATTATGAAAAGAAGTTGTAAGATACACAAAACAGAGTAACTACATAGGCGTTTTCGTTTTTAAAAATTCTTTCAGATCAAAAACTTTAATTTTTGTGGTTCTGAAGGTTTTTCAATAACAACAGGGAGTTTTTCTTCACACTTTGCTTACTTACAAAGCCGCTTAACCAAAGCTTAGCACAAAACTCTTCCCAGATAGAGGTTTTTTCTAAACATTTTCTTCATACTTTGCTTATTTACAAAGCCACTTAACAAAAGCTTAGCACAAAATTCTTCCCAGATAGAGGTTTTTTCTTTTTTTAAATTTCTTATATGCTGTCCGGCAGTGTATTTAAGAATGGTGATTTATCTAATAGTATTAAACACAAATATCAATTGATTATAGAGAAAAAAAACTGTTGCTATGATGTTAAAGAAATATAAAGTAATAATTTCATCACCCTTTATTAATCGTTTCAAATGTGACCTATCTGTATTTAATTATTTTGAAAGATTGGAAAGTGTCTGCTATTGTTTAAATATACACATAATATCACATGATAATGTAAAAAAAATGTTTAAAATATTCGAATAGTAAAACAAATCACTTTAACATAGGCTCCATCTTCAGGTTTTACTTCAGAATCGGATTCAAAGTTCTGCATTTCAAACTGATAGCTCAAGAAATCAATTGGAATGTGATATTTTCTTGCATAGTTTTGAGATATGCCTGAAATAGTCAATTTGAAAAAGGAGTAAGAGGTACAAATAACACACAAATGTATTTCACAAAAAAAATAAATCAGAATATATGAATAGATATAGTATTGAGACAAATGTACAGTGCGGAGAAAAAAANAAAAAAAAAAAAAAAAAAAAAAAAAAAAAAAAACACTGATAAAATTTTTCGGATTAGATCTTTACGGTCTGGGACTCATTCTTCATGGTTTGAGGGGGTGAATTCAAATATGCTAACTAATTAGTGTTGACGATAATTTAAGTTACAAAATCAGACACAAAAACGCACTTCTTTTGAATAAACATGCCTTTATTCAACAGATTCGGGTTTCTGACCCCCAAAATATAAGGGGTGGCACAATCTGGGAAATATGGTCCCCATAGTTTGATCAGGAGAGCGTTCCAAAGTTCGGATCCCTTAATTTTACTTTTACTTTTTCCGTATTTCTCCATACCTCGGAAACAGTTTAAGCGAATTGAAAAAATTTTGCACAAAATTATAAAATTCGTTTATCCAAAGAAAATTTCATGCAAAAAATAAATTTTAATAGATATTTAATATTTATTATTACTTTATTTGATAGTAGTAAAAAAAATTTAAATGCATGCTACATAATTTTTACGTCATTTTAAATTATGTAATTTTACATGGCAAAGTACAAAATTTGAGCAATATCGGTTGAATAGTTCCTCAGAAATTGAATTTTAAATATACGACTTTTTAAAAATTTGATTTCTCAGAGACTACTCAACCGATTTCGCTCAACTGCATGCTGTAAAATGGCGTAAAAAATTGTAAACCTTACATTTCAAAAATTTTCAATTATTATCAATTAAAATAATAATAAATACTAAATACTATTAAGGGATCCAAATTTTTGACCACTCTCCTTACGAAACTATGGGGATTACATTTCCCAGATTATTGCGGCTACCCCCCCCCCTCTATTTTGAGGTTCAGAAATCCAATTCCATCGAAAAAAAATTTATGTTTATTCAGATAAATTAAGTTTTTATGTTTGATTTTTTAACTTAAAATATCGCCTGCACAAACTAATTAGCATATTTGAGGTCACCCCTTGAAGCATTTAAGATTCAGTCCTAAAACGTGAAGATCCGGTCATTAGATCAAAAGTTAATCAGGGTGGTCCATTTTTTTCCCCCGCACTTTACATAATCCTTTATTAAAAACTTAGAAGCAGATAGAACAAAGTTTAACATACTTCCAAAATATTTAATAAAAACATATCCAAGAACATAATTTTCAAGGGTATAAGGTGGTATTGTATTTTTTAGATTTTTATGGTGGATATCTAAAAGCTTTGAACACAATATTATATTTATTACAGCTTAAGGTTTATAATGAAGATATTTATTTACATCTATGTATAATTATAAAAGGAAAATTTGTGTGTGCGTGTGTCTGCGCGTCTATCACAACTTTACTAACGTTCGAACTAAGAACCTGAATTTTTTGTCAGCGGATGCTAAGGGAAATCTTAGAAGGATAAAAATTAAATGGATACGAAACTGAACATTAGTAGTCTTAAACACAAAATTGGGTTGGCTGTTCGACGACGGTTATAAAATAAAATACCTGTGAGAAAAGACTGGGTGAAGAAGAAGCCAGATATCCAAAAAACGTTAGGCGTTCCTTCTTCTATCCAGGTGTTAAAAAAATGGAGTCTGCAAAAAGAAAAAAAAAAGAAGAAGAAAAAAAGAAAAAAAGAAGAGTTTCATAAAATTTTTTAAAAGCAAATATATTGAACAATACAAATATAAAAAAATTATCATAACTCTACCTTTTCAAAAGAACAATTTAGATAACCTACAATAATTTTACAGTTATTCGCTTGTATCCTTCTAGGCTTTGAATCTTGTCTATTTATTTCACAATAATACAACATATTCCTCTCGGAGGTTTTTCACTATTAAAAATATCAATTTCCTTAAATTTCAGATTAATTTTGATTACACATTAAAAACAGTTTTCCTAAATTTATAGATAATAATTTCTAGAAAACATCTGAAATTATTCTACACTCTATGAATTCAGTGGTGTGCGCAGGGGGGCCGCAAAAAAAGGCTACAATTCTATTGCATCTAGTCGAAGAAGACATACGATCAACAAAGCACACTAAATTTTAAATCTATTTGAGCCTCGGTGGCTCAGGGGATAAAGCGTTCGCCTGCAATGAGGTGAACTGGGTTCGAATCCCAGCGATGGCTGGTCAAAACAAACTCCGCATCCGGTTTACGGCTAACACAGTGCTGACGTTAATTATCCTTCGTGGTAGACGGATTGCTAGTTAGAGTCCTCTTGCCGTCAGGCTGACTGTGGGAAGTTCGTGGTCTTCCTCTCCATCTAACGCTAATGCGTGCCAGTTCCATAAAAAAAATCCTCCATGGAATCAAATTTTCCCCAATGCTTGGTCCAGCAGTTCTCTTGTCTTCTGGATTGGATTAAAAAATTACAAAGCTACGTAGTTGAACATTAGTAATCATAAACCAAAGAATTGGATTGGGCTGTTCCCTAATGTCTATAATTATTTTAAATTAAAATTAATCAATAATTATTTCAAATATCTATATATATTATATCTTTAATTATTTATATAATTATTTATATTAGGGGATATTATATAATATCCCCTAATATATATAATTATTTCAAATTAAAATTAATCAATAATTATTTCAAATATCTATATATATTATATCTTTAATTATTTCTATAATATCCATAATTATTTTAAATTAAAACTAATTCTTTAGCACGTAAATATTTGACTCAAGCAAGTTATTTTAAGAAGAATAAATCCATTTTGTTACAAATTAGCCCAAGCTCTAGCCTTTGAAAAACTCAGTAAATTCGTACGAGAATCAATTAAATTAAAATAAATCAATTAAGAAACAGGAATTTTTTTGATGATCAATAAGGTTTAGAGGCTCCCGGATTATGTTCTATTCTTTTTTCCGGAGTATGCAAACGTATTCGCATGACACTGAATTGGAAAGACATTTTACTTTTCCAAAAAATAAATTATTTGAAATTATATTACGAATAATTTTAGTTATAAATGTTACATTTATCCTTTTATAGATGGCAACACCATAACAGCTTTCTACTGAAAGTGATAAATATAAGTTATACGTTGTAAACATAGATGGCCCCACCATAGATAGTGAAAAATATAACGCTCGAATGAAAATATTTTTTCCAAACAATTAATATTTAATATATTTTCTTACAATTAATATCCAATATTTTTTTTCTTCTGAAAAATAAATAAATACATAAATAAATAAGCAAATGAAATAAATAATATAGACAAAATAAAAAAATGAATAAAAAACAAGAGGGGAAAGCAATGAAATTTTTTTATGATCACTTAATTTGTTATTCATTGACTTACTGAAGGAAATCAAAAATTAGAAGAAAAAAAAGACACACGCAGACATACACATATATATTAGACAAAATTGTTTTTTTTATCTAAAACAAAATTAGAATTTATTAATTTTAGGATTGCTGCCATAAAATATTTACCTACAATGAATAAAACAAATTATATTGAAAAGCTAAAATCTATCACCAGCAATCTTTGGCAAAATTTTTCGAAAATATTCTTAATTTTAAAAGCGTATTTAAATTTTGATGTTCTAAAACTACAATTTTTGAAAACAAATAAAAATACTAAAAATAGATAATACTAAAAATGGAAATAATACAGAAAAAAAAAGTACTAGTAGTAAGTACCAAATAAAATAATGCTAGCAATCTAGAAGTAGATTTTTATTAAAGTTGCTTTGGGGCTATTGATCCTTTTCCTATGCACGATACAGACATTTAATAATTATTAAATACCTTACTGAAGAATCCTAAAATAAGTAAAACTTCTAAAAATGAAAAAAAGAAAATAAAGAATTACAACGTGAAACTGATCCCCCCGACAACTCAACTTACCGTAGTTAATTTCCTTGATCCATGGAAATAATTGAAAGAACGTAGATAAGAAGAAAAAAATTCGAGTATATATTTTGTTTTTCAGTTCAAAATTTTTTTTTTAGCTGCCCATTGTGAATTCGATCAGCAGCAGGGTCAGCAAACGACTATTTTTATTACATTTTATCATTCCGTTACTTAAATATATATAAGTGACACAATTATATTTTAGCCTATTTAAATTTTAATTATAAATAATATTTATAAAATTACTTACTAGTTCATGTTGTAACGTATCGAATAAATAAATCAAGAAACAAATTATTGAGTAACAAATTACGCTATGTTTATATTTAGATGAATATTTACAAAGTGAGTTTATTAAAATGAAAAATAATGAATTATTAAAAAATAAAAATAATTTGGCCCATGGGGGGATCGAACCCACGACCTTCGCGTTATTAGCACGACGCTCTACCAAACTGAGCTCATGGGCCACGGTTGCAAGAAATTTAAACTAAAAAATTTTTTAAATTAATAAATGTTAGAAGTGCTGACTAAGATCAGAGACAGCATATAATCAACAACATATAACGATCTCCCCCGGGGCCAGCAAACAACTATTTTTATTACATTTCATCATTCCGTTATTTAAATATAAATAATATTTATAAAATTATTTAAGCAGTGTTATTTAGTTCATAATGCAACCTATCGAATAAATAAATCATTGAACAAATTATTGAGTAACAAATTAATCTCCGTTTTTTCATTTCTTAATTCCATTCACATAAAATATTTAGATGAATATTTACAAAGTGAGTTAATTAAAATGAAAAATAATGAATTATTAAAAAATAAAATTAATTTGGCCCATGGGGGGATCGAACCCACGACCTTCGCGTTATTAGCACGACGCTCTAACCAACTGAGCTAATGGGCCACGGTTGCAAAAAATTAAAACTGGCAAAATTATTTTTATTAATAAATGTTAAAAATGCTGACTAAGATCAGAGACAACATATTAATAAGCTAAATACGTTACATTTTTCATGATGAAATGCTTCATAATTTTTTAACACTAAAATAAAATTATTTTCTGTCGTATTTTTTTGTAAGAGAAATCGAATCTTATTTTTAAAAGATTTTTAATGAAAATAAAACAAAATTATTATTTTTAAAAGAGTTAATCTTGAAAAAAAAAAAAAAAAAAAGATTTGCCATTTTCTAAAACGAAAGATTTATATTAAAATATAAAAATTTGCATCGGCCGGGAATCGAACCCGGGCCGCCCGCGTGGCAGGCGAGCATTCTACCACTGAACCACCGATGCTTATAACTCAACCAAACTAAATAATTTAAAAATCAAAAACAAAATAACTTTTTAATCATCGAAGTTCTTTATATTACTATTTTAAACAAATAATAAATAAAAAAATTTACAATTATTACTATAGATACAAAAAATAGAAAACACTTTTTACTGTTATGGAAATTTCTTGAAAATGTCCCGTCAAAGTTACTTTTAGTGGCTTAGGGTAAAACTATTTAACACTAGATGGCCAAGGAAGTCATTGACTGCTTTTTAATTTTAATTAGAAAAAGAATTATGTATATAACGACACAATTTCTTAGAATTTTGTGACTTTTTGTACAACATAAATTTTTTTTATTGTTAATATTTACTAGATAATAACTTGTTATATAACTGTAAATAACATAATAAATATTAAAAATTACTTTTAAACAAATTTCTTTACTCGTTAGTTATTCTTTCACAATCCAGTTATTTTGACTGCTTTTAGACATTATAGGTATATATTAAGTTTCAGTCTTTCTACAGTTAATAACTAACTGTAATAATAATAATGAAAAACGAAATAAAAAGTTTCATGAAATAATTTAAGTGTATATTTAAATAATTTTGGATATATACTGGAGACGAATTATGTTTTCTTATGAAATCGACTTTTATAATAATAAATATCTATTATTTAGCCTTTTTTTAAAATATAATTTTAAAAATTAATATTTATTTTTTAGCCTTTTTTAATAATTTAAGTTTCAAAAATGAATAAAACAAAAATAATTATAATCGAGAAATAAATAAATCGAGATTTTTTTTTTCTTTCTTTTCCATTTGTGCTCGCTTCATATCTAATTAAAGTAAATGAAATCAGGATTTTTTATGTTTTACAATTAAATTTTAACCTTGGTAAAAACGTAATTCTCTTTTGTCAAAAATCGCTGATTTTGTAGCTTTGATTAATTATAAACTATATTTTTCGGAAATGCAGGGGAAAAAATATTTTCATTAAATTTTTGTCTCGAAGGAATTTTTTCCCTGATGGCCCTTCACTGCCTCTGAAATTTTTTTAAAGGGCATCTTCCTTAAGATATAAATATTTAAACCATTCTCGAACATAATTTATTTTGGAAGCAAGTTCATTTTGTTCTTTACGGTTGGGTAATTTATTTAGGTCGCTCTAGAGCTGCGGTATGGGAAACATCCCTGTAACTACTATTCTAAAGACTTTTACTACTGTAATTTTTACATTGAAGAGAATAATTGGAGATCCGCACATGGAACATGAAACCATCATTAAAGCGACTGGTTTGCTGCACAGAGTACAAGATATCAACTTTGTTGTATTTCTCCATATACTGGATAAACTTTTTACCATTACATCCCCTGTGACAATATTAATGCGGTGAGTTGCAATCGACCAGGCCCAAGCAGCCCAGTTGCTTGAAATTTGCAAGACTGGCATCAGGAAATTGAGAGAAAATGTGGACACATCGTGGAAAAAAATATAGAAGTTGTCATGCACATTTTCCGAAGCTCATGGCATTGATACCGAGATCAATCGGAGACAAAGGAGAGTTCCCCACATGCCTGGTGAAAATTGCCGGGATGAAAGACTTCATGGAGAAGAATGACTTAAAACGAGTTTATATATTGTGGCTTTGGATGGTTTGAGCATTCAACTTGAAGATCTTTTTCCGGAAAAAAGTTTGACTTTGTACCGTCAAATGAGTATTTTTAGCGAAAAAAGTTTAAGATCTTAGACATTCAAAGCTACAAAAGATGACGTAGGCTTTCTATGCAATAAGTACGGTCTCGATGCTGACGAAGCCGTTAATGAACTGGAGAACTTTAGAGATCTTTATCTTGAATTGGGAGAAGATGACAGTGAAATTCATAAGGAATATCAAAATGCAGCATCACTGGACACAGAGGAAGAAAGCTCAGGGTCTGAAATTGACGAATCAGATATGGCGATTCTTTATAAGGATTGGAGGAAGTGTGGATTTTTTTCCCCACTGAAAGCAGCTTTCGAAATTTCCGCATTTCCTACAATAACATGCATTTATAAGATCTTGGCTTATCTAAGACCAGTCACAAGTTGTTCCGCCGAAAAAGCGTTCAGCAGGCTTAAAATCATCAAAAATAGATTGCGGTCCACCACTGGCACGAAGCGTCTTAACAGCTTACTGATAATTGCTGCAGAAAAGGATATATTGCAGAAAGTGTCGACAGATCATATTATTGATACTTTTGCCATGAGCTCGGAAGTTTTAAAGAAATTATTATTACCAGCCAGTCCTCTTGACTAAAGCATCAATAATATGATTTGTTGAGACTTTTTTAGATGTATCGTGTACGTTTTAACCCTTACAGTCACTATCTTTATTCAGCGATCAAAGACAAATATTTTTGTGTGTTCTGTGCTACTTTTTACCAAATTAAGGGAAAAATGTAAAAAAAAAAAAATTATACTTATCTATATAATGAAACATTTTTGTAAAATATAATGTGCATGTTTATTTATTAATTAACAAATATTTGCAACAAATGCATTATTTGCTTTGGTTACTTTTTTACATTGTTTATGAATGAGACTTACATATGCCTAAAAATTTTTTACAGTTTGAAAAAAAAAAAAAAAAACAATAAATATCAAGTTTTTTGTTTATTAAAAATGTCGTTTGCAGTGAATCAATAAATCTTGAATTTTTTTATTGTTAAAAAAGTATTTTTTTTTTTAAATGGGTAATGAAAATTTGTTTTAAAAAATATGTTTACATTCTCAACGGTATAAAGAACCATTTGCATAATTTTTTTGTTAAAAAACGGCGATCGACAGGGCTAAAAAAAGTCTCGAAATCATGTCCATTATAATGGACTTTTGCCTGAAAGGGTTAATTACGCTAAAATTCCCAACTCTTGTGATGACTGCTGCTTGCCATTTGCTGCATTGTTTGGTAACTTCAATAAACTTATTTTTTTTAATTATTAGTTTAAAACTTCAGAGCTCATTAATCTACAGGTGCCATCAGTAACTTATCATTTATTGTAATAGTTTTAGTCAGCCCATTTTCAATTATTTTTTGTGCCGTCTTTTTTAATTTATTTATTTTTGCTTTAAACATATTTTCAGCATTCACAATCAGGATCAAGGTCTGCATTTGTCATATTCTGAGTAGAATGCAAGCAAAGTAGCACTATTTCGAACAAGCTAACCTGGAAGGGGGAAGTTAGCAAATTTTTTTTGGGGGGGATGAATGCGCCCAAGAGCTTGGGGGGGATGGGGGCCACTGGGTACAGGGATCTGTAGAAATTTTCCTTCTCCTTCAGATCTATGCCTAAATTGAGAAAGTTGCCTCTCAAATGAGATTCCCTCTTCAAAAGATCAAAATTGTGATGGCTTGTCCTTCTGATTATCCCGAGGGTTGTTTCCCAAACCATCGCCAGTAACTCATTGTGCAGCTCTAGTGCACAATGAGCTTCTGGTATGTAAAGTACCTAACTACCTACCAAAAATAAATAGCAACTAACAAGTCAACATGTTTCAAACGCTTAAAAAAATAGACGCCCATTTTCAAGACATGCCAGACGTGAATGAGAAGAAACAAAAGTGATTAAAAAAAATAAATACTGGAAACTTTACGTGTTTTTATTCGCGATCGCAACACTAGAATACGTCGTCAGAGGAGAAGACCGGTTCCCTGTCTTAACCCTCTCACCCAAGGCCGTAGCCAGGATATTTTACGGGGGGGGGGGGATATGGTAAGAAGCAAGGACAGATTCAGACATAAAGTAGGGGAAAAACATTGTAACGAATATTGTTTATTCTGTTGTTTGCAAAAGTTAAATTACTAATTAAAAAATATTACATAATGATTATTTTTCAATTAATATTACATAATAATTATAATTAATTTGTAAACAAAGTTTACAAAGACATGCGACGGGGATTTGAAGAAAATTTTTCGATTACTTTTTTAGGACAAACCGGAATATCTGGAAATATGCTTAATAAAGTTAGCCCTGTTAGGCTTTCTTCTTTAGTAGCATTTCTTGTTGCTGTTTTTACGCGTTTAAGAGTAGAAAAAGTTCATTCTGCAGTTGCTGTGTTGATTGGCAACGTAGCCAATATTGATAACAATAAATGTTTGAGAGAAAGAGACTGTCACATTCTGGTCTACTAAGGGGTTCACGCAGGTTCCACTTTGATGCCCATACTTCGATTTCTCCCATGAGGTTTTCGATGACAATGAAATCTGCGTAGATTCGGAAATTGCATAAATTAATATGCAGAAAAACAATTGATTTCGGGGGAGGAGTCTAACCGTAGGAAAGATGAGAAGCGCTTGAAACATATCGACTGCTATTCGCTATTTATTTTTGAAGCGAATGGGGTTTTTAATCAGGTCATAACATGAACACTTCAATAATAAATCTAAATTTACCTTGATAATAAATCTGCAATGTAGCTTCCAAGCGGCTTTAAAGAAGGATAAGACTTTGCGGACCACATAGCGGGAACTTTTCCAATGAGCATACAATCGAACACTTCCTCTAATTCAGCAGACATCACAACTAATCCCTTCACAGCCTTTTGCAAGTTTTTTAAGGATTCTCGGACGACAGATGTCAATCGGTTATACCGTATCAATTCTTGGCGCAACACAGTATTCATGGATTCAGTATATATCACAGGGTATTTTTCAATTATCTGGGAAATTAAAAAGGCTACCTATTAGAAACTTCAGAATTTTTTTTTTCTTTGTGAGACGTATGCTAACTCTCTTTGCAACAAAATTAACAACTTAATTTCACAAATAAACTGACGATGGATTTTTACTCTAATCGGCAGTATCTTTCGAGGCACACAGAATGCCTACCTAATCATCATAATTTGAGATATAAAGCGCACGGTATGTTTGCTTCTCTATATTTATATCTAAATTATCATTATCTATTTCCTGGCACAATTTTGCAACAAGCAGTTTCTGAAAAATAGTTATATACTATACAGTTTGTCTTCACGCAATTAACGCTAAAAATTTTTTTAGCAACATTAATTTGGTGGTTTTTCATCAGATTAAACTGTCATCAAATTAAATTTTAAAAAAAAAACCTAAAAACTGACAAATGTGTAGTTTAGAATTACTTAATTAAACTTAATTTCTCCATAGCCAACAAAGAGATCCGTTTATTTTCCACCAAAAGATATTGTGCTGTCTACTAATATTATAACTTCGAAAGTTTGTAAAAAGTACGAAAAATTAAACGCAACTAAAGTTCAACTTAATTTCCAAAATGGCGAGGGTAGTTAACTCAGGCGCAGAATATCACCATCGCCGATTTTCTAGCGTTCAATCTGAAATTTATATCAGTTTTACAAAATAGTGTCACAAAAATGTCGAATTTATGAAAGCAAAACATCATAAAATATTACCTTATCCATGTCAAAGTCTGCTGGAAGCTTTGCCAATATATCATCTGCAAGATCGTAAATCATATCACCTGAAGACTGGGCACCAGTCCCGCTCGATTTTCCTTGAGTTAATAAAATACCATCTAAAAGCTGAAAATAAATAAAACCGAAATGTCAAAGCAAGATTTGTGTGTGCATCTTTGACCAGTCATAATGCACTTCCAGTGCCGATTTTCGAATAAAAATTTAGCATCAAGTTTTTAAACGTTTGAGAAATTTGTAAATGGTGATCATAAGATTTTATATTCGTCCACAAAAAAATATTTTTAGCGCACTTAATTAGTGTTTTCTATTTATGGGCATTTAATTGAAATATCGAGTTGTAGACGAGATCCCCGAATTTTATTCTACCGATTTTTCTTGTCTATTTNTCTCATCCCTGTATAAAGGTCAACCAGTTTTATCCCAAAGAAATGATTTTTAGAGAAACTTCAGAGGGAGGAAAAGGGACTTCTACAATTTCCCTCCGCGGAAAATTAAATTCCTCATAAAACATTTTAACTTGGGCAAAAAAAAATTTCAGCGGAAATTAGCGGGAAAAATGGAAAAATCTGAAAAAAAGCGGAAATCCGCGAATCCGAGGAACAATCTCATCCCTGTAAACTATATTTTTGGAAATGCAGGGGAAAACATATTTTCATTAAATTTTTGTGTCGAAGGAATTTTTTCCCTGATGGCCCTTCTCTGCCTCTGAAAATTTTTTAAAGGGCATCTTCCTTAAGATATAAATATTTAAACCATTCTCGAACATAATTTATTTTGGAAGCAAATTAATTTTGTTCTTTACGGTAGGTAGGTAATTTATTTAGGTCGCTCTAGAGCTGCACATTTGGCTATTGGCAACGGTCTCTGAGATACATCCCTGAGGATAATCCGAATAGATGCCATCACATTTGTGAGGCCACTTTCTCAAACTAAACATAGATCTGAAAGGGAAAGAAATTTTCTCCAGCTTTCTGTACCCAGGGTATTGCTCTGCAACCAAGGCCGGATTTACGTATAAGCTAAATAAGCTGTAGCTTGGGGCCCCGAGATGACAAGGGCCCCCTGATTCTACTTGGCCCCCTGATTCTACTTTCCCCCCTCTTTTTTTAAAGTTTTATTCGGAGCTGGGGCCCTCAGAAGCCCAAAATGCATTTTTTTTCTTTTTTTACATTGTCGGACATAATAAATATAAATAAATGACTGAATAAAACAAAGAACTTGATTGTCATTAGTAGGGAATATATCATATTTCAAGCAATTTGAGTATTAATAAATTATTTATAAATAAACGAATTTTTAGTTTAAAAGGTAAAAAAGTTTTTTTTGCCCCATCATTCGATCATCAGACTATTTAATATCTGTTTCTTTGGATCAGAATTCCCTTTTATTTTACTTTAAAATTGTACAAATGATATATTTAATGCTTTCATGTGATATGCAGCAGTTTTAAATAGCACTTTAAAATATCTAAAAAAGGACAGAAATTGTCAGTTCAAAAAAAATTAACTAATACTTTAGAATAAGAATTTAAATAACTACACACGCTTGTTTTGCTATCTCATTCTATATAGCATTATTTAGAGTAGACAGTTGCGTGTGGGTGTGATGATGACGTAATAAAAGAGGCATACAAAAAAAGCGAATTTCATTTCAGTTAAAATCCTCAATATTATATTTTTAAACTCCTCGAAAATGTAGTAAAAGAGGTATACAAATTAAATGTCGCAAACAAATGAATATTAAGTAAGAACGAAACAAAAATGATATCAAAATATGCTGAATCACTAATGAGACCGGGATGAAAGACATCGAAACCTATTTGATTGAATAGTATAACTAGAAGGTGTTTCTAAAATTCTGAAATCTATCAGGCTTTAATTTTTTTTTCTGTCACAAAATTTATCAGTAATTAAAAATAATAAATTCGTTAGATTTCAATATTTCTGTTTTTTCGTTGACTTAATGTTAAACATTAACAGATATTTGTCTTTTAAACATTTCATTCTATAATAAGATAATAATTCTGCAATTGTAATTATCTAAAACTAATTGCTAATTGATATAAAGCTTTAGTGTGTTCCATTGATATGTTGAATGCTCGCTTTGGCTGGATGCCCGGGACTGCTGCTCTTTCAGGACTGCTGCTCTATATAATAGTCTCATTACAATTAATATATTTAACAGTAAAGTAATGTTATCAAATTTTTTAATAATATAATGTTAATACTCAACAGTAAAAAATAATGGCAGTTTACTTTAGGTGCATAGAAATGGAATTGAACTTATGAGGGCCCCATCAATTTCAGTAGCTTAGGGCCCCACCAAGCTTAAATCCGACCCTGTCTGCAACCACGACCACGGGACTTTCGATTCTTTAGATTGTGGGGGGCGGAGTTATTGACCATACCAACTTTCATCTATCAAAAGGTACCTCTTGATTGAACCAAGTTAGCATGTCTTACCAGTGAATTGATGTTTTAATATTCGTAGTGGTAGTTACGCCACAAGATTTTACGAACACATATATCGCATGCACTTGGCAGGTCTTAGCGGAGTCGAGGATCGAACCACGACCACTTCGGACCGAAGTCCGATTCTCTAACCACTGGGTTACTACGGTCCCGTTGTTCTTCACACTCAACATTTTTGTGTTTCACCGGTGTGAGAAAAAAAAGAAAGAATAAATTAATAAAAGTAAACTCTTACCGCAGATTCAACCATAACAAATATAGTAAATAAATAATCCCAAGAAACTGAAGAGGTAATATATTACCCGATTAAAAATTTCGTTCCCTTCAAAAATAATTAGGGCTGTGGCAGCGCAGTGGTGAAATAATCGGACTCCGTTTCGGAGAAGCCGGGGTTCGATCCTCGACTCCGCTAAAACCTACTGAGTGCATCGTAAAATTTGTGGAATCGAAAGTTCAGTGGTCGGTCTCTGAGCAGTATGATGGGTACAGGGATCAGTAGAAATTTTCCTTCTCCTTCACATCTATGCCTAAATTGAGAAAGTTTGCCTCTCAAATGAGATTCCCTCTTCAAAAGATCAAAATTGTGATGGCTTGTCCTTCGGATTATCCCGAGGGTTGCTTCCCAGACCGTCGCCAGTAACTCATTGTGCAGCTCTAGTGCACAATGAGCTACTGGTATGTAAAGTACCTAACTACCTACCAAAAATAAATAGCAACTAACAAGTCAGCATGTTTCAAGCGCTTAAAAAAATAGACGCCCATTTTCAAGACGTGAATGAGAAGAAAAAGTGATTAAAAAAATAATACTGGAAACGTGTTTTTATTCGCGATCGCAACACTAGAATACGCCGTCTGAGGAGAAGACCGGTTTCCTGTCTTAACCCTCCCACCCAAGGCCGTAGCCAGGATATTTTTTCGGGGGGGGGGGTAGGAGGGATATGGTAAGAAGCAAGGACAGATTCAGACATGCAAAGTAGGGGAAAAACATTGTAACGAATATTGTTTATTCTGTTGTTTGCAAAAGTTAAATTAGTAATTAAAAAATATTACATAATGATTATTTTTCAATTAATATTACATAATAATTATAATTAATTTGTAAACAAAGTTTACAAAGACATGCGACGGGGATTTGAAGAAAATTTTTCGATTACTTTTTTAGGACAAACCGGAATATCCCGAAATATGCTTAATAAAGTTAGCCCTGTTAGGCTTTCTTCTTTAGTAGCATTTCTTGTTGCTGTTTTTACGCGCTTAAGAGTAGAAAAAGTTCGTTCTGCAGTTGCTGTGGTGATTGGCAACGTAGCCAATATTGATAACAAGCAATAAATGTTTGGGAGAAAGAGACTGTCACATTCTTTCATTGCTGAAAGTGCCGTATCTGGTCTACTAAGGGGTTCACGCAGGTTCGACTTTGATGCCCATACTTCGATTTCTCCCATGAGGTTTTCGATGTCAATGAAATCTGCGTAGATTCGGAAATTGCATAAATTAATATGCTGAAAAACAATTGATTTCGGGGGAGGAGTCTAACCGTAGGAAAGATGAGAAGCGCTTGAAACATATCGACTGCTATTCACTATTTATTTTTGAAGCGAATGAGGTTTTTAATCAGGTCATAACATGTACACTTCAATAATAAATCTAAATTTACCTTGATAATAAATCTGCAATGTAGCTTCCAAGCGGCTTCAAAGAAGGATAAGACTTTGCGGACCACATAGCGGGAACTTTTCCAATGAGCATACAATCGAACACTTCCTCTAATTCAGCAGACATCACAACTAATCCCTTCACAGCCTTTTGCAAGTTTTTTAAGGATTCTCGGACCACAGATGTCAGTCGGTTATACCGTATCAATTCTTGGCGCAACACAGTATTCATGGATTCAGTATATACCACTGGGTATTTTTCAATTATCTGGGAAATTAAAAAAGCTACCTATTAGAAATTTTAATTTTTTTTTCTTTGTTAGACGTATGCTAACTCTCTTTACAACAAAATTAACAACAACTTAATTTCACAAATAAACTGACAATATATCTAATCTAATCGGTAGTATCTTTCGAGGCATGCAAAATGCAAGGTCACCAATCATATGATTGGGTGGTGATATCATATAACTTAAGATGTAAAGCGCACGATATGTTTGCTTCTCTATTAATTTTTTCTGGCATAATTCTGCAATAAGCAGTTCTTGAAAAATAGTTATATACTATACAGTTTGTTTTTATCAGCTTAAACTGTAATCAAATTAAATTTAAAAAAAACCTAGAAACTAACAAATGTGTAGTTTAGAATTACTTCTATTTCTCCATATCCAATAAAGAGATTCGTTTATTTTCCACCTAAAGATATTGTGCTGTCTACTAATATTATAACTTCGAAAGTTTGTAAAAAGTACAAAAAATTAATCAAAAAAAAAAAAATGCAACTAAAAAGTTCAACGTAAAATTCAAAATGGCAAGGATAGTTAACTCAGGCTCAAAATATCACTAAAGCAGATTTTTTAACGCTTAATCTGAAATTTATATCAGTTTCATCTCATTTTGAAAAATACTGCCACAAAATTGTCGAATTTATGGAAGCAAAACATCATAAAATATTACTGTATCCATGTCGAAGTCTGCTGGAAGCTTTGCCAATATATCATCTGCAAGATCGTAAATCATATCACCTGAAGACTGGGCACCAGTCCCGCTAGACTTTCCTTGAGTTAATAGAATTCCATCTAAAAGCTGAAAATAAATAAAACCGAAATGTCAATTTTATAAAAAAAAAATGGAGTAAGATTTGTGTGTGCATCTTTGACCTGGTCAGGACCGATTTTCGAAAAAAAATTTAGTATTGATTTGTAGATGCCGGTCATAAGATTTTATATTCATCCACAAAAAATATTTTTAGCCCACTTAATTAGTGTTTTCTATTTATAGGCATTTAATTGAAATATCGAGTTGTAGATGAGATCCCCGAATTTTATTCTACCGATTTTTCTTGTCTATTTACAGTCAACGAAACCTCTGCAACGCTATGAATTCCGAAATTCATGTTCTAAAATTTATCTGCAGAACGTGTTGTAAAATATTTGTATTCAAATGTGGCAGTATTTCGTAGGTTTACAAGTTTTAAAACGTAAGAATGTCTAATACTACAATACATGATGAAATAATTGCGCTTCCTTTTTCATTAGCGCGACAGCCCTTTGTGTTCCTTGGCCTTCATTAAACATCCATTTCAAGCTGCTTTATATTTAGGTTTTTATAAATAACTGCGCTACTAAAAAAAATACTTGAAATTAATTTAATTAAACATTATGACATAAAAATCAATTAAATAAAAAAATAATTCTGTAATATTAACTTTAAAATCATAAATATTCTTGATTTAATTTTTTTTTAGCTTATTATTTTGGAATTCTATTTCAAGTAATCAGTTTTATAAATTTACTTCAGAAATTATTTTTGAATCGCATGGACTCGGAAGTTTTTTCCCCACTCTAACAAATTTGCATGAATAAAAGGGGGTCATAGTGCGTTGTCAGAGAAGATAAAGAACAAGCTTATAATACAGAAGATATTAATTTTGTCTGCAAAATAAATTTTAATGGTTATTCATTTTTGATTGTAAGGCATTTTTTAAACTCAATGCATTAATGGAATTCCTAGGGGATTTCGCAAAGCAGCGAGTTCGATTATCAATTGAGAAGCTGTTCTAATGGAAAATGAGGTCATTTTCACTACAGGATAGCCGAACAATGTGGTGTTTCAGCGTCATGGTGTAATATTTGAGCAAATTACATCAGCCGTCATCATGTAATACTTGAAGGAATTGCACCATCCTTTTCGTCATTGAACGGCCCTAGCGAATCCAGACGGGAAAACTCCCAAATTTATAATTAACTCTTAACTTCTTCCATAGAACAATCTAGTTTCACATACACATCCGATTCGGCAATACTGCGTGAAGGCAGCTCTCACCAATCATGTCACTGTTAAACTTATTTCCTTTTTTTTCTTATTAAATGTTAAGTTAAATTATTGAATTATTGTTGTTATTTTATCTTCTGCTCCACAAACTCCTACATATATATATGTAGATAAATTCTCAATTTTTGTTGATTGGCTAATGGTAGAACACATAAAAGTTACTATTATTTAACAACAACATTGTACAAAATTTTAGAATTATAAGTTAATTAATATCTTCTGAATTAATATCTTCTTTTAATTAAATAAATCATACTTCATTTTAATGCAATTGCAATTTTTATATACAAAATTCAATATCGTCGTGGAAGCAGAAGATATAAACTTATGAAGTTTTGTACAAACATTTAAAAAAATATTAATTTTTACCACAAACCGATCAACAAATTCTGTAATATTTTACAAATTTTTTAAATGTCAGGCAGTTTTAGTCTATTTTCCCCAGCTTCAGGTCCATTTAGGCAACAGAAGACTCAGAGTCTGACGATAAATTCTTTTTGGAGATAAATTATGTTTATGATGTTGGTGATAAATTCTATTGTCAGGAATGTATCATTATTCACCAGAGAGAAAATTAAGCAATAAGCTAGTCATGGAGTGATTACAATTTTGATTAACATGAAATTCTTCTACTAGAGGTCAGGATATGCAATTGAAACTTACATTGTTATCAAGCGCGGCTACTCCAGCATAGACTTGAGTAATCAAGCTAGTTGGAAAGTTGTCAAAATTTTGACTGCATCTTCTTTTTTCAATCAATTTTCAGCCCCTCTCAAAAGCAAATTTAAAAAAAAAATATAACAACTAAGAAAATTAAATTTTGTTTTAAGAAATTCGTCGCATAATGTTTACATAAGATTTTAAATTTTGAATAAGTTACAGATTATTGTTGTAGTCTTATTTTATTCCAAAACTAAAATTTAAAAATTCTACTCTCACAGACACAAAAACATGTTAATAAAAACTAATAAAATCAAACTTTGGTAAAAAGTGTTTGCCTATCCTGTTAAAGTATTGGAAAACTCAACATTCATGTTTGGTATGAAATATATGCTTAAATTAGATTTTAAATTTTGAAAAACTTTCAAATTATTGTTGTTATCTTATTTTATTCAATAACCAAAATTGAAAATCGGACAACAATTCCGATAATATGTCCTAGAATTATTTTCTTATACAGTTGTGTTTTCCTTTCCTTTTTTCAAAATAATTTTTTTAATTTATGTGTAATCAGACACACATTTATGGTATCAATTTATGCCACAGCTCAAATTTGTTTTAAGTTTTGAACTTTAAATTAGGTAAAACTAATTAAATTAACAGAGGTTTGATTATGATTCATAAAAGACTCTAGTGAAGAAAATTAGAATAATAACAAAAATTGAAAAAGCAACAAAAATAAAAATATAATTTATTATCAAATAATATATACACAGTAACAAAAACTATAAGTACAACTGATAATAGAGACATAAAAAAAAAAACATTTCCCAGAAGTTATAAATTTGTTTAATAAAATTGCATATTATTAAATTTATTTTAATTTATTAAAAAACTAATTACTCACCTCTTGCTTATAAACCAATACAAATTGCTACTTTTGCAAGATTTCATAAAAACAGATATTGAGTGTTATGAATAATAAAAGTAAATCATTGTACAATGCTGTATATTCTAAGATTTTATTGTAAAAAATTGAACCTCATAAGTTTATATTCAGAATGACACCTAAATCTAAGTGTTTGACCCATGAGGATATAAACACATAAATTAAATCAAGTTGCACATGAATTTGCTAATTATGTTTTATAAAAATGGAAATAAGAGTAATTTAGATCGTATGATGGATTTAGGTAAGTCAGCTTCCAATCACTAACATTTTCATGGTGTATTTTTTACTTGAATGAAATAAAATAAAATACAATGAAAGTCCAAAGAAACTGACTTTATGTGGATTAACACAAACTCAGATTACTGAGTACTTAGACCGTCCTGAACGCTACATTTAAACATGACTATTATTCAGCGAGACATTAAGCATTCACATATTAAAAGAATACACTTATATAGATAATTACATAATATATAACGAACAATTTACATGCAAATGACAAACTCTTTCAGTTCAATACTTAATATAATCCATAAGAAAATATATACATATATTGTTTCTATTTAAACAAATAATTCATCTAGTAATGAAATCTATTATATTTTAGATAATCTTAAACTATTTCATGCTTGAATTTATTTGGAAGTATTTCTTTAAAAATTTTGAAAAGATAAAAAATGGTGTGAACATAACCCCATTCATTGCAATATCTAGAGTGAAATATAATTTTTCTGGTGTTGAAATTGTATTTTTACCTCAGGAATATAATTTTCTATATCTTCGAAACTAAGCATTTCTTTCCCTTTCAAAAGTATTTCCTTTAAAAAAAGCATTTTTTTTCCCTTTCCTTTTCAAAAATTTTATATTTTCCATTCTTTTAAGGTTATAGAACTCTCTGGACAATCTGAAATGTGCCCTTTGTACTTATGACATTATCAAATTACAATGTTTTATACTAAAAAACATAAAAGAAAGATATATATAACTGAAAAGAAGTTATTAATTAAATTGTGCTCTTAAAGGAAAAACTGTTTTGTAAGTACCGTTTTTACTTGAAAAAATAATAAAAGTAAGAATTATTCAACAATGTTTTTTGCAAGAACAACATGATATTTAATATTGCCTGGATTTTGATGATTTCTAAAAAATCCATAAAAGTAACTTTAAAGATATCAAAAGTGCTTTAAAAAAATAAAAATCTCTTTATAATCAAAAAAGAATTTAAATTCAAAACATTATTTCTTTCCATAATAGATAATCTATATACATATATATTTCTCTGATGTGGCACCATAAACTTAGGTATTTCTCTATCTATGGCAACACTATAGTTGTTATTCATTTTTTTAGTAATTTAAGTAGCATTAAAAAATTAGTTATACGTTAAGCTCTTATTTAGAATTATTTTGTATTTTTAAAGAAATATGAACTTAGTTATGAAATAATTAGTTAGATTTGTTTTTGATCCTTTTCGAAATGTCTGTAGAAATTTTAAACATAAACGGTGCTATTGTGCCATATTCTGTCATACCAAATATTGGTGATGGAGGTTTCTTTTTTTGAGTAATAGCATATATATAATACAATATTCAAGTTATAAACCAAAAGTAACACAGCATGTAATGGTACGTTGAGATGAGTTATCTTATGACCATCTCAATCTCATTTCACAACAGAGATGGAATTAATTTTAATACTTCTACTATGCTGAAAGTTCCAACCTCATATTTATAGTGGTGGCTACTTACCATAATGACATGTGACTTAATGACTGTTAGTTAATGTTAACAAATCACAAAATTATTACTAAAATTCAGTACATAAAGAACTTTGGCAATATCACCGACATCTCTGGAAAATTGTTTAAATTGAAATCAAAGTAGTTTTGGGTAGGCAAAGCTTTCAGCAACAGTAAGGTGGTTCAAGAATTTAGTTAATAAATTGTTGGAAGCTAATTAAGGTGTTAGGATTTTAGGAGGGGGTAGAACAATTAAATATTTAAATACAGTTACAACATGCAATCGGCTTGGTTACCATTAAAATTTACATGTTGTACTGGATAATTTTGAAAGGCTGGTTGACAAAGGTTGTAAGTTGTTTTAAAATACATAAGCTTAAAAAAAACTGAGTTGCATTTTCCAGTAAAGTAATAGATACTATAAAGATAGGGAAAAATCACCTGGATAGAAAAAAAAAACTGTCAACAAACCTGTTGAGTTTCTTGGTTGTCTTTGGAAATATCAGCATTTTCATGAAGTCCAAATACTTCAGGGTGAGGAATAATCGGCAAACTCCGAATGTATTGTATGAAACCTTCTTGTTCAAGATCACTGGGAGTATGATAAAGCCCACTTTCAGAGAACCTAGAAAAAAAGTGTTTTTATCTTTTAAAATATTTTTAAGGAAAAATAAATGAAAACGAATAAATTTATAGACATTATTATGATAGTTTACGAAGTGGGAATTATACAAATGGCGAAAACTCAAAGGCAGGATTTAGTTTTATCAAATGAGTATTACAAATATTCAAATTCAAAATAACACAATAATTTTCAATAAAAGATAATTCAATTATGTAATTAAAATAATTCAACCATATGCTTGTAAATGTACGTTTTTAATTTTAACAACTGAACAAAGATTAATGAGGGATGCCACTCAAATCTGGAAAAAAAATTCCCTGTGTTTTCCATGTAGATATTATACACAATATATTAAGAGGAAACACACTATCACTGCGCTTTTGTGTGAGCTATATTGTACTAACTATACTAAATTTAATTACTGGAAAAACTTAGAGAAAATAGGTACAGGTGAGCATATTTAAAACAAATAATGATAGAGTAAATTAAATTGTTTAGTATAGCTGAAATAAAATCCTTAAATATGCTTTAGCTTTGAGTAGTCACCATTTTTTAAAAGGCAAAAATAAGAAACAAAATTCTCTGTATTTTTCAAGTTTGAAAAGAAAAACTAAAAATTCTCTGTTATTTTAGGTGATTTTTAAATTCACTGTTTTTTCCAGGTTTTCCCTGTGGAGTGGTAACGCTGTTAATAGTTTGATGTGTATAAATTTCAGGCTAAGCAATAGCTTTTTGAGCTTATTTAAAAAAAAATTTCTTTTTGAATTCAAATGCATTTTTTTATATAAAACTTAGTAATTACTTAACATTTTGATTTTTTTATCATGCGCAAATAAATTTTGACTAAGTATAATAGCTCATTGGACTTTTAAACGATTTTGTCTTTAATTTAAATTAAAAGTATTTCTTTCATGATTACTTGACAATTTGAATAGGTTTATGTTTCAGAATAAATTTTGACTAAGCAATACTTTATTGATAAAAAATTTTTCTTACCAATGTCTTTAGCTGAAATTAGACATATTTCTTTATAATTACTTGTTTTTTGGAAATCTTTTTGATGCTTCAGAATAAATTTTGACAAAGCAATAGCTTACTGATTGGATCATAAGCTTTAATTGAATTAAACATATTCCTTTTACTGAATTTTATAATTATTAAATGCTTTGATCGATTTCTAGACGTATTGTGCATGGACAAACTAAAGGTCTGATTTCTTAGGACAAGCGCCTTATCTGAGCGTCAGCAGGATGTCAACGTCCCGCTGATGCCAACAAAATATTGGTTTGTTAGCTCAAGGCCTGGTTTCTTAGAACTAGTGCCTTATTTGGGCGTCAGCGGAAAGTTGAGGTAGAGCTGACGCCAAAAAAATACTTTTTTGTTAGCTCAGCTTGAGCAGTCGGTCCAACGCAGACATTATCTCTCATTGCGCATGCGTTAATAACGTAAACAAATATTTATTTTGATTTTGTATTGATTTTGTTATTGTCGACTAGTGTTTTAGAGAACAAATAATGACTTTGTCCAAGAAAAAACACATTATAGCTGAGTTAAATGAAGAATGCTATGTTTAATGTCAAAATCAAAATCTTGGTTGATTTCAATGTGCTGTTGGATGTTGTCCGCCATTGCTTCTGTGGTTAACATCACGTTGTAATCCAACTGCAGTTGTAGTTCAAGATGAACGTTCAATGACGTATACTATCAAACTCACAAATGGACCAATCAGAGGTTAACGCTGATTTCCAGCTGACGGCCTCCTGTCCTAAGAAACCAGGCCTTAAGAAAAGGCAATAGTTACAAGTATTGGTTCACATAATTTAAAAATGCTCACTTATAATTGTCATTGTCTATAATTTTAGGAGTGTAAGCAAGAGACAGCAAGGAAAGTAAAAGTCTGCGATCTTTATCATCTGTTACTCTGCCACCATAATTACACTCTCCAGTTAGATAAGTCAGAGCTTCTAATGGTACTTCTTCATAATCATTAATAAACATCTAAAACATATATTTAAAGTTCTTAAGATTTTTGTTAAAATAATTTATAATAAATATTAGATATTCCAAGAATGACAATAATAAATATTTATGCATCATTAGATTGTAATAAAAATACGCATTTATATTTGAGAAATATTATTTTGGGAAATATTATTTGGGAAATATTATTTAGCGAAATATTATATTATTTGAGAAATTTCCTTTAAAACATACATTTTAAAACTAAACAACTACTCAAAACTTCTCACGCATTATAAATAAAGCTGTAGGATATTTTTTAAAATCTACCCTTATTTTATTTCTTTAAAATTTGTAATTTTAACAGATGTAGATCCGTTGAAATTACAAACTAAAAAGAAAGTAGACGATGATGGATTTTAAAAAAGTATGTTTTACCGCATATCCAAACTAATAGTTTTTTTATTTTGAAAAAAATTTGCATGGAAAACTATCTTTAAAACAATTCTTTTTAGGTAAACGGTCAGGTGCATTGTAAATAATGTAATGTAGTTTAAGTTAGATTTACAAAAAACAGTCAAAATGCTACCCTTTTCTAGAAAGCAAAATTGATTTACTAAATTTTTGAAACTCTTTCAAATAATGAAAATGAAATCCAATTCTTAATTATAAATACTGTTTATCAATACATTTTTTACAGCTTTAAAATTCTTTAACAATAAACTTGATAGCATATTTTTTTAAAAAAGGAAGGGAAATGTTTTTTTTATAAGTAAATTATTTCAAGTTTTTGTATTTGAGCTTGTTTTAATACTACTCATCTCATTTATTTGACATAATTGCGAAATAATAGTCAACAATATTTGATAGTTGCTCCCCAAAATAATGTCAGATAGTTGAAGCTTTATCATTAGAAATAATGCAAAATATCACAGACATTTAAGACTTCACAATAAGATTTTTTTTTAAAAATCAATATTTCTGCAAAAATAAATGGTTTCAAAATTCTTTTTACACTAATACAACACATTTTTCAAATTAGTTTTAGAAATCATATACTTATTTTGCACAAAATTAATTTTTCTAAATATTATAAGCTCTTGATAGCTATTTTTAATTTGTATTTGTTTGTGAAAGTTGTTATAATTATGAGAAAAAAAACAGTCTTAGTATCATTTTCATTATTTGATATATTAGGCCAGCACATTAGATGCAGTACTAAGTAGTCTTCTATACATAATGATCAATACACCAGACTTCTACCAATAATGAGTGAAACAAACATATGGCATTGTTTTTCCTGGCACTTAAAAGAAAGGTTTCAGGTTTTAAATACTTAAAAAAACTATGAAACTAATGTCGAAAATCTCCCATGTATTACTTATAGCTACACTTATAGATAAATGAATTCATTGAAATAAGTGAATAAATTAGAGTATATCCCGTTTATGTAAATTTAATTTTTATTATAATCCTATAAGAGTTGTTATTTGACTACTCACTTGTAATTGTGTCAGGCTGATTCTCAAATCTGATTCATTGAATTCATATGGTATATTCCAACCTAATGGTCCAAATTTCCTACGTTCCTGAACTAATGCATGGAAGAAACATAAACCAAACAGAAATTTTCTCCATATTTTGGGCTAGAATGATCAAAGAGTAAATAAACTGTAATGAATATTAATAAGTAAAAATATGTGTATTGCATATAAGTACAGTTACTCATTTTGATAAACACAGAATAGAAAAGCAGTAAAAATACCTAAGTTCATATTTCTTGACATTTTTTTTCTTCTTCATTTATATCAGTTTTATTATTTGTTTAAGCTGAATTATTTAGCCATAAAAGTTCATAAATAAGGTCACACTTCTTTTTCCATATTATTAACCCTATCCTTCTCTTTGTCACTCTTTACCATACTCTCGTGGCACATGTTATAGTATATTACCATATGTTAAAAATCATATTTCACACAACATGTTAAAGATCATATTTCAAATTTAATTTTTAAACTTTAATTATATTTTTTAATAACATTTGTAAGTACAACAATAACGTTTAGATATGTACTTATTTCGATGAAAAATTTTTTTATGAACAATACTAATCTGATAATTTTAAATGTTTTTATTTAAACCAAATTGAGGAAAGTCATGCTACTAGTTACCCCCTCATCCCTCTTGCCACAATTTCCTGACTATCTCCCTCTCCTTCAAGCCTGACATCTTTTATGAATAGCACAAAAGGTTTTTGAAGCGATTAGGTAAAATAAAGTAGAGCGTTACTAATCTGAACATAAGCAATCTGAAAATTTGGATAATATAAATTTTCTACATAGCAACCTAAAGAATTGAATTCTTAACAGAAATTGAATTTTTAACAGAAATAGTTACAGTAGGGCATCTTTATTTTTGAAGCCCAAGACTTAATTGAAGTTTCAACACCAAAAATATAGGTACCTTGTGATTACTAATTTTTCCCCCATCCAATATTGTTTTATCCTATCACAATGTAGTAAATCATGTACAAGAGAGTGATTTATTGGCAGTTTTTTTCCAAGCATTAATATCTGTAAAATGTCTAATTTTACTACATGGTGATGCTTTACAACTTCGTATTTCACTTTTTTTTCTCATATCTTATAACGTTTTCAAAACAAAAAATATTAACTTCACGCTTTTTCACTAAAACGTAATGTAAAAGTTCTCATCTCGTAGAACATAGCCACTTAGCTACACCTTGACAGAGCTTTTATAAGAACAGCTACAGCTCTTACACAGTTAAGAAACACACAGATTTTAGAAGGATCCTGAATATAATCAATTGACACAATTTGGTCTAATTTTGTTTATTAAAAAGGGATTATTATTATTCTTATTATTTGAATTTATTATTATTGTTAAGGGGCTCTTTAACACAATATAGAGTGTATATTATAAAAATATAAGGTAATATTAAATATAGATAAGAAAAAAAGCAGAAATGAAAACATTTACACACAAACCTTGTTACAACCATCATAAAAAGATGGATTAGATATGGGATCACTCAAATAGGAGCGCAATAAGTTTGCCCTTAATCCTTTTGGAGGTTCATTTGTCATTTTGATGCCTATCAAAAATAAAATATTATTTTCAGAGTTAATATTAGATTATTTTTCAATGCAATGAAAATATTTAGATCTAAAAATTACATGACATCTCCATATATTCTTTTGATACCAAGAGTTTTCCTCAATCTTACTTCTTTATTCCTTCACTAGCCTTTCCATCCACTCAATTATTTGATTACTTAATCTAGATTACATTTATTATGCTCAGGGCCGTCTTAATAGCATGCAGGGCCCCCAGTCAAAGAAATATTTTGGGCCCTTATAACTGCTTAAAATCGAACTAAAAAAATTTCACATGCATAAAATAAAGCATTTTTAACGTATGCAATAATTTGAACAAATTTAAATACATTTTGATTCAAATGTATATAAATTTGTTTTTAGTAGACCCAAAAAAACTGAATTCACACAAAAATTTCACTGGAACGTAGAAAAATAGATTTCGGTTGCCTTTTTAAGTTTCCCTGGTGATAAACTATTTAAATTATTGTTGTTTGCTAGATAATCAATCACTATTTGTAGAAAGAAAAACAAAATACACAATTTATACAATATAATATATTTATTAAAAAATATATATAAACCAATTTTGTTTAGTCTGAGTTTTTTTTAATACAATTTATAAAAAGAAAGATTCTCAAGAGCCCCCTGAGTGCCTAGGGGCCCTCAGGCACTGCCCGGGTATGCCCATGCATGAAGACGGTACTGATTATGCTGTTAGACTAATGTCATTTTCAGACTAATGCAGGGAATAATGTTGAAAGAACAAACAAACTTTAAAAAAAACTAAGAACAAACTTCACAATGAACTTTTGTTACAGTAACAGTTGCTATTGTGACATGATATGTATTACGGAAAAATATTAATCATCACTACACTACAATTGAATTTTCTCAGCCACAACTTTCTCATTGATTAGCCTAATAAGAAAAAAATATTTTTTGTTGAAGGAAACCTACCAGCACTAAGTTTTAAAAAGTATAACAAATTTTTAAATTAAATGAACGATACTTGATTAATACACTATTCAATTATACTTTAATAATAACACACTTTATGAATTACTCTTGTGCTAATGAATTTATTTAAAAAAATCAAGAGAAAATTAAAACGTAAAATAACTTTTCACTTACCATTTTGTAATATTGAAACTGGAAATGAGTTTGATGGATAACTAGTTAACCACAGACGAAAATTCAAATCTGTTTTATCAGGAGTTACAGCCTGTGGATCAACATTTTGCCTTTAGTTCTTTTGGTATTAATGAATATTTTTGTTTATTATCATAAAAATAAAAATTCAGATCTAAAACATACATTATTTAACTTAACTAATTATTGAGTTTAAAAGTAAAGAGGTGTTTTAACATAATCTAAATATATGTAGAAAGTAAATAAAAATAAATTCAAACCATTTACATAAAAATAATTATATTTTTAAAATACACATACATTTTTGTTATTTGTTAACAAAATGCATTTATGTTTTGCTAATACCAACTTCTAGATTATAAATAGTTAGCAACCATTAGTGCAGTCAAGTTAAAATGAATGACAATTCAATATAATGATTTAGTACAGGGAGAAATAGCGGAATCAGAGATTTCCTTTTTTAATGAAATGACATAATATTTATTTTTGGAAATTCAGTTAGACAGTTATTCATAAAAAACAATATCACATTTTTTATCCAGCAATATGAAATAGAAAGAATTTACCCTGAGCTTATTTCACTTTTTTTTGGCCATTTTAAAATTTTTACTTTAAACTTATTTTATTCTTTGCTGTCTATATTCATTCAGAACTATTTTATTTAAAAAAAATTATAAATCAATAAAAAAATAATATAAATAAAATAAAAATTATAAGTAAATTGCTATAAATTTAGAAATAGAATTAAAAAAAAAAAGAAAAATGAAATTATGAATTTTGTTTATTATCTGCTAGTTAAAGAAATAGATATTGGATATTTCCTGTGATGTTGCTGTGTCACACTTGCTTTGATTTCAACAGCTTATTGGTATGTTTGTCCTAAATGTAAATTTTTTTGTTCAAGTCAACTTAGTTTGCATTTGAATTTATTTTAACTGCATTGGCATTTGAACTCTTAAATTGATTAATTGATTTTTTGATATAGATTCACTTTTAATAACTACAATGAACAGAAGTTTACTTTACTGAGGAAATCGGTGACTTATCTTTGAGTGCTTGTATTTTTCTTATATATATATATTTTAGGCCTCCATCTACCCACTGTGTGCTTGGAATTTTAATATATTTTAGAGATCCAAAGTCTAATTTATAATTTAAACAACCACCGTAGTCTCAAATTTAAATATTTTATGAGGATTTAAGACATGCAGTTAGTGAAATAACATGCGGTTTCTATGCTTTTAGGGAACCCCTATAGCCATAAAAGCACATGTAAGGCTCTACATAACAGCACTATTGAAGATGATCTGCCTTTTTTCCTGAATTAGTTTCATGAAATTGCTGTTTGACCAGTTTATTATGAGTTTTTGTATTTTTATTTTTGTATTATATTATCAAGATTTTGTTTGAAATTTTTCTTCTGATTTGATTTTACGTATCTCTTACTGGACTTTTGCAAAACCTTCGGGGTACTGAGGGAGCAAATTTTGACATTTGTCAGGCTCTCTCAATAGAAGAGGTTTTGTTCTATGGCTTCCGGAGCTGGTACCCCCTGAATACCTTGGCTTCGGTGGCCATATTTTTATTTCCATTGTTTTTTTTTCTTTATTGCTTTAATTCCTCTTTCTTTTGAAAACACCGCTGCTTTGCGCGTTTTTTGCAAAGAAAGTTCAGTTATTATAGAATTAAATATTTTGTATTCTTTTACCAGCAATAGAAGTTTTAGAAATCACTTCTTTTGACCTTAGATTTGTTCTTCAAACAATGGTAGAAATTTCCAAACACATTAAAATGTATTTTTATTAACTCAAAATACTGAGTTAAAAGCAATATTACCTAAAGGGATATACACACTTTGATTATCCATAAAATGCAATAAATGCATCTAGACTGCAATATAGAAAATATACTTCAGTTTAAAAAGCTAATTTTTTGATTTAATAATTTTGATTAAAAATTCTAAAACTAATTTTGTTTAATGATAGATACTTTAAAATCTTGAAAATTTTAAATTAAAGATGTCATAAGACTTAAATGTTTGAAGATAGAATGTTACCTCATAACATATACTTTCCAAAGTAGTCATCCAACTTGAAGCTAAATGGCAATTCTGTAACACTACCCAAGATCCATCTTGAAGTGCTTTGTCAATCATAGTTTTAGCGATGGGGCCCTATGAAGTTGTTCAAAATTTTAATCTAATATAAGATAAATAGTAAGTTGCAATTCCTGTTAAATTTTACATTAACACTAGGTTTAAGGGCGTTTCTTATACTACCTATCTCTACGGACACACGTCAATTTGACGTATGAAAGAATTGTGATTCTTAATTTAATAAATTCAATTAAGTATATTTTTATCCACCACTATTTCTAAATAATTCGTAGGCCTATATAATTCACCACTTCATATTTCAAAATTTACTTTGTTGTTATTTACCATTTTTTAAAATTATTTTCGCGTGTCCGGAGCAGTTGGCATCTCTGCACTTAGAAACCAATGTATACATATACTATAAGAAAAAAAATGAAGATATATATTGATGAAATATTCTAGTATTTTATGTTTCAATACTCGAACTAAGCAACTGAAACCTTCAAAATCTGACACTCTGACATCAATTGACATTCTGCGTTTGTTCTTTCTATTTTTGCTTATCGGCAACAGTTGTTTATCACTTGTTTTATTTGAGATAACGAATCGAAGTATTGTCGGTACATTCCTATTTATTATTGATGTTATAATTGCTTGTTTACTTAAACTTTTGTCTAAATTATGACCGCGTCAAATTGACGCATATCCGTAGAAATAGGTATACCACATAGAGAATTTCAATATTTCAACGCTTTTGAGGTAAATAGTATTTAATATATATTTACTTCGATCAATGGTTAAAAGTCATTACAAGAGATAAAATAAAAATTCAAACGGGTTTTATAATTTTCCTTACAAAAGTCGAAATCCGCCAAAATGACGTGTTCCGTAAACCTAGTGTTAAATTATCAATAAATAATAGCATTATTAAGCATAGGATAAAGGTAATAATAATTATTTAAAAATAAAGGACGAACAAAAATCAAATATGAAAAAGATCTTCAAAACAAAAATATTTATTGACACTAAATACAATATACCTAACTCCGATATACCTAAATCCCATAAACAATTTAAAATGGTCAAAATAACATTTTATATGTTAAATTAAATACATTTGTTAAACACTTAATATATGTTTTGATTTTTTTATGATGATCAGAAAATCCCACATTAACACATATAGTATATTTTTAAATAAAATAAAATAAACCTTAAAATATATAAATTTTACAAGTTTATTGACTGTAAATCATCAATTTGTTTAATATATATTAAATTCACAATGAAATAATATTTACAGTTGAACACAAATATGAATTAGCAGCTAGTAGAAGTAAATAACTTCTTTCAATCATTAATTGAATAATTTTGTGCACCAAATATTTGGATTTTAACAATATGTTAAGCAATTAAATTGAGTTATTAGATAAAAAAAAAATTATTTACTTGTCCTTGGCCCAAAGAAATGCTTTGAATTCTGTTGGCTTTTAAACCTATGTCTGATCCAAATTTTAAAAGTGCAGCCATAGGATCAGCTCCAGGTGACAAAATGAATATGAGCGGAGTACAACAATTGGAATCAGCATATGAACTAGCCAAATCAAAAGTAGGAGGTTCAATATAGGCTTGCCCAATATTATCTCGAACAAAATTCTAAAAGAAGAACAACATATTATAAATTATTGTAAATACCAAAAATCTACTTTAGGAATAGAAAAAAAAAACAATACCTGAACAGCTGGAATTAATTTGTCAGGCCTCAAACACCTCAAAACAACCATTTTGTAGAGACCTGACAAATCACTGAAAGGATCTGGATATAGAATTTCATGAGGTTTAAGGGAATCATAAACTTTTTTCCATTCCAAAATGTCTCTTTGCATACCTTATAAAAATGAAAATAGATTAACAAAAATCTTAAAATGAGCAATTGCACATGCATGAGATGAGAACCAACCCTATGCACATGAAAGAAAAAAAGCCTTAATAACTAATGATACAATATTGATTTCAGACCTCAAAAAGCTTTGATCTCAAAATCACACTCATTCAATCAACTTTCATTTCAAAATCTCAAAAGTATTATGAAAGAAAAAATTATTGTTTATAAGAAGTTCAGTAATGAGACCTGTTGAAATTTTAACTTTTTAGTTATTATTTTTTCCATTTTAAGCCATATTTCTAAGATAAGCAAAAACTTTTGCACAGAGATAATTGTAAAATTTAATTGTATTTATTATTTTGCTTATTAGTGATAGAAATATACTTGAATTATAGAGCATAAAAGTTTTTGCATTTGATATCTGCTGCACATACCCAAATTAAAAAAAGGACTTATTAATATACTCTCTAACTAATTTTATATAAATTTTGGCCCGAAAAATTATTTTATACATTATTATTAATTATTACATTTTATAACTACTTTTATAAAATGTAACATATCTTTTATCATATTATTCAAATGTTTATAGTAAATAATAGAATAAATTATAAGTTTTAGCAAGATAATTCTAGTTACACAGATAGTTAAATGGCAAGATAAATAGATATTTGAAACTTGGTGATGTAAACTTTCTAAGCCTCAAAATTACCCTTTATATTCTACAATAATAATAACCAGTTTAATAATTATGAGTTGAAACAATCAAATTGATAAATTAAGCCATTGTTGTGGAAAACCAGGGACCCCTGTGAGGGTTTTCAAACCACTAAACTCAGCAGGCACGTAAAGCTCACCTAATATTCTTCTTCGTACTATTGGTTTGAAATTACCTTAATGATACTTTTGCATGATAACTGCTTGTTGCAGGGGTACTTCACTTTTTTCTCTAAATATTTGTTCACATAATAGAGAGATTTGTGTAACAAAAGGCAACAAGTTAAAAAAAAAAGGCCAATGAAAGTTAAACATATTTTATGTATGCATAAAGAAAGATATGTTAAAAAAAAATTAACAGAACACATACACTGTTTACTTACTTTCCATTAAGCCATTTAAATTAGGCAAATCAGATGCCCGAACTATCTCAGACCAAGAACGGTCAGTCAGCCAGTCAGGAGCAGGATTAGGATGCGGATTATCGAATGCAACACCTCCAGTTAATAAAAACCTCCAAATCTCTTCATTAATGGCATTTCTAAAATGTTCATAAAAAATAAAGAACTAAAATCACTTTTTGTGATGAATTGCAGAAAGAGAAAATTATTTGCTATAACCAGATAAAACTACTAAACTTGAAATTTAACTTAACTAGTGGTTATAATAAAATATAAATTGAGTAGGAATTTACCTGCCACGTAAGATACCAACACAGAGAAGAAAAGAAAAGAGTAATTTATCCTTTTCAAAGAGAGATCTGCACACATTTCTGTAAATACTTGCAGTAAAATGTTCATTAAGGTTAGTAATACGTCTAGGTACATCTGTAGATTTAGCACTGTTATCTATAGACTAAGAGAAATGGAAAGGAGAAGTAAAGAGATTTAGTACTGTTATCTACAGACTAAGAGAAATAGAAAGGAGAAGTAAAGAGATTTAGCATTGTTATCTATAGACTAAGAGAAATAGAAAGGAAAAGTAAAGAGAGGAAGTGAATTTACACAGTTTAATTTACATGCCTTCATCATTTTACTAAGTGGAAAGTTTACTTATATTGTGCTAAATGAACTATCCAAAGATTACAAAAATAAAAGTTTAAAAAATATTTTAGTTTCTGAAAAGACTGTATAAAATATTTAATCCTATTTTTAATATCTTCATAACGAAAAGCTATTGTAGTTGTATACAAAAGATTTACGACCAGGAGTTAATTTTCAAAATTTTAACACACACTATTTTAAAACTCTCACACATTTATGGAAATTGGGGGTGTTCTATTAATATAAATTAACATCTTCATCTTGCTTAATATGAGTTGTTTCATGAATTAAACTGTACACAGTGTAGCTGGCTGGTAATTATGGTAATGGATAAAATACCTTTAGTCATAGTTTCAAAAAAGACTGAAATAATGGTCCTGCAAAAAGTTGGCCTGTCTAAACATAAAATAGAAAAAAAGGATACATATAAGCAATTACAATTTTGCTCATCAAACTAAGTAAATTTTATATTTCTGGAAGGACCAGAAGAAAAGTGATCGCATGCAAGAAACAATTCTTGCATGCGTAATCATGTTAAAAGAAAAATGGTTGCATGATTTTAAAAAACTTCCAGCAAAATTAAGCATATTCCAGCTGAAAAGGGTATTGATGGCAGTAAGCGTATTATTTCAAGAAGTTAGACCAAAAATTTATTGAAAAGGATGGATAGTCTTAAACTTTTGTACACATTTGTAGAACTAAAATAAGAATCAATCAAATATATCATAATCACTGATGATAACAAATGATTATGATGTAACTTATTGATATACATCAGATAATTCCTATTTTCCTATTACTTTTTGTATGTGTTAAAATGATGATGCTAATTTCTCAAGATACTATAAATAACTCCTTTCAAAAAAGAAATATGACATTGTAGTTTGGTATACTGTACATACCCTCCAAAAAACTATGGAATTTCCGTGGTTTTAGAAAATATGTTTCCTAGTAGTAACTACGATATTACAATGATGTTTTCAGAAATTAAAACTTTAAATTAGAGAGTTAAAATAATTTCAGTAACCAGTACGTACAAATTATTTAAACAGTTAGATGGAAGGTCAGATGTACCTACGCTGGTATTAAGAAGCTCTGATAAACATTAAAAAAAATTCTATTTAATTAAAATATTTTACTTGTAGTTGGTTACCACAACAAAAAAATATTTTGCGAAAACCTCTAATGTTGGAGGGTATAAATACAACACATAAAGAACACTATAAATTAATTTTAAATAATTTTCTTGACTATATATAAAGAACATATGGAACGTGTACCTGATGATATAGTGAAATAAACCATGATAGTGAATATTGGTACATGGGATCAATATTACTCAAGCTAGAAATGCAGAAGAACAATATTGAAGAATGTATAGCTACTGGTTGATACCCGTTCCTTACAAAATCAATCTCTTCTTTGGTCTTTTCTGATACAATCTGGCAAAAGAAACTACTATAAGCTAAAATTATCCAATAAAAAAATTCATATTTGAGAAATTATTTTCTTATTTTTACCTCTTTAGCAGATATCTCTTCTGATAAAATTTTAGATGATGTTAAAATTTGACAGCCTGTTTCATCCTCTAGAATATTACCCTGTAAAAAAAATTCATATACAAATAAAAATGAAACACCCCTCATAATTTATAACTACTTATTTCACACTTGTAAGGTATTGTATGTCTGATTGTAGGGTATTATAATAATCAATTCTATGCAATTTCTATATAAATGATTGAACAAAGCTAGGAGAATAGCTAATTAGCTGTTTGATATAAAAATGGGTAAAAGGTGCAAATCACTGAGTTGAGATTTCCAGTTTGAAACAAAATGATTGGCATTAATTAAAAAAGTAATTTTTAATTTTGTCATGAAAAAATCAATTTTTGTAAAAGACCCTTTGAATCTATGATATTTTTATCAATGAAAATGAACATTATTCAGCTCAGACAATGAATTGAGAATCCATAGTAGTAAGATACACTAAGACTGCTGCAGTATGGATCACTTATCAAGAAAAACTTAAATGTAACACATAAAAAGTCAATTATACAAATGGGTCCTTGCCATTTTCATCATAGTTTTCAATGATAATTTCTTTTAAATTCGGAAATCAATAACTGAAAATTGATTTGCACAATGGTACTTAGGATGATTATAGTTGAATCCTTGACATCAGTCGTAATGTCCACAAAAAAAAAGATTTTAAAACAGAAAAAATTTCTGCAGAAAAACTAATACATTCTCTACTCAAATTACATATCAAATAGTTAATATTTTGCCTATATGAAATTTTTTTATCAGAACCAAATTATTTTGTTTGTAACTAAAGTTAAATTGTCTCGCTTAAAAAGAAATTTATGGTTGCTTCTCTTTGCTTAAATGCATAAGAAAGGAAAAAATTAGCATATATTTTACTTTTTAAGAAAAGCATCATCAGCTAGAACGAAATTTTCATTTTTCAGTAAAAAAAATGAGAATATAATTAATTCATGGCTATTTCAATAAGGACTTCCCATCTACTTTTGTTTAGTGTAGTAAAGAAATTAATGAAATTTTGTTAGCAGTTATATAGTAGACAAAGTTTTTTTTTAAAACCTTTTTTAAACACTTTATTCACACATCCTTTAGAACGTGGGAAGGTAAGAAGTAGAGAAAATAGTCTTGAATCACTGATATCTTCAAAAGGAAATTAATAGCATTATAGTATGTATATTATACTTTTAATATTAATTTATTTTTACATAAATTTAAATATCATTTATATTTTATGATACTTAACTAACAGCTCTTAATATAATTGTTGGTCATTAGAATGAGTTTATTCCCTCAAACCATTATGTATTACATGCCATTTCAAAATAAAATTTCCTAAAAATGTATCACTTAAAATTCACCAGTACACTACATTTCTATTTAAATAACCTGCTTATTTAAATACAATTGGCTATAATCAATAATATTCCTTAAGTAGGCCAGACTGTAATAACACAGGTAAATTGTTTTGACAGATTCATATTATTTCATTGATCAGAACAATTTTTAATATTTAACATAATACTGATGCATTCAAACCCAGCAGTTATTAAGTCTGCATCTTTCAGTTTATAATAATTGAGTAATAATTTAAATAAAAAATTTAAATAAGCATTATGAGTTATTTCAGTAAGTTTTAAAACTATAAAAACAATTTTTATTTACAATTTATTTAGGAGCTTTCAAAAGAACACTCTACACTGTTTAAGGAAAATTCTTTTTCAGATAAATAAGTTCTTTCCTCAGCAATCATGGGGTAAAAAATTGGAGTTCATGAAGATAATTGAAGAATTTTATAATACTTCTTGCATTTCCCTATCAAAAAGATATTTATACTTGATAAAATTTTATTTGAGCAATGAAAATTCTTCAATTACTAGAAACATTTGATATGGATCATGTCGAATGTTTATCTACCTATTCTGAAACCTGTTATGGCTTGAAAGAGCTTTTGATGACTAAATAACATACTTAAACGAAGATTTTTCTCTTTAAAACAACTCAGAATATTTACATATTTCTCTAGAAATTTAGAAATATTATAAAAGTAATAGACTTTCTAGAGGGGGAATAAATGAGCAGATAGACTTATTAATCTTTGATTTATTACAGTTAATCTCAGTTACTTAACAGATTAATTAACATTTGTATAGGAATAAACCTTTTAGTTAAAAAAATGTGTGAGGTCTTCTATTAAGATTTATATTATTTTAAGTTGAGTTAAAAATTCAGCCTTTTAAGCTAAAATTAAACATTCACAATCATGTATTTTTTGTGATAAAATAAAGAATCAAAGATAATACCAGTTATACAGGTAGCTACTTGTTACAAATATCCATTACAAATTCATTACAGATGTCATTTTCATTACAAATGTCCTCAATGAATTTGGTTAAATTTTAAAATCAATATAGTTAAAAATAGGCATTGATTATAACCAAATCAGAAAATCATTAAGGTACCTAACTAGAGCAAAAACATGATTTTAGGATAAATTTTCAAACTTAAGTTCACTTTAAATTTAAAATCCCTGTTTTCTTATCTTTCTAAAGATACTTTACTTTTGTTTGTACTCAATTATTTACAAAGTTATAGCAGTTTTTGTGCAAAGTGCTAACAGTAGGTAGATAAGGGTTTTAAGACTTAAAATGCGTTTATCTCAAAATCAGATTTTTTTTACCACCTAAAACACTATATCTCATGTAGTCTTTTTAAATAATTGTAAAACATTTTTCCTGAGGATTTATAATTATAGCACACATGTTTTGAACTATAAGCTAAGATAAAAAAAGTATAATTTTATTTCTTATGCATGTTATTTTGCAAAGACCAGTACAGAAATTTTAAAAAATTTGCTTTTTTAACTACATTACTCATTACCTCAGTAGTATATGCACTTTGTTTTTAAGCTAAGAGTTAAAAAAATAGTTGATGACCTTCTATATAAATTCCTCAAAGGATTTTTTGTTCAGGTGCTAGACAATATTTAGTGCATATGCAAAAAAAAAAAAAAAAAGAAAGGAAAAAATGGCAGGCCGGGNAAAAAAAAAAAAAAAGTAAGGATTTATGGCCACAAAACTATTTTTTGAAAATTTTATATTGATATTTTTTTTAAAAAAAAGTTCGCGAAACTAGTCGGACACCTTAAGAAAAATAACATGATTTCTGATTTATCAAAGAAAGAAATGAGTTAAAAGATGCTTAATAAAACAATTCATATAAATGTATGAATTACAAACCTCTGATGATGAAAGGACTTCCAGTATTCTGTCTTCAATTTCTTTAAGTTGACGTTTATTATCAGCACTTTCTAGAATTAATTTATTTTTATTTTCCTCTAGCTGTGGATCTTCTTTTGCTGCTACTATTCCTAAAAGTTGATCCTGAAGACCAAGAGGTGTGATCATGAAATTGATAAGAGTTACCTAAAAATAAAACCTAAATTTTTAAAAACATTTTAGTAATATAAGAATAACATGTAAAACCATAAGCAATTCTTAAAATATATTGGGTAATTAGAAAGACAATAAAGCTATAAAGTAGTTTAGTAGTAAATGCATTAGATATTTTTGTAACTAAGTTACAAATTTTGATGAATTACTAAACAAGAAGTTGGTTATTTTTATTAGATAAAAATTGGTAAAATAATATACAAGAATAACATAGAGGAGAATACAGCAGTGCAAAAGAAAAATTAATGTAAGCAACAAAATTTTCAAAGTCATAGATATTTATATATCTGGCATCTTCGTATAAAAAGCTATGTATTGCAAAAAACTAAAGAAAAAATTGGTTTTGATTTATGAGTTTTTTGAAATTCTATTTTAGCTTTTATAACATTAGCAATGGAAAGTAAATAGTTGTCAAAGCACTTTTCTTGAAATCAATCATTAAGCATTTACATTGTTTTTTTCAATTGCACACCAGAATAATAATCTTACTTTTACTGATATTTCTGGTAAATAGTGAGGGTTTTGCAATCTGGTGGTGACATAAAATCTGAAATCTTTTGAATAAGGAACAATGTTATCTCCTACTTTAATCATCTAAAAATAAAAATAATAATAATTGAAATTTTCAAATAAACACTTTAACGATCTAAAAATCTAAATAACAACTATTATAAGTAACAAATGTAATTCTTGTTGCAAAAGGAACAGTTTCACTGATTTAAAAATATCATGCTATGTAGAAAAGAGTAATTATACACATTTCACTAACATTTCTGGAATAAAGAAATATGTTAAATTTACGGGTAAATTATTAACATGTTCTCTATTTTATGCACTGTATACAATTGACTGACTATCTTTTGACTAAATATAATATTCATAACACCTCCCTAAAAACGAAACTCTCTCTAATCATGTAAAATGAAAATTAGAATAAGTCATACAATATACTTAATATATGCAAACATAGCAAAATGTAATAAAAATTTATTGGAAGTTACTTTGAATCAATAAAATTTTATTTCTCAGTTAATTATTATATGTAACCTAATAAAGTGGATAAGATCTATAAATTATTAATTGATAGTTTCTCACTAAATGAATGCTTTTTATAAATATTAAAATTTTAATTTCTTTTTGCCATTTGCATGAGATGTCATATCCGGATTACTCTTAACAAGTAAAATAAAAAACTATATAAGTATACTAGGAATGATAGTATGCATATAAATTACCTCCATTCCACCTTCCTTAAAAACAGCTTTTGTCAATATAGGCTCTAGCACAGGATCAATAGTTTCTGCTATATTTTCTAATAAAACAGGGTGCCCAAATTGTAAAGCAGACTCTAACACTCGAATGTAATTGGTGTCACTTAATTTGATGACTTTTAAGTTGCTTTCTTTTTCCATATTTTTAATCCATTTGCTTGCTTGACCTGAATCAACATAAAAAATAAAGAACATTTTTATTACTATTAAAAAATTACAAATATACCTTTTAGAAACATGTTTACCAACTGGCTGCCTGCAGGCCACATCCGGCCCATGAAGCTTTTTTTGTGGCCTACGAACTAAAATATATTAGTTGTCATTTTTTTCGGACAATTTTTATAAAAATCTATATGGGTTTAAAGTACTTTTCTTTCGTTAAAAAAACCTAATTTCCTTGTTTCTGTGAAATTTAACATACCAACGGTGTAAAAAAAATATTTCTCATTTAAAAATCTACATCTTATTTCAATTTGTAATTGAATTCTTTTGTTTTGTGCAACTTGATAAAAATCTGACAGTAATATTTAATGTTCTTTCAAACATAAAAAGAGTCCTAGATAAAATTTTGATACAATTGCAGCCCCCCATTTGACTGGCTTTTTTATTTGCGGACCCCGGCCTCATGTAAGTTGGAAACCCCTGTTTTAGAATAAGCTGGACATCTATATGTGAATTTTTGAATTAAATATACATACATTGGTGATTGTGAGCCCAACTCAAAAATCCTGAAAATTTCTTCAGTAAAATTATTAATGACACATTTCAAAAAATCAATATCTTTATAATTTTAAATCATTGATATTTTCACAAAATGAAATTTCAAATAAATTATATGCAGCATAATTACAATTAACAATTATGTATAAGTTGATTTTCATCTCTAATCACATTTATTATTCAACCAGAAAAAATATTTACAAATGAAAGAAATACCAAGTATAAATTCTAGTTCCAATATTTTTAAATAAAATATACAAGAATTTTTAGACATAATATGATCGATGATTTCTTGAAATTTTTGGACCTTGGATTTCCGGAAATTTCCAGATCGCAGTTAGTAAAAAATTCGAAATTTTTCTAAAGCACAAGCATCTCTGTACATAGATAAAAAATTTTACTGAGGATTAAATCCTGTTATAGAAGTCTAATTTTGTTGAAGAAGTTTCTCTAATCTTTGAAAATTATCATAAATTTGGAGATCTCTTTAGATATGTTGTGCAGATTAGTCACAGTCTAAAATAATTTATTTCCTGGACTAATATAAGCAATTTAAGTTTGAAAACAAAGGAAACTTAATTGAGATACATGCTTTTTATTTAAATCTTGATAATAAAATATACCTAAACAAGAAAATACTTTCTTTTATCTTTATACCTTGAGGATCAATGAGTAGAGGCCATCTTTGCCCAGATTTAACAATGATGCTGTTTTCTACTGAAAAATTGTCCACAGGAAGACCAGCAATCTGCCAAGCTCTTATCAGGACAGGATCACCAAGTGTCTCAACAGCAGAAAAAGATCCAGAGCATGGTACACTGTAATCTTTACACAATTCTAACCAAGAAGAGATGCATTCCTATTAATGAAAAATAAAGAATTTACATTAGACTGATTGTGGGGATATTTAGTTTTCGACAATGTAAACCTTCATTTATGAAAAGGTACCCCAGCATAGAATCGAGTTAACAAGTCTTACATATTAGAGATTCAGAATTGTATTTTTGTAGTGGTAGACACACTACAGTACTCCCCCACCAGAATTTTATCTGTGATAGAATTTGATGAACGGATACCACTAGTTGATACATTGCTGTTTTTAGAGTAGCCAGAAGAGGTGCATTAAGATCACAAGATCATGATCGCCCCTGAGTTGCCATTAGCAGTCGATCGAGACTGAGTAGCAACAATGCTGGTGGATAATGTTGCAGTCACAAGTAGTAAGTCAATTGTTCAATAGGGACCATCCATCAATGTAGGCGTGTTCAAATCAAAGTGGGAGTTTCCGTCAAGGTAGGCGTGTTCACGTCCGAAGGTCACTAAAGTTGGAGGTGGCAGCTATCAACAATGTCAACCTTCATCTATGAAAAGGTACCCCAGCATAGAATCGAGTTAACATGTTTTATATACTTGAAAAATCAGAGCTAAGTTCTTTAACAATCTCGTTAAAAATAAGTTACTTCTTTTAAATATTGTATATTTTATTGATGCATTTTTAACTAATTTAAACTTGTTCAATAATTGAAAATGATTTTAAATTCATAGTTACTCTCTTTTATTGTCACTGAGGATAAATATTCTTAGTGGTAGTAATATTTAATCTATATTCTCTCTCTTTTTTCTTAGAGCTTTAATGCCTAAACAACTCAGACTAATCAATAATTCAAACATATATCTAAAAGACTCATTATTTTGGCAATTATGCTTTTAAAATTCTGTAAAATCACTTGCTTTTTAGAAAATTCCTTAGATTTTAATAATAATTTTATGACCATTTTGTAAAATTTTTTCAAGAATTGTACAAGTTGGCAGCTATTTAAATTTAAACATAAACAGCGAAGTAAAAGCTAGTGCACAGAAGTATTTATGTTTGATTATTTATGTTTGAGTATTTATGTTGAAGTATTATGCATGATTTTACTTTTTAAATAATTAAAGTTAAAAAATGACACAAGAAAAATGTTTCCACTTTGATGATTAAGATTTTTCCTCAAAACACAAAAATAAATAAACACAGAAGATTTTAATAAAGACAGTTTAATTTAAAAACGGTTAAATTTAAAGACAGTTAAATTCAAAGACATTTACTAATTTTAAAGCAAGAATTAATAAATGTAAATTATTAACACCAAACAAAATAAACAGAATTGAAAAAGTGGGAGAAAAATTAAAGGCCTGATTCTGTCAACGTCATTCTGTGAACTGAAGAGTTCACAGGGTGGTTATAACAGTTTTGGTTGAAGTTAAAATTTATATGTTAATTGCAAAAGAATATTTAGAAATCCACAATTGGTTTCTTTACTCCATAAACATGTTTTTATTTATTTTTTCAGCCTTTCCGATAATAAAACATGCAAGTTCTCACTTGTCTAAAATCAACTGTGAAAGCCCCCAAGTAAGCAATAACTCCAGATGATAAGAGAACATCGCCAACAATATTGTTGAAAGCAAGTTGCAAATTTTCAGCAGCTGCATTCCATCTATCTTTTTCTCCACCAAGTCCCTCAATCATCTTAGTAGCCCTCTCTTTTTTTTGTTCACACAGTTCCAAATTCTCTTCCAAATCCTTCTTCTCTTTCGTTTTGCTGGTGAAGGTGTCATTAAGCTCTTGTAATTTGTCAGTTACCTAAAATTCAAATGAAACAATTCACTGATGACAATAAGATTAAAAGATACAACAAGATTAAACACTTTTAACAATAAGATTAAAAGAGGAAAATTTAGGATACTAAAATTTGTTACAATTAAAAAAATAATGTTAAATTAATTACAAATGAAAATTACATTCATTAAAACCTTTATTACCACGAATTATAAGAACTAAATTTATTTATTGAAAACTTTAAATAACTGAGACTTATAAGTACCATCAACCAGAAGGCAGAAAAAATTCAGAGTCCCAGCACACAGGTTTTTTTAATTGGAATTTCTCCCAGATTATTAAAAAAAATTTAGTAATAATAATTTTTCAAAATATTTTAAATTAGTAAAATGTGTATCTTATTAAAATTTTTCGAAAATAACTTTTTAATTTATTAAATAGAAAACAAATTGATTTTACATGATTCTTGAATAAACTAACATAAGATTTAAAAATAACAGAAATCAAAACGCACATCCATTATTGAAATAGTAGTATATTGTAAAACTAAATTTAAGGTCCCACACATAAACTTAAGGAATTTAAACTGACATATAAAGTCATTTGTGTTATATTTAGCATAACAGAAATATTCCTTTTCATTTTAGACAGTAAAAGTGATCTGGCATAAAGAATTGAAAATTTTGTAGCATAGTATTTTTTTTTAAAATCAAAAATTTCCACAAGGATGCCTGCATTTTCACAAATATTGCTTTTGCCGTCGAGCTTATTCTGCACACCTGCCATCAACTTTCACAAACTAGAAGACTTAAAGTACAATTTGATGTTATAATTTGAAGTTGCATCCCAAAATGTTTCAGCAACATTAGTGACAAGAAATTATAATAATCTGACAATTTGAAGCANTTTAGATAAAATTTTGGCTCAAGACTTGTTTTTTTTAGAAAAATAAATAATTTGTTTAAAATTTCAAACAATAGATATGATGAATATTATTTAATTAATTCAAACTGCAATTAAATTAAATAAAGTAATAATGGAAAACTGACCCATGGGAGCATAGTGGTTAGAGAATGGACTCAGGGGATCAGGTCAAGTTTGATTCTCAACTCTTTTAAGAAACACCGAGTACATGCAATATATGTTCTCATAAAATCTGAGGATTTGAAAGTCCAATTGTTGGTCCCTGAGTAATGCCATGGGTACAAGGATCTGGAGAAAATTTCCTTCCCCTTCAGATCAATGTCTGAACTGAAAAATTGATCTCACGAATGGGTAGTGCTGCCATCTATCTGAGGGATTCTGAGTAAAGATATACTTTCACCCTTGCAGTACTTTCACATTGTCAAACGAAAGGGACATCTTACTGACTTTATTCACAGAAGACCAATGGCTGGCAAGTTTGACTTGTTCAAGCGTCATTGGAAACAACAACAGCATAATGAAAAACTTGGATTATCAGACTTTTTCCATGAAATGATTTTGTTGATATAATTGAAGAATAGAAACTGATGGAAAACCTATAGAGCATTTTGAAAAACGTCTTACAACAACATCCACAAAAAATACAGCAGCAAAATGAATAAGAGAAATATCACAAACAAAGTGAAGAAAGGACAAAAACTGAATAAAAAACAACAAAATTAGAGAAAAAGAGAAGGGAATGGGAAAATAAGAAGACAGCCTTAAAAAATGTCAGCCTTTAATCAATAATAATGTTCAACAAAATTTGCAACAAAAAAAGAGAAAAGAAACTAAATTTAGAATTAATTAAAGTTAAATTTGAAAATAATCTAAGCATATTGAAATTTGACAGATTTGAACATAGATTTCAATAATGGTTAGCAACTGAAGATTTAAGCATTTATTGATCTGAATTTTACCTAGAATATTTAGTAACTTTTTCTATGACTCATTTAGTTAACCAAATAAATTACTACAATCATTGATGGGGATATAATAGATGCCACATTTTCAAATATCTACAACATTCCTCCCCACTATGTTAAGAATAAGTTTAGCTTCTCTATAATAAAATATCTTGTTACCAATGCTATAATAAAAAATAAACAATAAATATTATTTCAAGTTTAATTTTTAAAAAAATTATCTGAGAATAATGGTATTAAAAAATTACAAATTAGGATTCAAATACATTTAACAATGCATTATTATGTGTACACTTCTCTTTTATTTATTTATTTGGGAATTCAATTCGAGCTATACTTAAACACTAATTGCAGAAGCAAAATTAATAAGAGATGTATTCATAGTAGATGTTTGCACTTATGCAAATTGCACTTATCAAATTCAAATATTCCATTTTATTTAAAAAGGATTTTTACTTTTGTCTTATTTTTTGAATCACAGGTTCTGGTATATTGTCTTTGTCATAGGCTTTTAAGGCATCTAAGAATTTCAAATCACCCAACATTTTCTGAGATGGACCCCAGTAATCTTCTATCATTTTCCCTGAACCACTAGGATCTGGTTTCCTTTCTGGTTTAACTCCCCTCATTATGCAGATTGCTTCCATTACCAATTTTACTCCTTTTGGAGGATTCTGCAATAAAATATTACAATAAACAATATAATAATGCGCCTTTGAAAATTAAATCACACAACTAATATCATACAATAAAATTATTAATTTGTCAAAATGATTACCTAATAAAACTGTTTTGTGCCTTTTTTTTATAACACACTGAATAAACTACAAATTTAATTGAAACTAATTTTGAATATTTAAGTTCTAATATACCCATGAAAATTTTTATTTAATAATAGAAGGAGTGAAATATTAATAAATCATCTATTCAAGAATAGTAAAAACTTTTAACACAAAATTATTTTTAACTAGGTATCGCCTAAAAAACTGGATAATTTGAAAAATCAATTAAGGAAAAACGAAAGGAAGTAAAAATGCTTGGTTGATTGCTTTCTTAAGAAACTAGAAGATTTTCTTCTCACAAACTTTAATATTAGTCGCCTTCAGCAGATGATGCATTAGCTATTAAGTTCCTTTACAGATTGCGCAATTTACTAAAAAAAACTATTTAACATAGTTTTCAGTATAACCACCATTTTTAGTGAGTCATGGTGGCCACAAACTAACTTCTTGCTGATATTTTGACTGATCTTATTGAATTTCTTTGAATTTTATAATCAATGGTACACATTTTATTATTTATTTTTCAGTTATGGCTTGTTCTTACATTTCAAATATACTACAAAACACTTATACTTGCTATTAGAATTGCAATAATTTATATATTTTTAAATAAACTATTGAACCTAAATGCATCTCAAACTCACATTAATTAATTTTCTCTGACTTTTTTGGGCACTTAAATAAAATTCCCTAACATTCCCTGATTTTACCAGATTAATAAAATTTCCTGATTTTTCCCAGTTTTGTGACAATACTACACCATTTTTGAGGACAAAATTGACAGACAGACGTGCAAATATTTTAGTTGAAATTTTGGATATGCAGCAGAAAGCACTGTTTTGAAACCAGTAGTGCTTTCTGTTGATAAACTTTGTAACTAATTTTCAAATTTGATGAGAATAGTTAATCTCCTCTTCTAAGCAAAATACAGCAAATAGTACATTTCTATATCATTATGTTTTCCTTTATATATTTCAAATTGTCAGTCATCATATCGGACACCTGGTATCAAATAAGATGCAAAAATTTAAGTTATAAAAAACTTATGTGGATACAAAGCAAATAATCTGCCAGCAGCCAATGGAAGTCCACTTAATTAAAAAAAATCTTTTTAATTAGAAAGAAAAATTTAATTTATTAGAAAATTTGATTGATCTTTTCTTACCTTCATAGCTTTTACAAGAGTAATGTCATTTGGTTTTAATGTATCCAAAGCAGCAACAGCAGCTTCCATTGCTGGAATAGCTTCAGCTAAATCTCGTTCACAGTCATCTTTTATTGCCTGAGCCTGGGCAGCTTTTCTGTTTGCAACCGCTTCTTCTGCTGCAACTAACTATACACAATATTTCATTTGGTGCAAGAACAAAACACAACAGGATACTCATTTTCATTCTAATAAAGTGCAATAATTATGTATCATTTATTTTTTCCACAAATCACTAAGGGCCTTCAAAATGTAATAGACCATTTGAAATATCCATTACGGAAAAACTGCAGGAGCTAGTTAGAAAGTTTATTCATAAAGAGTGCTTCGAAATGAAATAAATTCTACTTTTCATGATTGATGATTTAAAAAAAAAGAGAAATAGTTAGATAGTTTTTTCAATTGGGAGCACCAACAATTGATGAACTTTGAAACAAAACTAGCTCTTTCAAATTTTTCTCAATCAGTTTTTAAATAATCATTATTTTTTGGGACTCACAATATGCATGACACATCAAACTGAAGTAATTATTTTTAAATTGATCACTTTATAATTATTCATTATTTAGATTATTCCTTTTTTTAAAAAAAAAAAAAAAAGATTCGAAAGTACACTTTTTCTTTCTTTCTTTCTTTTGTAATTAACTTGAAAACCCTAATGCTCTTATCTTAATTTCTTTCTTTATTAATCCCAGTTATGGAAGAATTTTGCAATACTGCACAAGATCTAAAAATGCATGAATCTAATGATCGATATGTGATGCAAAAAATTCATGCTTCAAAATATCCATCTAAGAAATATTTTAGATTTCTTTTGTATGACATATCGAAGTTTAACCTTCTAATAAATTAGTACTAGTATTTCTAATCTTTCTAGGCTTCCAAACATAAAATCTGGCTTTCTTCAATTGGAAAGTAGTGGGTAAGGGGAAATTTCAGTACAATTTTTACCAAGATTCTAATAAGCCCATCTAGGGTTATGAAACGCATTTTTTTTAAAACTGTTTAAAACCATATTGCTTTAACTAGGAAAGCTTACCTCTTTTTGGGATTCAACATCTACTGTTTCAGATTCAATCACTACCATAAGATTTTCAATTTCTTCAGCTTTCTTAATCAACTCAGGTTGAAGGGCAGTAATTTGATCTTGCATAACTGCAATTTGAGAAGCTGCAAAGTCCAATTTTTCTAAACCAACCTAAAAATGAATTTTTGTTTGAGCACTGCATTTCTAGTAGCACATAATAATAATATTAGTAAAAACATGTTTTCCTAAATTGAAATATTTATTTTCTAAAGGCTACAAATTTGGCTAAAGAAATTTTGAAGAATAATAAATTAAAGAGAAAAAGCTTCTAATTATGTCTAAAAGTTTATTTTTAATCTCATATTGAGTTATAACAATCAAAAGCTTTAATTTCAAAAATTACAAAATCAGGGCAAAAAAATTTTATGAATGAATTTTTAATACAACTCTTGAAAATTTACTTCATGATTTTCAAAGCTGACATTTAAGTTAAATTTTTTTCATATTTTAAAAAACTATGTCAGCAAAGTAAATAAATAGAAATCAAAGGAAAGAAGCTAAAAGAAAAGTTTATAAAAAGCTGTTCTAATCTATGAAGATTTTAGTAAGATCAACCAATTCTGAATTTCACACTACTAAAGAACAGAAAGTCAATTTTCCTCATTGTTGTATTAATAATAAAATCTATAATGAACAAAAATTAACTAGGATATGCATAAATAAAAATAGTTTTCATAATTTTTTATAAGAATATAATAATATTTTTTTCTAATAGAACAGTTAAAAAAAAAGTTTTTTTTTGGGGGGGGATTAAACAAAGTGAATGATTGACATGCAACATGCATGGCACAAAATATAATCATTATTACCTATCAATTCACGGAAAGTTTGGGATTCCTCAGAAATCTCATCTCTTTAGATATCCATCATAATTACTGACAGATTATATGTTTTACAAACATTTGGTCAAAAACATGTGCATTAGACATTACATGTATTCAACGGTTTGACTAGCAGCATCTTGCATAAATTATTAAAATTGCATATTTTACAGTGAGACAAATAAGAAATTTTAAATTGATTCTTTCTATCTATACATAATTTTTGAAAAATTTGAATTAATTTTTCAAAGAAAAAAAATTTTTGAGTACGTAAATACTTCTTTTGGCAGCAATACTAAAATAATTTTCAAGTAGTTTAGGAAAAATTTCTCATTAAATCAAAGCATGTAACAACAAGCTGATAAAGGCTTTTTAACATTAAACCAACCATTTATTGTCAATTTTCTCATTAAATCAAGGGTTTAATTAGATCAGAGCTCGTAATAAATTATGGAATGGAACTGTTTATTGAAATAAACAAATCATAATGCATGCAGAATACTCACAACATAACGATTTCTCTGTGTTAATAAATCTTCTTGTTTTTTAGCCAAAAGATTTTTAAATGTCAAAATTAGACCTAAATATGAAGTAGGCGTTACATAGTTTTTTCTTTGAAGTTCAGAAAAATACCTGAAACAAGCAGTATAATTTATAAATAAAGCTAAACAATAGGAAAAGAGTATAAATAATGTCACATAAACATATATTGTAGCTACAAATACATAATGAAAAACCTTTCACAGTGGAAAAACACAATGAAAAGAGGGAAACAGGAAAATGAAGAAATATTTTACCTAAGTTACAAAATATAAAGAGTATGTTGGCTAATAAGGGGGACAAGTTTAAACAAAATAATAAAATAATTCAGACCTCTGTTTTCTTAATTTATTTGGTGTTTCAACATTGAAGAAGGATCTTTCATCATTGTTTTTTTAATGGTTGAATTGATTAAAAAAATATAAAAAAAGCATTAATTGTCACAAATGCTTACATTTAATTCAAACTAACTTTCCTGACTAAGTCAAATTATATATATANTTATATATATATATATATACACACACACACAAATATTATTGAAAGCCAACTTTTTTTAAACAATTTTCGGAACATTTTTAACTGTTTTAATCTAGAATAGCCAAAATAGGAGATAATGAGAAAGAGATCTGTTTTTAGTTTGAAGAAGGAAAAAGAAGAAATTAATTTTGTATTGTTCTGTGTATTATTAACCCACTAACTGGGTCTGAGGTAGAACCTGGATGGTTTTTGGCACAAAAAACCACTTTTAAGTAATTTAATTGAAGTTAAATTTTGCTCAACTAACTTGAAAAATCAAAGGAATCTAGCTTGAAATTGAAAATAATTTAAAATTTTAATCTTAAAAATATTTACGTCAATCATATTAAGAAAGATAGAATTAAGCTGAATGAGTTAGCATTTTTTTTTCAAAATGTATTATGGTTATTTATAGAAATAGTATCATTAAAAATAATTATTTTTGAAGTTAGTATTTAAAATAAATCATGCATAAAAAATTTTAATATGCAGGAGGAACAACAAAACTCTATATTTATAATCATACATTTATAATCTTAAAAAATATGAAAATTAAATTAAAATTTTAATATTACAGTATTAGTAACAAAATAGTATTAATAACATTTTGAGCATAAGTTAAGCAATGTATTATTTAAAGCATACCTTTCAGACATTTGATAGACACTCTGATGGAAATGTTTGCAAATGGAAACACATGACAGCCGAATAGAAGGTTCAATATCAGAGGCCTGAAGGAATTTGTTTGCAACCATTTCAAGGGCATCATCTGGCCAGGACTGCACAAAAATTTTACATACAGTTAAGTTAAAAACAACAACCAAGAAATGTTTACAGGTAAAAAAATAAAACACTACCAACACAAAGTAACAGCGTTAAAGTTTATTATCAACACATTTGCAAACTGTCTTTTATTTATTAAATGTGGTTCATTCGACAGTATTCATGTATATTATATTCTGGACACCAATGCAAAACAAACTGAAAATCAATAAAGTGCATATAATAAGTTGAAAAGGAAAAAAAAATTTTATAAATATTTTACCTGAAACCAATCAATTGTACAACAATTAATAAGAGATGGAAACATCCTCAGTCTGTTTCTAAGGGCACCTCCAATCGGACTCATAGCTAACACTAGATGAAGATTTTGTCTGACTCTTTCAATAAAAAAATTATACAATGATAAAGGAGCAGGATCTATTTTCTTCCCCTAATATAAAAAACAAAAAATTTAAAAGCTTAAGAGTTATTTTATAAATAAACTTTCTATTTTTTATAATTTAAAAACTTAAAATATTTTGAATTCATTATTTTTAAATGTTGACTCATATATTTCACCGGTACAGAATTGTAAAATGAATATTAATTTATTATCTCTGTACTTACATAAAACCAACAAAAACTTTCTGGCTTGATTATAACCATTACTTTAAATCTTTTTAGACTTCTGAGAGAATTTTTGAGCCAAGACAGAAGAAAATTGATTATGATTTTTTTAATTAGCTCAAATAACAACTAGCTCTGATGATATTACAATTTATCAATGTGAAAAATAAAAATAGATTAATCAAACGCTTAGTGAAAGAGTTGTCAATGTGATTACATATTTATCAAAAATATTTATTGTATTTTAAAATGGGTCAAAAATGTAATTTTTTGAGGAAAAAAAAATTTAAATTTTAAAATTTTTTTTAACAAACAGAAACATAATACAAATTTTAGGTTTTAAACTCAAAAACAAAAAATGACAGAAAAAAATTATCTATTTTATAAAATAACATTCAGGTCTCGTAAAATCTGTATGAAAATCTTAATATTCATTTATAAATTCATACATTTAAATCGTCAACTCATTCACTATGTTAGGTTTAGATTTAGATTTCAGATTAGATTAAAGTTTTCCTATAGATTCCAGAGGATCAAAATGTGATATTAAATACATTATTTTTTTGTCAGAGTTACTCTACATTCTAAACTTTACTTTTCTGAACTGAAATTTGTTTTGAATTCATGCCTTAGACAAAATTTAAGTTTTGCAAAAAAGGAATCATTAGCTCGGTTCTGGCAGACATAAATATTTTTTTTAAAAAAATGTGCCACACCAAGCTGCATATACAGCTAATTGGAGCCTAAGCACTCATTTAATTATTCTAGCCACAGTTGTTGAAATAATAATCAATAGCATTATTGAAATGATTAAATCACACAATGTTCTTGAAATAAGTACATTATTGATCTAAAACAAAAAGAACGTTACAAAATTATGGCAACAGTAGAAATTAATATACTCACTAGATCTCTTGCAGCTGTTTGCATTTTTTCCAAAATTTCAGCTCTCTCATCAGCAGCATAAAGATTGGGAACATCTCCAGTATTCAATATCATATTGATGTCTTCCACAAATGATTCATCTTTGATTTGATTGTCATTAAATAAGAAAACAGTTGCTTTTCCATCAGCGCCCGCTTTTCTCAAGACCTATACATCACAAGAGGAATTATTTGATATGTTTTACCTACATCTGCCATCGCATTAGCAATGCACAGTAAGAAAAAAAATATTGAAGCATACCTTCTTTAAGTCCTCCCGCCATTCAATAACAGTGTAGTTTTTGGTGATTTCAATTTGAAAAATTTCATATCCGGCCATGTACGCTGCAAGTTTGGCAGCACTTTGTCGACCACTGCCACCAATTCCTTTAAAAGAAAAATCAAAATTTAGAAATACGCTTAAATTTATTTATATTATAACCTTGAGTGAATGTTTTAGTCATAATTTTAATAGTAAGAGCTTTTAGAAGGAACTGAATAATTAAATAATTGACCACCTCATTTTAAATCTAGTTTTTTTAAGAGGATCTTTCCTCTATCTGGAGATTGATCTTAAAAGGTTCTTTGTTATGGAAAATATGCTTCATGTAAAATTTTACTTTTTATTATAATAAAGTATAGTAAAACCTATATTAAAACATAAATACAGAAAAATCTAGTAACATTGTAATTAAATATAAATAAACAAAGCCTAGAATACAACATGAAGTTTCAAATGCTGAATTTTTTCTCTCCAAAATATCAAAATGTAAACAAATTATGGCTGAATTATTTAGGATTATCAAAAAAAGATATCCTGTCATAATTTGTTTGCATTTTGATACTTTTAAAATTTTTTTCAACATTTGAAATCTTACGATTTATTCTAGACTTACCTGAACTCACTGTTCTGTAAACTTTGAATTTTAAAATACCAAATGGAGGCGAAGCAAAATTTGCCATGAAAAGTTTCTTCTGTGGTATAGCATCCCCTGTGAAGTCAACTCACAGTGAGAGTTATGACCCATTTTTTACAAATATATTTTTCTAAATTTTTCATTAAAATAAAATTTCCAGTTTTACATTATTTGATTGCTTACGTTAGTCATCTGCCTACAATACTATATTTTAAAATTATAAATTACTCTTTTTATTAAAATGTAGAAACGTGGTATAATCTTCCAACTTGAGGATAGTTAGCTCACTACAGAAAAGTTTCGATAAAAAAGAATTATAAGAGATGTTAACATTTACAACATAAAGTAGTAATAAAATGTCTGAAATAAGTTGCAAACAATAATTGTGTCTAAATATCAAATATTTATTTACTGATGGAAAATAACAAATTCGAACAGAACCAGAAAGGTTTTGATAAAACGAATTAAAAGAGGTGTTATATAACATTTACAATAAAAAGCAGTAATAAAACGTCTAATCTAGAAAAGTTTTAATAAAAAGAATTAAAATAGGTATAATCACTTACAATATAAAACAGTTATATACATCGGAAATAAGCTGCAAACAATAATTGTGTCTAAAGAAATATCAAATATTTATTTACTGATGGAAAATAACAAATCTGAATTAAAATTATTAAATGAATTTAGTTTATGTCAGTAAACTGAATTACCAGCAGACGATTTTATCATTTGTTTTTCGATATTTTTTTCACACTGTGCCTCTTATCAACTTGCTTTTTTTGACAGGAGTATCCATCAAAAATCTTGATTTGGTACACGGAGTCTATCATCTCTTAGTAGTAATTTTGTAAAAAAATTAAAAATACATTAAAATAGAATGTTAAAATAAACTACAAGGAGTGATGGCTTTTAGAATAAAAAATCAACTTTTTTCCATGCATGATAAACAAAAGTGACACAGTAAATTAAAAATAAAGTAGATATAAAAAGGTTATGGTCCATAAAAGAAATGTCAATTCAAAATTAAGTTTTAAAGTGGTCTCACCTACAAGAAGTACATGACCATTATCTTGTTGGAGGATACGGCATATTCGGGAGACATGTTCGATAGCAAACTTAAATAATACCAGATGCATTGGAGTTTTGCTCATTTGATTATAGTCCTCAAGATAACTAAAATAATAAAATCATGAAGAGTTTAGCAAGTCTGTAAAAATGTCGAACAATTTCCACATTATTTGTATTTTTGTTGTTGTTGTGAACTACACCAAGAAGCTAAAAAATATAATTTTTAACCTTAGAAGGAATGAAGTCAAAAGCATTACAAAAACATTTAAATTAAACTATTTGATGTAAAGAAAGGATAAGGTGATTTCTTTTATGAAGAACCTTTCTTAGATAGTCAAAATGCCAAAGAGGCTATAAATAAAAGTATTTACTTTTTTTGGTTAATGATTTTTTATAATTTTTTTTAAAGTTTATTTTATTTAATATGTTCTATTTTCATTTCCTTATGCATTTGAATTATATTCATGCTTAAGTTTAATTATTTTTGAACAAGTTTTGAATAAGTTTTTAAAAATTTCACCTCTCAGAATCTATTTTCTAACTTTCAGATTTAAACTTTGGTTTTTGAAAAAATATGATAGCCAAAACAATTTTCTATTTTATAACTAGTGGTGAAAATATTTTTAAGAGTAAAAATAAAAATAAATAAAGCTAGTTTTATATACATCATCAATTCAAAGTTTGTTTATTAAAAAATAATATCATAAACAATTGTTTATAACTGAATAAATATCACACAATAGGAAACAGAATATTACACTAGACTACCTACAATAAAGTTTCATTTTAAAAAAAACAATAATTCCATTTTTAAATGAAATTTACTTCATACTTTCAATACATCATACATTGTTAATATATAATTGATATAACATCATACATATGTAATAAACAATACATATTTAATTGCATTACAAATTTTTGCTTTAATTTTCAAATTAAAATACTGACCCATTCATTACTTGTGATAACTGATCTAAATCTTGTACTTCATCATATATTTTTGTGTCTTCTTCTGGATACATGTAGTTACCAAAGAAGAGGTTCCTAAAATAAAACACAGTAAAATATTTTTTACAAAGCACACTACATAATTTTTTACTAGTTATACAAATTGTCCTACAAAAATATCACAAACTATAATGCTATGTAGCTTTCCCCATCTTAAACATATAAAATCCTTGTAAAATGCAAATTGAAACCACATTTATTTAATTAAATTGAAAATTTTTATATTTCATAGTTGGTTCCATGGTACCAATTTAGAAAAGAAGTAGAATATAGCAGATTGAAATACATACATATAGGTTTTCTTTTATAAACATGAATAGCTCAAAAATAGTTGTATTGCAATAATAATAATTCCGAAGTGTTAGAGATCAGTCAGCTAAACGTTCAACATCTGTGAACTGTTACTTAAATTAAAGAACAATAACTAAAAGGTAGAATTTAAAAAAAATATGTGTAGAAAGTACCTTAACATTATTTAATTTTTCCCCATTAATATTTTATGCCTTTTTTTAACAAATTACAAAGCGTTGCAAAATCATGCTAAATGATTTGCTGAAAAATTGTTGAATAAAATTGATAAATCTGAATTGACAGATTTAAAATGATAACCAATAATTTTTTTATAAAATTTCTAGGTCATAAGTTAAAAGGAAAAAAAATGAATTTTAGTAGGAAAAAAACAAAAACAAAATATGTAGCAGCTGTTATAGCTGCTAAACTACTAAGATTTATTTAACATACATAGCATAATTTAACTAACAACTTATTTTAGATACATTGTTCAGCAAGTTATAAACATTTAATTACAGCATTAAAAATATGATACAGTTTAATAAGTATGTAAAGGTAAATAAAAAGATTTCTATTGTAGGGTTTGCTGATTGAAAAATAATGAAATAATGTCATATTTTGAATTTGTTATAAATACTTTTGAGAAAAATAATTTACCAAAAGAAAATGAAAGCTTTTAATTTCAATCTTATATGACACAAATTGTTTTTAAGTATTTGAAAAATTATTTTTAAAAAATACTGAAAAATTCAATCTGAAATAAATTATACATATATATATTACCTAATATCAGAATCTTCAAGAGTTCCCTCAGATAAATGAGCAAGAATTTTGTTGAGAGGCTGTTTAAAGTGTAAATTAGTTGTTTTCGACAACATTTCAAAAAAATACTGCCTAAAAAGTTTGAAAAAGTTTCAATAACAAATAAACAAGCACAAAAAATATTACTGTGTATAAATGTTTTGCTCATACCTGTCTTTGTCATCCACAAGTCGATCATAAAAAACTCTATAAACCTCATGAACCCATAATCTAATCAACTTAGAAGTTTCTTTTAAATGAGTTCGTGGCATCAACAAAATGCCATGGATAACTCGAGCAAAATCTCTGAGGTTGAAAACGTAGTGACTTTTTGTGGGAGTTGGAAGAAAATTCTCAATTGCTGCAGAGTATATATCTTTAGTAGCGTCCACAACAACCTGGATACATAAATGAAGCTGTTGTTACGAAACTAATCATAATTAATCAGTTCATTACTATTAATAGTCACAATAAGTGCTGATTAATGATAACAGATTTCCTATGAAGAAACTAAGTAAAAGTAAGGAAAATAGTGACGTTTCAGACTAAAATAATGTTTGCATTTAAGAAAAAATTGCAACACATACGATTGACTAAGCTGAGAAAAAATTAAGAAACTACCTTAGCAAAAGAACTTTCTATTTCCATCCAGATATACCCTCTTAGAAAAAAAAACTTTCTTTATAAGATAAATAAATACTTCAGCATGAGAAACAGATACAATAGTAAATAATAATAGTAAATTTTATTTTATTTTTAAGCAACTATTTATTTCCAAACTAAAAAGCATCTCTTTAATAAATTTGTTCTTTAAAAAGGACAAGTTCTACGGATGACAGCCAAAAATGCAGAAATTAAGCTTATTCATTAGATTTTTTCCTCTTCATATTTTATAGCAAAAGTGGGAGTCGATCTCACATGGTATACCAGCGATCAACTTCAACTTTTTACCAACGAAGTTAGGCTTTAACCTTGACTTTAAACTAGTTACAATTTAGCTTTTGCCGGCAAGTTGTAGAAAAAGAGCCGATTTGAACTTCTCTCCAAAAAATTTTTTTTAAAGATTAATGGCTGGCAATGGAGTAATTTTTTTTTAAATGCGACTTTTCAACATTTTTTTAAGAGTGATATCTAGTGACTTTTGACAGAAAAAAGTGAGCAATTAAAAAGAAAAGTTATTTTTTTCATGGAAAATAGTTACTTGGTAGGAGTCCTGTGATTACAATATAATAAATAACAAGAGCCTACCTTTTCAAGTTTCAGAATTGATGGGTCATATCCTTTAATGAATTGCCAATGTACCACAGAGGTGAATATGTGACAAAGAGTTTCATCATCAAAAGCATCAATTCCCATAACATTTAAATGCCGAACAAAACGTGAGGTGATCTCATTTCTTCCTCCTCCTGGTGGACCCATAGCTGTTACAAGGTTCTAAAAATTTAAAATATGAGTTGAGTTTCGAATTTTAATTATATTTTTAATCTTAAAAAGGTATTTTAATTAAATTTGATAAAAGTCAAATCATTTCAATGCATTTTCTGTGGGTAAGAGTCTGATTTAAAAACAAACTCCTGAAAGTGTTTTGTAAATGAAAAGCAGCAGTTAGTACTTGAAGAGAATAATTTTAAGTTTTTCCTTCCAGCTTAAAATAGGCAAATATGAGAGCTTTTTTTACAATATTTTTTGAGTTTTACTAGTTGTGTTAGTTACAGATTTGAGAAATAGACAACTCATACTGACATAACTTTTAATTTTTTAAAAAATGACACTGCCTTAATTTTTTATAACTTGATTTGTATATATACAGTTTCTGAATATATAATATTTTGTGTATTTTTCATATTTGATAACTTTTTATAAATGTTTGGACACACTTAGGAAAGGGAGAATACTATTTTTTCTTATTTTACTTCTACTGGCAATGAAATTGCTCTGAATGGTAAAAACTAACCTATTAACTTAATGTTGATAAATAGCTTAGCAGTTATGGTGATAATAGTAAAAATTCTACAAGCCTAGTGGTAATAAAATGCTACTTTATAATTATGTACAACGTGTAAAAAAATTAGAAACAGCTCAACGGCTTTTTTATATAAAGCTTTCAACTATTTACCACATCCACTATTTCCAGAACAGATGTATCCTTCTTGTCAAACCAATAATGATGATCAATCCACTGACGAAGAAGCTCAACAGGAGGTTGAGCACCATAAATTTCCTTCATTGGCATATTCAAATCATCCACAAAAATGATGCATTTTTTACCCATACTTGGTCCAAATACACCCTTCCTTCTCCTATTAAATAAATATGAGATGTAATTCTAGAAATATAGCATAAATAACATAAGTTTAGCTCTAAGTAAAGAGTCCCTGATCGACCAGTGGAGCCTTATCTCCATGCCTCATTTGGCAGACAATTGACGGTCAAGTGAAAACTTTATTTTTGTTCTATACATTAAATCTTGTAAGAATTTAGTCTTCTTAATGCTTAAGTTTTTGATAAACAAGATTATTTTGGACAAAACTGATTAATTATGTATCCCATCGATCAAGATAAAGTTGAAAAAAATATCATAATTTTAATTCAAAAGATTATACGAAAAATTCTATCAAATCCCAAACTTTTTCATAAGTGAAAAAGCCTTCCATTTAAAGGTAGCAGAAATGTTATTTACACAAATACTGAAATTTTTCCTAACATTAATATTTTAAAATTTATACTGGTACCTTTGGTTTTAAATGAATAACAATTTTTAAATAGATTTTTCTTCTCCAATTCCATGAGCAGACTTTTCTCCGTTATCATTATTGCTGCTTTAATTTCATACAAATTAAGATTTTACAGTAATTAAATGAAATTCAGTATATATACTTTCTAAATTTATTTTCTCCAAAAAATTTGAAATAGTAATTTCTATTTTGAAGTATGGATGCGAAAGTTTGTCCCATTTTATCTTTAAGCTTTTTTTCAAAAGATGTTTTAAATCGTGTATGGTTTTAAAGCATTACAGTATTAATAAACCAAGAGTATTATGCATAAAATATGAAAAACTGCACAATAGTTTTAAAATACAGACAATACAACTAATAATAACAAGAAAATTTTCTAAATTGCATAAAAACGAAAATCTAATGCATCTTAACAAATACGTAAACCTTTTTATAAAGTTTGAATGATAAGACATAGGCTTACGTAACCCGACCCTTAAGTAATAATATTGACTTCGACTAAGTCTATCTATGAATAACTTAACACAGGATAAATTTACTGATAAATTATAATTTTGCTGTTGTTTATTTTCTTAATCTGACACAGGTCAGATAAGTTCCAGAAGGTCACTGATCACAAAAAAACCTGCAACAAAAAGGGGATCTGAGGTAAGATACACCTTAGAAAGTCCAAGGCAAACCAGAATATGTTCCGGCAAAGCTGGTTGAACACAGCATTTTTTTTGCAAGCAGGGAAGATCTTCCTGCCACCCTCAAAAATAAAGCACTTAAGATGGCAACCAGCAAATCTGTTCAAAGCAGTCTGAGTTCCTCGGTCGCATTTAAGGTCCAGCAGGGTACCAGATGTCCCATAATACCAGTGGTGTGTAAGTAGTATACCCCATAATAGATTAGGCTTGTATCTTTCAATGGAACAGAGTTCCCGATAAGTAAGTGAGGAGCCAGTGACTGTTTCTCCTTCACTGCCCTTTTTTGTCAATCTATCCGCTACCTCATTACCGCGAACATCCACTTGTGATGGGATCTATTGGAAGTGGACATTGTGATTTTTAGAGGTTGTACTTAATTTGTGTAAAATATAAATGATGGTTTCATCGCATGAAGAGGATCAGCTACTTAGATGTTGCAGCAAGCTGCGGCTGTACGATAAAATCCATAATTCAGTAAAATCATTTTTGTAGGGTAAGACAGCATCAAACCCTACATTTATTGCAATTAACTCACTCCTAAAGACAGAGCAATAATCAGGGTTACGTTGTTTAAATCAAGTTTCATGGAGAGGGGTTCTAATGTAAATACCGCTGCCAGTACGATCTTCTTTATGACTACCATTAGAATAGACCTGCACAGCATCTTTAGGAATACACCAAATGATTTCTAGAGCCAATTGTCTAAGATGGTCTTCAAGGTGAGTTTTCTTGTTTGCAGAGGAATTCAAATCAAAGTGGCAGAAAACTCCTGGCAGTCTTTCCAAGGGATCAACACAACATCTCAAAGATACAGGTTCAACTTCACGAGATATCAGTTTTGAGTTTCCGCCAAGCTAAAGGGGTTGCCTTTCTTTAAATACAGCCCTTACTGATTATTATTACCAACATAATTGATGATTATTACAAACATAATTTTATAGTTAACTTCAATGTAAAATTAATATTCATAAAACGAATATGACCTTCATCTTTTTCATGTTACAATAAATCCACATTATAATAAATACAGAATTTTATGAAATAAAACATAATATCAAATTCTGGTTACTTAAAATACTATACATTCAAATTATCAGTTAAATTTATTTTCATAAATGTAAAAGAAATAAAAAGGTTTCGAAATAAAGTGAATACCTATCTAATTTACTCATTATGATATCTTGAGTTTGTCCAGCACTGGTTCTTGCAGAGAAATTTATAAAGTTAGGAAGATACCTGAAATTATAAGAAGGATGTTTCATGAATAGATCATTAAACATTAATATCTTAAACTGCAAATTACAAACGAATCAAAATACCTTTCTTTTGGAAGATGGATCAGGAAATTGTTTGTTATTGCTGATTTTCCAGTTCCAGTGGGTCCAACAAATAACACTGGTATATCATTAGTAATATATATGTTCAGCATAAATTGCTGACGCACAGTCTCACTAGTGGGGATTATTAATTCATTCACCTACAAAAATAGTAGTGGGTTTACTAAATAATAACATGAAATATACAAGAATTTTCAAGTATTTTTAAATGGATACTCTTTAATAAATTTGTTCTTTANCAGTGGGTCCAACAAATAACACTGGTATATCATTAGTAATATATATGTTCAGCATAAATTGCTGACGCACAGTCTCACTAGTGGGGATTATTAATTCATTCACCTACAAAAATAGTAGTGGATTTAGAAAAACACAGTTCGTTACTAAATAATAACATTAGATATACAAGAATTTTCAAGTATTTTTAAATGAATAAAATGTGCTAACATTGCATAGTTTTCAAAAAGAAGCAAAATCATATTACATAACATAAATAGGATCAAGAGGTTTCTACATAAAGGTTCTTTTGTTGAAGAGTTAAGTCTGCAGCATAAGAAAAAAATTGTTAAATGCAATTTATGCTTTTAAAATCTTTCATTTTGTCTAATTTCTAAGATAGAATTCTAAGATAGTTAAAGAATCAAAATATAGTTCAGAAAAAAAAGGATGGCTTTATGAAATAAAATATAGTTTTTACAAGTTTTCATCAAAAAATAAAACATTTTTAGCACTAGAATTCAAGAATGTAATTAAACTATACGCAAAAATACAATTGATGGAACAATTTTCTATAATTTTAATTTTCTAATTATAAATTTTCTATAAATTCTATGGGATTCAACCATTAGATAACACTTAAAAGACACATTTTAATATAATTATTCACTTTAAAGCATATAACTATTCATAATAAACATATTATTGCTTACTTTAACAACTTGTAAATCCTTAAATGAGGGAGCATGTACAAAAGAAAAATAGATTATTTAATAACTCAGGGAAACTTATTTTAAGAACATTTTTTACCTAATAAAAATTTGCTTTGTGAAACAATAATAAAAAAAAGAGAAAGGATTTTTTGAAGCAAAGAGAATAAAATGATAAGTACTTTATTATTAAATTATATTAGTAGCCAGAACTTCACTAAAGTTGCACCAATAATAAAATTATGAGAGCTTCAAAATATTTTTTTAATTAAACCTATAGGAATAATATCACATAGTAGAATTAACATGCATTGCAATCCACTTTAGTAATACTAAAAGAAAAGATTAATTAAAATTTTTAAACTTTCTGCTGCACGTGTTTGCTTAGTATTTACTGTTGATTTATTGAAGAAATATCAATAAATTTTATATCATTTTATTAAAAGTACTGGATATTTTAAGAAATTGAAAAGTTTACATTATTGACTTTCACAATAAAAATGATTCAATGTTGTTTAGCATAAAATTATTATTTTTAAAAAATTATTCAGTTTTCAAAAGTTTAGTTTTAAAAAAACCCATCAACATACAGCTGACTGACACTTACTAAAAAAAAATTAATAAATAATAAAAACAAGTAAAAAATAAGAAATTACCCTAGCATCTGCTGGTATATCAAGTTCTTCTTTCTCTATCGTTGCCAACCAATTCTTCCATGAGTTGCTCTTTTGGTCAAAAACATAATCATAAACTAGATCATTTTCAGGAAATAGCTGCTGCTTCGTTAGCGTGAAACTTTTTGGTTTCATATATTCCTTATTATCCCCCAGCAACAGTGTTCGATAAAATTCATCAAAAAGAATGCGACTGTCGGTAACCATGATGCTTCCAATTGTCCATACTAATGAAAATATGAAATAGGATTGTATGCCACGCAGAGTCTGAAAATGCATTTCAGAATAAGTCACAAAAAATAATTCAGAAACAAAATAAAAAGAGCACTTCATAAAACTAGCACTAGTATAGTACAAAATTTAAATCTATAAAATTTGTGGAGAAAATGCATCGCTGTCAACTTGTTAAAAACAAAAAAAAAAGGAAAACAAAGTGTCACATATACACTTAATGTAATGTGACAATTTTATTTCTAATTTTATTTAAGCCTTCAATTTTTTCTTTAAACGTTATTCCTCTTTTTTTATTTTAGCAATCTTTTTAACTTTCTTGGTGACCTTTCTCATGGTCGTTGCGGTCATCGCACTTCCTGTGGGGAAAGTCAACCAACCCCTCTATTCACGCCTTTCTTTTTCCTCTTTTAATTTTAGGGGGGCTAACTAGCCAATCCCTTTACTTTAAATTTCAAACTCTCCGCCTCTTTAAATTTAATTGGTCGTTATTTTTCTGGTCCTATACCAGTTAAGGAATTTTTAAGTCACTTTTTGGGATAGATGTTTTTTTCTTCTCTCTGGGTGCTTCTTTCTTGCATGTTCTTTTTTTTCCGAGATGCGGACTTCGGTCCGTATCGAGGGATTTCTTTTTTACATTTTTTTTAACCTTTATCTTAAATTAAATCCATAGCTGTAATCAATTTCTGAAAAATTTAAAATCAACAGTTTATACCTTTAATTTTTCTTTAACATTAAAAGTCCTCTCAAATTTAAGTTTTCTTTTCATATTTATTTTAACGATTAAATTACTCGTTCTTTTATATTTTACTTTTATGTATGACGCCTTCATTGTTTTAATTCTCTTATCACCCATTTCTAATAATCGCCATTCATGTGTAGTAAATGTAACGATCGATATTTGTTACTAAATAAAAATAATTTGTTAATAATTGAATGTGGTGCTGAAGTGCTTATTTCCCCGTCTTCCTTTGATGTCTGTTTGTTTAATATGTCCTCATGTATGGTGAGTACCCTTTTATTATTGTTTTGGGCATTGTATTCTTGATAATATTGGAAACATCAATTTACTCCATTTATCTTAAATACTTATATCTGGATATAGCATGACCTTGTTTCTTTATCTTTTTATCTTTAATTATTTTTAGTTTCACCCTTATTCTAAATTCGGTGATACCAATTTATCCAATTTGTTCAAACCTCACACTTTGTGACCCTTTGAACCTATTGGGTTATTGTTATCCCACATTAGCATTGTACTACCACTTTCCTTAACGATCACATCCCCCTTAATTTAATTTAATTACCCCTTTTATATATTTCGGCCTTAATTTGTTTTATCACGACATTCCTATCATTTAACCTTTTTAATCATGACTATCTCCAATTATTAGTACATATACCAAATATTTCAATCTATTAGTTATAATTCATAAATAACTTTACTTTATTACGCACCAAATAATAATTTTATTAAACTCTTACACCAAGCAAATTAATTAAGACAGAAAGTGAAAAACTCTAAAAATTTTAAGTAAAAAAAAATGATATCGAGATATCAATTTAAAAGCCATACATGCTTCATATTTAGAATAATATTTTGAACTAATATTCTTAATTAAATTATTCACTAATGAAGAATATCATCCTTTATAGTAACTAATTCAAGAAAAAACTTACTTCCTACAAGAATCGCGATAATGGCTTTTAAAATGGAGTGAATAGGAATCACGATATTGAATTTTAAAAACCTGAAAATATAAATTGTACCATTGAATTTTTAAATCGCGTAAATACGAATTATGATGCATAATCCTTAGATTGCGTGAATATGAATCGCAATACTTAGTTTTCAAATCGGGCATACATACGAAAATCAATGTTTGATATTACAACCGCGTAAATACGAATCAATCGCAATATTGTGTTTTAAAACTGCGAGAATACGAATCCTGACATTGGTCTTTAAACTTGCGTGATTACGAATCGTGACTCCGGTGGCATAGGTCATGAGATTTTAATGGCAGAGATAATTAAGACTCAGTTCAAAGATAAACTCGGAATTACTCAATGTTCCATTGAGTAATTCCGAGTTCATCTTAAAAAAGGTAAATTGGCAATTAAACTGCCTCTCTTCTTGAAAACTGCACTCTTGATAACAACAATGATAAAGCACTAGATTATATTGTAGTAACTATTCTCGAATGTGCAAAAGCGTGGTGTACGATGAACCACTGGAATGCCTTTCAGGAACGATGGTCTTCAATAACTAAAGTAGGAAAGAGTTCGGATAAGAATTATTGCTGAATATAGTCATTGGTCTCTTAATAAATTGTATCGTCTAAAGACAAAAACAGTCTCTCCTCAATAAGAACTTTGAAGCTAACAATTAGCTTGCTTTAATAAATTCTTATCTGATTAGGACTATCTAAAGGAAGTTAGATTAAATTGTTATCAATCTTAAATTCTAAAAGGGACTCAACTTTGTAGAAACATAATTTAAGTTTCTGGAAAGTTTTTAAGCACAAAAATTTGAAGGAATGAAATCAAACTAAATGCGTTAAATGAATCCTAGGTCCTTCTCTTCTTTGACCCATTTTCGAATGAAGAATTTAAAAAGGCATTGAGGCAATTTAAGAGGGACAAGAGTGCGGGACACAGTGTAAGAATTTTATTTTCGAACTCTGCTTGAAAAATTCTAAATTTAATTAATAGAACTTAAAAGGGTACTTTTACCAGTTTAAATTCAGTGGTCACTGAACATTTATGTATAAAAGAATATTATTTACTTCATATGTTCTATGTGTTTCATCTGAGTCAGCAGCTTGAGATACCAACAAATCTTTCAAGAAGCAATCAAAGAGTTTTATCAATGAGGAAAGTAAATGAATTTTTGAAGTTTTCAAAAATGTCACACAATGCTGTTTGAGGAAATCCAGACAGGGCTCCACCAACCATTCAAACAAATCATTGATGAGAGATATGCACTCCTCGGACAGTTCCAACTTAGACAGATTGTTTAAATAAGAATCTTTAGAAGGTTTCCAACCTAACTGTAAATACAGCAGAATTAAAAGGGATAATTTTTTTAAGAAAAATATTTGAAATGCATTATAAACCGGAATCAAAATTTGAAAATTTTACCAGAATAATTAAGAAAGTTTTTTTCTGCTCAAATAACACACTTTTTATGAAATATAAAAGAATTGTAAGTTTTTACACCAAACAATAGTACTCTATTACTATAGCCAAACCTCGCTTTAGTGAATTTTCTGTAAACCCAGCAATAAGTCCACTCTCTATACAATGTTTCACTATATCAAAATTTCATGAAGAATTTTTTTTGGCATAGGTTGAACTATTGAAGATAGGGATTGCAATTTTACATAATTTGTTTGAATAATTATTGATTAATTGAATAAAAAATGATAAAAAAAATCAAAGCAAAAAATACTTACTTAGCTAAAAACTGCTTCTAATTTTACACTTCAAGAAAGAAATTAGTGACTTTAGATTAAACACAATTTGATAAGCAGAGATTATTAATTTTCTTATCTACAATGGACAAAGAATCAGTATTTTCTGATCCACATTTTCTGCAGAAAAAAATATTCAAGATATTTAGTGCTGATTTTAATTCAAATACAGCTGAAATTTCATTTCCTTCTTCTAGATTTTCTTTTGATAAATCTTCTTTCTCAGCTTCTGTCATTTCGTTTAATTTCGGAGTCAATGTCATCATTGGTTACGGGTACCAGAAGTACATACTTCATCATCACAACATTTAAATTATTCTGATTGGCTTTGTAGTTAACTGGCAGTTTTTTTAAAAACATTTTTAAAGTACCTCGGTTTTTGAGATTACTTAAGACAGTTAGACTAAATTCTTTCCCCACTCAATTGTCAAGGGGTGGTTTGTAAAGAATATGACTTGTAGAGATAAGAAGATTCCAAAGCACCCAAAACTTTAAGTTTTACATAATTTAAAATTTAATATGATTTTGAAAATCCTGAGTGATTCTGTTGAGCAACATGATATAACAAACAAACAAAAAACTAAAAAACTGAGTTTGTTTCTATACACACAAAATTCTTACTCTATCTCTGTACATGAAATAATCAGTTCAACTATGAATATCAAATGAAATACATAGATAAATATTTTCAAAACAATTAAGTATATTGTCAGTTAAAATAAGCATTTCTCACTTTAAACGGATGAATATTACAATAAAAAATAATACCTGATGAGGCTCCATGTAGATCATTCCACATCGAGAAACTGTGGCAGGTGATGCTTGCTCAAGGTCAGCTGGTTCAAAAATAAGATTCATCGTTGAACTCATTTGTATAATCTCTCCACTCATTAGACATAGCTAAAAACAAAACTTAGAATTGAATTCGTAAAATATTTTTGATTTTAGCACTCAGATTAAAATCGATCACAGTTTCAAACCGTTAACTTATCTATAAACTAATTGATAATTATATTACTCTATTTCTTTTTTTCCCTGCAATTTAAAAATAATACAAAAACTAAAATGATTTAAAAATTTCATGTTTTCATATGGAATATAAAAGAAAATATTTCAAATATTAAAAGAAATATTATAATTTATCTAAAATGAAAATCTTTTTAATATTGATACAAGAAATTTTCAGGTAAGTTTATAGTGATAATATCATTGCTGATAATTCTTGAAAATAAGAAAAAAAGTATTAAAATGCTTAGAATAAGGTAAGCAAATATAGATTAGACAAAAGGGAGTGACAAAAAAGTCAATGAACAATATTTTAAAATTAGTACAGAATCCTAAAAATTTACTTTTAGAAACATACTATTGATTTAATGAAATGTAGATATTTTCGATTTAAAACTTTTAATGGTTGAAAAATGACACACATACCTTCTTGTTGTCATCAAGAACTGTATTCATGTTTTCAATCCAAACGGCATCGACTGGACCATCAAACAAAATCCATTTTCTGTCTTCAGATTGATCACTTGCATATTGGCGAAATGTATTAGCTAAAACACCTTAAAAATAAAAGGTTACAAAGTAAGAAAAGGACTGCATCTTATGATACTTTAAAGATAAATAAATGTTATAAGCATAATGGAAAACATAGTTGATGACAAACAGCAATTCTGAAGCAATAAATCAGGATAATCCAAACTTTTTTTTTAAATGAATGTTTTAATTAAGATTGAGTAGCATTGGTACTTAATGACCCCCTATTTCAAATTGAATCTTAATTAATCTTTCTAGATCAGGACAACTTTTCATGATATTATATGGACAATAGATATATAATCCAAAAAATAGATATATGATCATCACAATTAAGACAAAAAAGAGAAATGCAGAATCAATTGAATTTCAAAGAGAAATTAACTCAATATTATAACTTTTTTGACTCTCATATTTTTCTTAATTTGGTGTTTCAAAACTGATGATTGCCATTAATTATATATAATTTAAATTTATTAGTTTATTTTGTATTATTTATGTCAGTACAAATTTTATGCTCATTTTTTTGTATAGAAGTTTGTTGATTTAATATAACTGTTAATAACACAACTCTTGACTATTGATAAAACATGATAATTATATGTTGTGATTATTATCATTTTTCAAATAACAAAACTTCGCAATTTTACTTCAAAATCACAAAAAAAAAGAACTCATACGGAAGTATCTTTCTTTTTAGAGAAAATATGTAGAAATTACTTTGAGAATTTAGGCATCGAGTTACACGAATGATTCTATCCTATAACTACAATAAATACAAATTTGAATAAAGAACCACTTTTGTTTCATAAAAACTGAACAATGAGACAAAATAAAACTATTTTTACTTATAAAAGTTCTGAGATTTTAAATTACTGTAAATTGTTGGCACTTTAATCTTTAAAACCTAATTTTACATAATTATTCCTCTTGGTAGACAACTACAGATTTAAAAATAAGAAAAACATTATTTTTACCCGAGTGCTAATCAGAAAAAGTATGGAACAAAATTTTTTATGCCAAATTTATGTATTCATAAAATACAGAGTGAAAACATTTTTATTATAAAACTGTTTCCTATCTCTTACAGCATTAAAAATAAAATATATTTAGTTACTTACAAGTTTCTTATTTTTTGAATACTACACAAATATTGTACATAAACTTATATTGAAATAAAAAAAAACAAATCATATTAAATACAATTAAAAATCATTAAAATAAGCAGTTGATATATTTAGCTGGGAGGGCAGTTTAAAAATTGAAAAAGATCAGTTATTTTTTAGAATCAACATAAAATTTATAATCAATTTGCATCAGGTTGAAAATTAAGAAAACTAGCGTCAGGGGAGAAAAAAATTGTCACTTTCAAATGACTAATAATTAAGACATATTATTAGTCTAGAAGTCTTGATTGGATTTTTTTTTTAGTTGATAATGAGAATTTGGAGGAAAAATTACAACACAGAAAAAGTGAAATATTCACAACTACGATGAAATATACTATTTTGAGGCAAAAACATACCAAAACACAAAAGTGAACATAAAAAATAAAACCAAAGCTGCATACCATTTCTTTCATCAATTGTTGGTACGGATAACTACAGATTTAGTCAGAATCAAATTTCAGGAATCCTGAACTAACAAACCATATCTCCTTTAGAGCCGTCCACTTTACTAAAGTTTTAACAAAAAATACCCTGTTCGGATGCATCACTGACAATAAGTATATTTTTATCATATTTAACAAAACCTACCACTGCTTTATAATCTCATAATTGTATTAAACTTCATTCAAATAAAATCATATTTTTAGTATCTAATAGAGCTTTAATAATCTCATCATAAAGAAAATTTACAAAATTAACTAATAATTCATTATAATTATATTATAACTAATAATTAATTATAATTATAATACAATAATATATTATAATTATAATTATAAAAATAATTAATAATAATACAGATTTTAATTGATTTATCAGAACAAATATATATTTACCATCCGTCCATTCATGCGATGCTGGATCAAAACATCCATAAAGCTGCCCCATAGTGATTGCCTTGGGATTGATGATTCTGTATTGAACTTTGTTTTCAGCTATTCCACAATCAGGTCCTAACTTTTGAATATCTCCTAAGCTGGCAGCTAAGACTTGGTAGGCACTGCTCTTTCCACCCATTGGCTCACCGACAATCATCAAACCATGGCGAACCAAAATCATTTCATAAATCTGGAAATAGCAAAAAGAGAAAACACTAAATCATAATCAATGGGGATATTTCTATGTGGTAACCACTTAAGGAAAACAAAGAAAAAGTTTCCTGACCTCTTTTAATAGGCTTATGCAAAATTTAAGCATTGTACACAACGTTTTCAACTAATAAAAGATGGAGCTTCAGTTTATGAACCAATAATGCCACATGATATTTATGTTTTTAACAAACATTAAAATTATTATATACAAAATAAATCTGAAATAATAGTAATCATAGTGATAAATTTATAATAAAGATTACATATGGATATTATTAGCCATAAATTTAAAAAAAATTTAATAGAAAATTTACTTTTAACTGTAAGGAGACAAGAGCATGGAAGGAAATACCATAAAGAAGAGCCCAATATTTTAATAATATTTTCACACATCCATTTTACAATAATGAGTAACAACATTGACTGAAAGGAAAGTCACTTGAAGTTTTACCCAAACTGATTGGAGTAAAACTAGAACCAAGGAAGGTGTATGTGTCTCTGGCATCATCTCACTCTCTGTACATGNACTTATCGCAACGAGTAATGTTTAAACCGCGTATAAATTCGAATATCGATGTTTGATATTACAACCGCGTGATAACGAATCGCAATATTGAAATTTAAAAATATATATGAATACGAATCGCGACATTGGATTTTAAACTAGCGGGAATATGAATCGCGATATTGGGTTTTAAAAACGTTTAAATACAAATCGCGATATTGGGTTTTAAAAACGCTTAAATACAAATCGCGATGTTGAATTTTTAAATTGCGTGAATGGGAATTGATTTTCAACAAAAGAAGAAAAAATTTTTTAACAAAATATCATTTACTGCATAAAAATTTTTTCCGCGCGGAAATTTATGAAAAAAGAGCGGAAGATTTGGAAAAATCTGAAAAAAGCGGAAATCAGCGGATCCGCGGAAGAATCACATCCCTGTATCTGTTGCTACAAATTAACAATCTGTTACATAACTCAAATAATATTCAGATACCAAAATTTTTGAACTAGCATAAAATAACCTGAACATTCCCTAAATAATTATAATTTTTTGGGGTAATAAATATTATGAGAAGTTGAAAAAATATATTTTGGAGCAAATGAGCTGCATTTTTGACAAACTTTAAAAAAATTTAACAGTTAACAAATTAATTTTTAAATGCCATTTTTTATATTTAGTCACCTTGTGGTCAGTGGTGACTATTAATTTTGCTGTATAATGCATACTAATTTATAAAAAGTCACAATTAAAAATTAATGTAAAGCTTTAAAATAATTTACACTTACTTTTTCAAACATTTTTTTGGAAAAATATAATATTAAAAAGAGAAACATGTTTTTTTTAAAGAAAATAATATCTGCAAAAAGGGACATTTTTAATTACTCAATAAGTAGCTTGAGGAAAATTATGAATGACATCTATGATTAGAATTTGAATTTCCTCTTTAAAAACCTGTCAGTTTCAATAATAAAATTTACCAATGAAACATCACTGGGTGTTGCATAGAGTAGGTGTTTCAGTTTCAACAATAAAATTTAGCAATGAAACAGCAGTGGGTGTTGTATAGTGTGGGGAAGATAATGTTTTTACAGATATTTCTACTTTTTGTATACCATAACTCCAATTCCTTACTTGAATAATTTTATTTATGAACCAAGGTACAGGTTGCAGATTTTTTTTAGCAATATTGTTCTTTAAGGCATTAAGGAGTACTGTATAATCAGATTTTGGAAGACTTATAGATGGAAACAAATCAGAAATTATTCCTTCAAACAATGGAACATCCTAAAAGAACAAAATTAGTAGTTATTATAAGAGAATTTTAATAATAAACACTTTTATGAGCAAGTGTGCTAAATATATTTTACAAACAAAAATTAAATAAAAAGTTGACTAATATGGCTTGCTTTGTTCATATTCAATGCATAAATGTATTCAATATATATTATATTTCCATATATTATAATCCCAACTTTTTATAGCAATATAACTAATTTTTGATCTATTTATAAAGGTACAAAAAAAATGTTCTACTAAAAATTTACAATAAAATAGTACAAGCTATTTCAAAATTTCCTTAATAAAAAGCGTTATATAAAAAAAATCAATAGTGCTCTAAATGAGTTTTTTGCAATGAATTAAATTATAAAAAAATTATCGCATATATCAAACCAATTTTAATATTTTAAAAAATCAGCTTTGCTAATTAATTTCATTAGCGTGCTTTTTAGATTCCCTAAAAATAACTGAACAGAATATCATGTTAGTTTTGAGGCAGCAAGTCGCTAAAAAATCATGAAAAAATTCATACCTCAAAAAATTTTGAGGACATATAAATAAGAGCTTTTTTAAATGTTATTATGAGATCTTTGTTTAATCAAACATAAAAATTTAATGTAATGAAATTCACAAAAATAAATTTGGTATTAAAAAATTTAGAACTTTTTTCATATTTTATTAATTTTTTTTAATTTAGAAATTTTTTTAAATCTTTAAACTTTATTCATAATAATATACGATTAACAAAATATATGCATGCCCGTAAAATTTGTATAAATTTTATATGCATACCAATATTATCACTAAAACATTTTATATGCATACAAATATTATCACTAAAACATTTTATATGCTTACAAATATTATCACTTTGAAAAGCTTTATTATGGATTTCAAAAATGTGCAAACAATCTATTGTAAAGCGCAAACAAAATACTTTCTTGAGCTAAAAACTTTGCTAAGTTGACATCATTTATAGCTCTCAAAACCAAAACAGCTTCTATTTCTTCTGGGTATTTCAATTTTAAATTTCCAGCAGCTGTCAATACAGATTTTACGGCTCGCATTCCATAATCATAATGATGCTGAGATGAGAGTTGTTCTGAACAGAGTTTGTATGTTGCCACAATCTTAACAGCTAAGCTGAAAAGTTTCAAAGAATCATAATATTATTTCACAGGTTGGTTCCCATTAAAGAAGTATTTCTAAAAATTGTATTTTAGAAAATGTAATACCTTTTAGCATCAACAAACCCCATAGAATAAAGTGATATCTCTCCAATAAGAGCATAATCGGGAACCATCATTGCAACAGTTCTAAAGAGCACCTAAATTCAAAACACATTTGTCATTCTAATAAGAAAATAAAACAATTTCAAGTTAAAATAATTATAAAGATCATAAATCCAATACAATCTTGAAAAATTAAATAAATGAAAACCCTTTAAATGATGCTTCACACAATTAATATTTTAACTGATTTTTTAAAAACTAGATTCATAGGAAACTCATGAACATTTAAAAAAATATAAATATGAAATAAGTTAGAAGATTTTAATATTCGATAATTTACTATTTCAACATAGTTTGGTTTAGATGGTTCATGGTGTTCGGTTTAAAAAAATGGTTTAGCTCTACAATAAGACCTGATGTGTTACTTGCTTACAAGCATTGGAGTTCTTCACTAACTTTGGGAAGTGCATAAGAGTAATGAACCAGATTTGCACATTTTAAGTCAACTTAGTTTTAATCTGCAAAGAGGGACATTTTTGAATGCTATTTAAATATCATGTTTCAAAATTGTATAAACAAATCACAGTAATAGCATATTTAAATAATTTGAAAGAGTAAAGATACAAGAAAATTTAAAATAACTACTTTTAAGTTGTCAGGTAATTCTTGACGACCAGCATAGCCAGGATTCATGGTGATGAACATATTGCAAGATGGATTCAGGGATAACTCTGAGCCTTCAAAGATGAATGTGGACAAATTTTGGGCCTTTGCATGTTGAATACTGTGAATCTGCTGTGCCACAACAGATAAAACTTCCAGTTCAATCCGATTAAATTCATCAAAACAGGCCCATGCACCAGACTGAGCTAATCCTTTGAAAAATTTCCCCATAGCTTTAAAATCTAATCCATCAGAACAGTTGAAAACTACACACTAAAAATGAATCAATAAAATATGAATCTACAACATTGATTTGTTTTAAGAGAAAAACTAAGCAAATATTGGGATGAGTAGTAATTAACTTTCAATATTAAAATATGCTAAAAATGGTCTTAAATATGAAAATTTACAAAATGCCATACCCTTCAAATGAAAAACACTACAATCAAGATAATGAATAAATAATATATTTAGCAAATAATACTTTTTATTTAACTTTAAAAGAAAAACAAGAAAAGAAAAAACGTGCTGAATAAGCTTTTGAAAAAAATCCTTTTTTAATAAAAAAATTTTATATTTCAGTTTTGTACCAAAATAATTTTAAAAAAATATATTACTGTTGTAGTTAATTGATTTTTGATAAAAATATTTTTATCAAAAATTTTTGAAAAATGAGGTAAAAGTTTATACAGCTAAACAACAATTTTAAATGTTAAAAACCAAAATGATAACTCTTAAAACAAAATACAATTTTTTTGATGAATGTTCTTATTATATAAAAAAAAAGATAGTTTTTATTCACTTCAATATAAATGTTAAAATATTTGACAGTGTCCGGATTCTAGTTTTCCAAGATATTGGCTCTCTAAATTTGTCCAGAATCCAGCCTTTACAAACTAATATAATTTTATAACTAACCAAGTATGCAGGTTTCATTAAAATGGGAAAAATTTGGAAAACAAATAAGCAGAAATGCATTAGGTAAATAATTTACACATCATGATGGTAAGTAATCAATTACTTATATTCCTGATAAGGTACAATGTTATGAAGATCAAACATTATATTGTAATCATAGATTTTGATGACTTGTATACAAATTTAAAAAAACACTTACAATGTTGGGATCTTTCATTAAGATAAGGCTGTAATTGAATACATGCAAAATCCATTTATTTTCTATTTTATAGTATTCCTCCAAAGTAACCAATTTTTTACTTAGGGGCACATAATGAAACTTAAGGATAAAACAAATAAATAAAAATGATAATTTAAAAAAAAATTAAACAAATATAGTTACAAGGGGAAAAATCAAACTTTGACAAAAAATTTATAAGAACAAAATAATTTTTTATGTTATACTTTAAAAGTTAGTTTTTGCACAAAACAGAAATTATTTACTTAGGTTAACTAAGATTTTATCAAAGCATTCAATAAAGTATCATTTTATCATTAAAGCATCAGATTAATAAGATGGATGTGATGGCAGTTGAAAATTTGTAATTTTTTATTTATTTACCTATCTTTCTAATTGTAGACATTTTCTTTTCTTTTGCATTTCATTCATACATTTTTTTTAATTAAATACATAACAAAAGTTGAAATCCAAATGCTTGTGGTCATAAATTTGAACTCCAAATAAAGATTCCTTGTTACTTTTTTTACAGTTATATTTTTATTATTATTTAAAGGAATTCAAAGTTCAAAGCAAATGTCTTTCTGAGACACTTTTGAGCCACAGGCCATATGTTGTGCATCTATCATAGATCACAATTACTTGCTGTCATGATTACAATTTTAATGATTTTTTCAATTCCAATTTAAAGCATTTGATAACTTTAAAGCAATTTAATTTTTTTCAATTTGATCTGAAGGTCTCCATAGTGCAAAAAATATTCTTCAAATCTCATAGTGCGCTGCAGAAAATACCAGAAGTGATGTATGCAGTATGTAACAAAAAAAATCTGTTTTAAAGAGCGGGAAAAAAACACTTGCCTGTTTTGCTACTGCTTTAGCTAAATCTTTACAGGTTTCTGTTTTACCAGTGCCAGCAGGACCTTCAGGAGCACCTCCTAAGTTCAGCTTTAAAGCTCCCATTAAAGTCCTATAATAAGAGAACATATCTCCTAGTTTTTTCTTAACATTTTATTATATTTAGAAGACTTAAAAAAAAGAGCACATAGTGCTTTAGGTGCGTAAGCTATTCACTTCAAAAATAAAACTGAAAATTTACATGAGCAGTAACTTGAAGCTTTTTAACGCACATTTTGTACATTGTGCAATAAAAAAAAACACTTAAATAACTTTTGATCTATGGATCAGCTTATCACATGAAAGGAATCAATCTTGGTGGATTCTCCTTCCATGCTAATGGTAATTAATTAGTGCAAATGATATTTCAAAGTTAGAATATTAAACGAAGAGGTGCACTTTCTCTAAATTAACATAAATGTTTTTCAACAAATTTTGATCCTCAAAAGATATATGTGAGTGTAGAAAGGGGGGGTTATGGCAATCTAGAAAATATGGTCCCAATAATTTAGGCAAGAAAGTGGTCGACAATTTGGGCTTTTTAATGCTAATTTACTTTTTTTTTCATACTTAGTCATCTCAAAAGAATTGTTATCTTTAAACTTTCATTTCCACACAACTATTTGATGTATGCTCTAAAATTTTGAATTTTATCATTTAAAAATATGTAGATTAATTTCGTCTATCTGAAAAATACCTAATTCAATCTAAATACCTAGCAATTCCAAATTGTTTGATAAATGGTAAATTAAATAAAACCAAATAATAAATGAATATATAAAAATATTTTTATACACGGAATTGTCTCTGGATAAAGTTTTATAATTATGTGAAAATCTTTCTAGATTCTAATCAGTTACTGAGATATGATGAAATATGCAAGAAGTTAAATGAACAATAATCATAAAACTGCTTTGCTGCTCTAACTTTTGAGACTACGTTTTCCAGGTTGTTGCTACCCTTTATAGATGGAAGATCAAGTTACCATATCATTAGGAAAAGTGTATGTTTATTTAGAGAAAGTACATTTTTTTCTAATTTTGTTACTTAAAATATCTTATATAAAATGTAGCTTAAAATATTCGCTGCAACAAACTAATTGGCATATTTGAGGTTAGGCCTACAAACAATAAAGATTAAGTCCCCAAAAAAGTGAAATGATAAAATAAAAAGTTGTAAAGGTTTGCTTTTTTATATGCAAAGTATATTAGAAGTAAGTTTATTTATTTATTATTATTATTATTTTTTTTTTTTTTTTGGAAAACAAAAATTAATAAGAAAAGAGAAACAGCTGGAATAGCTCACATTTTTTTTATAGAGCAAGACTGATTTTTTATCTGAAATTATGAAGTTATTTAATAAATTTTTCTCCTATTATCCAGATGAAAAATGAGAAAAGTGACTATTTAAATGAAAATTTTTAGATAATTCAAGATACCTCATAAAATGTGATAGAAAACTTTAAAAATAATTTTACATCAATAATACTAATAAATAATTTTTGTAGGCACTCAAAAACTTTTTATATAATTCACATTATAGTGCAATCTTTATTTCTCTGTTTAGAAAAACTTGTTAGAAAAAAAGACATTCTAAAATTTATAAAAATATAAAATTCAATTTTGGCTGCAGCGTCCTTAATTTATTTGTAAGATAAGTTTTGCGTAAAATGAAAATAATGCAATAATGTTTAGACACAGTCTGTACAATGGACAGAAAAATTGTCAAACCATCACAAAATACATTTATTTACTAGTAAATACCTATAACAACGATCTGTCAGAGGAGTAATGACCAGACGAGGAGTATTTCCCAAGTACTCATATCCGTATTCTAAATCAGTGGTGATCATCCTCACGATAACAGTATTATTCTCCCAATAATAACGAAGCTGGCTGATCCAGCTGAAATCATTTATATCTGAGATTTTTTGTTCTGCAAGTTTAGCTACTTCATCACGAGCTGAAAAATTACAAACATGAAATGCATATTAGAATGATATGCTAGAAGTTTAATAGAATCGCCTAGTTTGAAATTAAACAACTTAAAATAAAAAAAACTATATAGTTTTATCATATACAACTAATTTACTAAGATAAATGTTACTAAGTCAAATGTTAACTATGAACATGAGAGAAAAAAGAACATTTCGGCATATTAATTAAACCATTCAGTTATTAAAAAAGCTAAGCCTAAACTAAAACATGATTCTTAAAAACTATACATGTTGTGTAATCAATAAACTTTGAAAAATGCAGAAACATAATTAGTCAAAAAAGCTGAACTTAACAGAAAAATGTAGTTCTTAAGTAGCTTTACTTAAATGTAAATGCAGTAAAATCTCAAATTTGATGAGGTCGAAGAAAAACTTTGATCTATGAAAGGTTTCCCTTACAGATTTTGTCAAGGTATTCATGTTCTAACAGTGAAGGAGAAATCAAGACTTAAGACAGTATGCTAATATTAATAATGGTAAAAAAAAGATTACATTGAAATGGTAGTAATAAACATCCTCTTTTAGCAAAAATTAATTAATGTTGTGCTAATAATTTTAGAATTGAGAGAAAATAAAGATAATATTCTTCTTTCGGTAAAACTTTGCCTATTACACGACCTAATAAACATAGCGATTTCTAGATCTATGTATATAAAACTTTATCATAACTCAAAATAATTAATTATAAGACATTATTATTAAGTAATAAGATTAATTAACAAGAAATGATGATTAGCAAGAATACAAAATTATAGATTACCTAAGACACATTACATTTTCCTCAATAATTAACATAAAAATGGGTTTTAAAAAAGTTGGACAACAGATTTATGTGTAAAAGTATGCTATGAAACATTTCCAATGCAACTCAACAGTAAAATTTAGACCATAAACTTTAAAATGCATAGCTAACTCCCACATAATCTATTCTTTAAAAAGTGATACCTTTTCCCAAATTAGCTTGAAATTCCTTAGTATGTACTTAGCAGAATTTAATGTATATATCCTTATTTGATTAAATAAAAAAGAAAAATCTCAAAACAAAAATAAATTGTTTAAAAATGAATCTGATTATGCAAGTAACTATTTTCATAAAACTATGAATTACTACTTGGATTTAATTCAGAGTTTCCACTCCTTTAACAAAGTAAAAATTAAGGACACATAAGAATTTTTTTTTAAATTAAGGATCTTTTTTGAAAAATTAAGGGCCTTAAAAATAGTATGATTGTTTATTATTGAATATACATATACCACCAGTGACAGTGCCAATTATTTACCTTTAATAAAAAAAAAACCAGCAATAAAAAAAAACAATTTTATTATAATGCAAGTACTGATATAATTGTATTAAGTAACAGGGTTCGCTAATGTAGGACCAGGCAATTTCTGTAAACCTGGCTTCGGTTTTTCAAAATATTTTCAGATTGTTAAGGGTTAACAGCATCTATGATACTAATCCGCATTCCATTTTTAATAATTTCATTGAAATTGAATTGCAAAATAAAGTGCAGAAATTAAGATATTTAATTTTTTTCATACATTAAAAAACAAGCAAATAAAGTAATTTGGGAAATACATTAAAAAATTATTAATAAAAGCTTTTATATTTTGCTGCTAGAGAAGTGTTGTTAGAATTGATAATTTATCACAGAAGATAAAACAAATTTTGAAATTTCCTCTTTTGTTGTTAGAAAAAACTACAATTTTAAGAATAGATTTACTTGCTGTTTTTATTATTATTATGCCAGGTGAGTATTCTGTAATATTAGGTTATGCATAATTTTTATCTTTCTGTAAATGTAAGCCTGACAATTTAAAAGTTCAATTCAAAAATTTTTTCTGATACATCTTTACTTAGGGCATTACTTTGTTCCTAAAAGCAGATGCATTACCAGTAGAACTGAATTTCTTGAATTCTTTCGATTTTGAAGGTCAGTGTGGGTCTTCTACTTAGGTACCTTAGAACTCCCCTCCCCCTACCAAAAAAGCACAATCTCTTCCATGTACAGTATCTCCCTTGTCCATAGTGTATTCTTTTCCTTCAGAATGCTTCACTCTCCTCATAGACTATCATTCTAGGCAAAAGGAAGAATGCATTAATGAAAGGACTAATATATTAATGAAAGGACATGCTTTCTTCCTTCTGCCCATAGCCCCCTCACACACACATCCCTTTTTGTCACTCTAAAATGCTCTACCCTTGATGCATAGCCTCATTCTAGGTGATAAATGAACAACTTTTTTAAAAATATTTTTGTAAGACTGAAAAAATTGTTCTTATGAAGCATAGTGATGCTGAAAAATTAAGGACTTTTAAATACCTTGTACCAAAACTGAGTACTTTTAAGGGCCTTTATTTTCCAAAATAACAATTAAGCAGTTTTTAAGAAGTTTTAAGTACCGTGGGAACCCTGAGACAATAGAATTAGAAATTTAGCACAGCAAAAATATAAATAATGAATAATATATAATGAAAACAAAAACCAAAAAAAGAATATAATGTCTAAGCTTACCATGAACATCCATTACAATTAAAGCTCCCAAAGTCAATCTCTCATTTGGTGCCAGTTTCCCTCTAACTAAGGCAACTATGTCATCAATCTGTTGGTTACACTTCAATCTGTATTGCTAAATAAATTATTATTGTTTATCTTAGAACATATATAGTTTTCAGTTTAGATGAATATGAGAATATATTAGTTAAAATTAATATTTCAATTTAGAAAAAATGCATAAAAACTCAACATTAAGTGCAACAAATAAATAAAATTGTATTTTTTGAAATTAAGCATAAAAACGCTTAAACAAATTAAGGTTGTTTAATATGTTTATAGGAAAAATAGCAAAATAAATTATTTTTACAAGATTTATAAATTAATAATTCCTTTTACCTCAACAGCATTATTTGCAATAGCTTCAGAAACTTCTGCTGTCCAAAATATGCAACTAACACACAAAACTACCTGCCCAGGCCACTTCAAAACATATTCTGTTCTAGGTAGCTCAGGATACGATAGCATGGATTTCCCTATAACATCACGCATGCTACGGATCATATTTTTTTCAACTTCAGCCAACCACTTCTCAACCATACCCTGTAAAATAGACTCAGCAATAACAAAGTCCTTAAATTTCTAACCATAATCAAGCACTACTTATACATATGCTGTATCTGTCTTACACTCAAATACACTTAACATATATATAAAAATCTCAAAAC